ACAATTGAAAACAATGAACCAGGCCCTAACCCCCTTCAAACCCTAGAAATAATAGGGTGCGATCATACTGCCTTGGTGGCGAGGTATAGGTACTCTCGACTCGGACTCGAAACAAGCCGAAACAACCAAAAAAGGCCATTTTGACCACTTGGAATCAAAACCGCCCAAATTAATTTCATTTATAGCCTAATTTGCGGTTTCCCGTAAATCGGAATTTCGACCCGCCGACTGAGACCAAAAAATAGCCTAAGTGGCGGTTTCTAGCCTAATCTGGCAACCCTGGTGATGGCATGTCGCTAGGGGGAAACGCAGCGGGACTAACTTCGCGACGGTGATTCGCGCAGTACGCAAAATGTCCACTTACTTCTTAAGTACGCACTGCCAATCCAAGTGTGAGACAGTCTCACACTATTTAGTGCGAACCACGGTGTCTCACGCTTACAAGTGTGAGCCACGTTTGTCCCACGCTTGCAAGTGTGAGACATCATTTGTCTCACACTTACAAGTGTGAGACACGGTTTGTCTCACTCTTCCTGCCTATGGTTCCCTGTGGTTCAATGCCACAGGATCCAAGCTCGAAAGTGTGAGACAAACCGTGTCTCACAGTTGCAAGCGTGGGACACACGTGGCTCACACTTGTAAGCGTGAGACATCGCGGTTCGCACTAAATAGTGTGAGACTGTCTCACACCGTCCCCAATATTTTCCTGGCAGTTAGAGTACCCCCCCTAGGGCCCTTAGATACCACGAAAAATAAGATGGCGTATTTTAGGAATTCAAAAAAAAAAAACGTTATTTTCAATAAAAAACGCTCTTTTTGGCAAAGGCCGAGGGTCCCAAACTTGTTCTCACTTTAGTATGTTGCCATTTACTGGTTTCAACCCATTTGAGCGCCGAAAGACACTATGTTTAAAAAACTAAAACAAAGGTTTTGAAACTTCATTTGAAATTTCAAAACATCTCCACGGCCAAAGTTCTAAATATTTTTTCAAAAAAAAAAAAATTATATGAGAGGTCCTTGAGTGGTAGGCTATGATAGAAAAAATTGAGAGCCGGATCCGAGCAAGTGCGTTTTGGACCATGATGGTTTGACCTGGAATGTCCCGGGTATTTCCGTGGGTCCTGGACCGGAAGTAAGAACAAAAGCACGCCCTTAAACGGAAGCTGCTCGGGGCCGGCCGCCCTCTGCATGTCAAAAATATAGCTTGCGTTTGTCGTTCGTTCTTCTCCTAAGGTTCGTGTTGTTTGTTGATGCCGCTGCTCTTTCGCGCGCACGTTGACTTGTATGATTGACGTACACTTGTATGATGCTCTAGATATTTAATAGATCTTAACTCCGTAAGCACGCGCGGAAGAGCAGCGGCAACAGCAAACAAAACAAACGACGAACGCAAGCCATATTTCTCGTGCCAGGCGCGGGCGGGCCCAAGCGGCTTCCGCTTCAGGGCTTACTTTTGTTCATCTTACATCCGGCCCAAGACCCATGAACCCTATTATCACAAGTTGTTTGCAGAATTTTCCGTACCTTTTTGCCACAGTGTATAATATATTGCGCACTCAAAAAACCTTGCAAAGTATTCCCCGGCATTGTATTGCAAACTCTCTTACAAACTATTTTCTTTTGCGTTGCCAAGGATAACCTTGCAACTTGAAACGAAAATGCTTTGAAACGATGCAAACCAATGCTTCGCAACGTTCACCTTTTTTCGTTGCAACTTTCGAGCTCTTTCTTTGCAATGCGAAAAAAAATAGCTCGCAAGGAAGTTCGCAATACAATGCAGGAGAACACTTCGTATTGCAAAGTCCTTTTCTTCGCAAGCTTTGAAGAGTGCGGAGATTTTTTTATCAGCGTAAGATCAAGTTTTCTTGTCTTTGCCGGGAATGTGGGTCCCATGAGATCAGCATTGGACGCGGCGCACTGTGGCGGCGTGCACGCTGGGCCAACATGATGCTCTTTCCGCTTCGCTGTCTGCTGATAAGCTACTGCGCCCTCTCCGTATTGTCTGCGGTAAAACAGTCTGCTGCACTCTTGAAACCTTCCGGGCTGATGTGTTTTGAAGCTTCCGATGAATCTGGCTCCTTCGCAATGTAAAGAACGCATCCGTATTGCAAATCAATAGTTCGCGACTGGCGAATAAGTGCTTCGCCATTTGCGAACAACCTATTTTTATTGTGAACCCTTGCAAACACATTGTTCGCAAAATTGTGAATTACCAGTTCGGTATATTAAGCATTTTATTAATGCAAATAGTTGGTTTGTACATGGACTGAATATTTGTTGTCACTTTATGACAAAAACGTGGATGATATTTCCATCACTTTCAAATGATGACGACCTTATCACAAATTTATGACATTTTCATCTAAGCTCCTATACTTTTTGCATGGGCATGACAACAATGTCATCAATTGATTTGATGACATCCTTGTCAGGAAAATTAGCCTTGAAATTGTCGTCAAGTGACGACTCAAATTTTCACATTGTGATACAATTGTCTCGAAATGCAGGAAGATTAACTTGGAGCACAAAGGTTAACTTATTACCAGTCTTGATAAGCGGTTAATTTACTAGATGATGTAGAGTTTCCAATCAAATTTATTAACACTCTACCCAGCTTTACATTCAACGAAAGCAAGCAAATTTTAGCATTGAAGATAGTACAAATTAAAACAGACAAGGTGACGAAGATCTATTTTCTAGCCAACTATTTTCTATTTTAAAATTAAGCCAAACTCTTTGCCAGCTGCAAACCAGATAGTTTGTATTGCGAACACTAAACTGCCGCTGAGAGTGTTAAAACGTTTTGCTGCCGAATTTTTTTTTTTGGTAAAAATCTTTTCAGTGCCTTTTTTCCAGTCCACACTGATAACTCGCTTCCGACTAAGCCACGGGTTGGCGAAACTAAAGAAATTAAAGGCTTTTTTACAGGTCTTGCGCTCCTCGTGAATATTTGCATTACGTGTGAGGGTGATTCCGTGCGTGCATAGGGGGTCATTTCAGGTCACTAAGGCCTTGCGCCTGAACTGAGGTTGCTTTGGTAGCTTGGGCAGTTAAAATATGTTTCACTAAACGAGGACCATGTCCTCATGTGGATAAGTCGATCTAACTTTTGTTCTTCTATAGGTTTTGTAAGCTTCTAAAGTGTCGTTTTGTAAGTTCCGTCATGGTCACAAACACCTACGAGACATCTTTGCCATGCTGTAGTCTATGACTCAATCACATCAAAAGAAATCTGGCTATTTCACTCCCTTCCATGTCTTATTCTTCTCAAAATTACGGAAGGTGGCCTTTGTATCATGACTTGTCGAACTCGAAATAGCCTTTGGGAAAATGTCCACCGTGTGACCACGTTACCGATGCTGCTTTCACAACTGACGGTCCACTGGAATTCCTTTTCGTTTTAGAACCTCCCGACCGCTTGGAATCGAAGGATTATAAAAATCACTACAAGAAGCCCGTGCCCGCGGGACCTGGGGCGGTCAAACAACGTTTTCAGTCCGTCAGAATTGTTAAAAACGGGTAGGGTGCACAAATAGATGTAAATTCCGTTTCGGGCTATAGCTCCTCCTCCTGAGGGAGAAAGTTGCCACAACCTTCGCTATAAAACGCTGTTTCGGAAGCTTGAAAAGACACAGTCTACAATTTTTACGTATCTTGTATCCCAGCGGGTCAGGAGGAGACTAAACACCTCGCTCTGTGAATTCCGTACCATTTTCCGTCATGATTTCTGTAAATTCCGCCATATTTCATAGGGGGTGATAATGAAAGTTGACTTCCAGCGTTGCGACGCTCAGAGGGGTACTGTGGGGTACCATGTATGCCATCTAGATGAAATTCAGCTCGAAAAGTGGAAATTATTTTGAAAATTTTTCCACGGCCAAAATGACCCGCTACGCACGCGGAATCACCCGCCCCCGTACTACACAGTACTTCTCTTTGCAAGCTTTTAAGAGTGGAAGAGAACCGTAGCCTTCAAAAACAAGCCAAAATAATTCAACCTCAGCAACAATGGAGGGGCAGTTTTAATGCGCGAATGCTCGTTTTTTTTCAGCTACGCGATTTTTGAAAGAACTCGGGCGCCGAGAAAATCGTTGCCAACCCACGAAAATTAGTTTACTGCCCACTGTCTCTCACCGACATTTCATAAGCGATGGACTATAAAGATGTTCCAATGTCGGAATACCGTGCAATGCGTTGGCATCGGAATTATTGGTAGCCACCCTCCTATCCCTTCCACTTAACCATTTTTCTTTCTACACACTAATAGAGCTCCTTCAAAGTAACCAAATTGACTTTGTGGCTCTTGGGACTTCTCGTAATCGTATTATTTTGCTGAGGAAAGCCACTCTGTGGACAAGCGGAAACTCAAATTTGGAAACAGATCAACTGATTTCTTCGAAGTTAAGACACATTATAGGGGTCAAATGGTTCTACACTACAAATCCAAAGGTCAGACCTCTCGCCACTCCAGAGGCAAGACATAACAGTCTCGCCAAGTTTTGGTTAGACCTGAATGTCTCGCCTAAATTTGGTCAGACAAAAAAGCCTCGCCACGAAACGGTCAGACACAGAAGTCTCGGCGAAACTTTTGTGTCTGACCGCCACCTAAAGGCCGTAATGCGCCGGGCGGTTACGTGGTCAGACACAAAAGTCTCGCCATTTTGTAGTGAGACTTTTGTGTCTGACCGTTTTGTGGCGGGACTGTCTGACCAAATTTTGGCGAGACTTTCAGGCCTGACCAAAACTTGACAAGAGTTTAATGTCTCGCCATATTTTGGAGCGAAGTCTTTCCATCCAACTTGCAGTGTAACCATACAATGTGAATACATAAATATGAATGTGAACTGTAGAAGCTTCAACGTCCTGCCGACCTTGAAGTTTCTCAGATACTTTGTGTCTCGTTTCATGCTGCAGAGGACGCCGAAGACGAGGCTCTACCCCAAGATTTATTCAGTCCAAACATGCACGGACAAAAAGCACTACGCCAATCTCACCAGCTACAGGATTGCGATGGATGAGAACGGGGCAGATTACATCACAGATGCGGAGTGGTGGCTTTACCGCGGCGTCAAATACTTCACAAAGGTGTCACTCCGAAACTGTAATATCAAAATGACGGCCCGGGACAGAACAAGGGAGCTGTATTCATGGTCGAAACACTCTAAGTGTCCCATGAAAACTTGTCATATATTTCTTGGTCAACATCAAATTTTAGTTCGAGTTTCTTTTAAAAATCGCTTGTTGCATCACTGAAACCAAAATACAATCAGGATGCCACAATTATTTCGGAAAATGATATTACACATTTTTTTCACCTCACAGTATCGTTGGCGAAAATGTTTTGTTTTGTCTCAGCTTATAGTTGTCCTGCACCGCTGTCTGGGAGGCGTTTCGTCGAATCTGTGTGAATACTTCAGTACGTGGAACTGGGACGCGGGACTCTGCTCACTTCTCCCAGCCAAGGGCGTTCTGTGGAGTCCTATGATCCAGAGTATAGAACCAGAATTCAAGTGTCCTGTTACTGCGGTAAGCTTGCCGAATCTGAGGCCTAAATTACGTCACGAAGAATATTTACGTCTGCGCCTGATCAGAGTTTCATTGTTAGGGTGGGTCGAAAATCTCATATTTTAACGGCGTATATGGTTTTCTTTGCAGTTGACTGTATTAGAGAAGATATCCCACAATGCCGGTGTCTGGTGACACCGGTGTCTCCGGTGTCTCTAATGTAGTCAACTGCAAAGAAAACCACACGCCGTTTAATTCTGACATTTTCGACCCACCCTATTCATTGTACTTTGAAAGGCTTCGAGATAGGCACCTTGGGCGCCTAGTCTTCAGAAAACTGTAATACCCGATGCACTCTACAAAAAGTTACAGAATTTTTTATCATTTTTGATGCAGGATTTTGTATTGCCTGCATTGGTTACAAATATTTGTATAAGTGATGTAGAATTTTCATGTATACATGTATGTGGGAATTGCCATTTCAGTGAGTGTTACATTCATCTACTTATGAAAGCATGAATTCTTGCATGTACATGTATAGGAATTCGACTCCAAAAACCTTTTTCGCTGCTGTGCCAGTATCCCTTAAAGACCATTTTCTCTTCCGCAGGGATTTAAGGTCGTCAGGAATGGAACTTTGGACTTTGCTATCGTGGACCAGATTGGAGCCCGTTCGGGTGTTGACAAATATGTTTGGCAAGTGGAGGCTCAAGCCTTTGACGAGCTTCGTGAATTGTCAGTTTGTTTTAATTTTACCGTTGACGTAAGACGAGTAAGGCTTAAGACATGATTTTTGCAAAAAGAACAATTTTCACCAGGGCCGACGTTTCCTTTAAAAAAACTCTTACATGTTAAAAAAACTGTAAAAATTTTGTAAGGATACACAAATTTTTATTCAAAGTTTTGTAGTCTACGTGCTGTTTTTACTTCTTGCACTTTTGAACTTTGCTTCCAACTTTGGCCTGAAATTTCACCTCTGTTAAAAAAAGTTGTAAATGAACACATTATGCTTTATTTGATAAAGCTTTTGTAAATTCAAGCAGATGTATTTGATTTCATACACAGTTCGATGAATAAAACAATGACTTCTTTGGAGTCTACAGATGCAAACATGTTTGTTGATTTCATTGCTAACTTTTGAACCTCTGCTTGTAACCTGACAACAATATTTTTCTAATGAAGTTTTAAGAGGGCTCTTAAAATTGTTGGTTACTACAATAAGCCCTTTTAATGAGACAGTTCTTTCCTTCCTCCCAAAAACATTAATACAGCCAATGCAAGAACAAGGATTTGAGCATCATTCATCTTCCTGACTCCTCGTGGCCCCTCAATCCGATGTCAACCATAAATCAGAACATCAACAAATGTTTCTCAGCAACCAAGCGTCTAAGCCAACCCAGTTGTATACACTACAAATCAAAGTGCCTACTTTGTACACACGTACAATCACACACTCGGCCGAGTATAAAGTTACAATTGCATACTTAGCAAGTACACACTTGCAAATGCGTATGCCTTCACTCTCAGTCCAAGTACGTGACATCACGCTTTCAGCGTGTTGTCCCATTCGTTTGGATGTGAATCGGCCAAAAATCAGCTTGTTCACATTCAAACGATCGTGACACAATGCTCAAACGAACGTGACAATTTATCACGTTTGTTCCAACGTGATGTCACGTACTTGGAATGAGAGTGTAGCCGAGCCAAGCATGCGAATCTAATAACATATTTGACCAAGTGCGTTTTTGTGAACTTGCAAGCATGCATTTGTAGGCGTGTACTGAGTGGTCAGTTAGGTTTGTAGAGCAACACAGCCAATGTAGCACCTAGATCAGAAGGAAGAATTCCACTTTGAAACACTCCAAACTCATGAACACAACTTTGTCCAACGTGTCCGAAATGTCCTACAGTAGGTTGCGGAAGGTTTTTATGGCGTAGTATTTGTTATTGCAAAAGATACTTAACAACTCTGTGATCATAAACACGACTTTACTGCAAAGAAAATAGGACAACAATTTCAACTTTCGAAGACTCTAATTCATCTATACATCACACTTAATTCTTATGGACTTTTTTTATGCATAGTTATGCATGCACAGATACGTCCATACGTTGTGTATGATATTATGCATCACTGTGTACATTTTATGCAGGTAGATGCATAAAATGTACATAGTGATGCATAGTTTAATACACACCTGATATACGTTTCTGCGCATGCATAACTATGCATAAATTATGCGTAATTATGCATTTAAAAAGTCCACAAGAATTTAGTGTGATGTTGACAAAACTGAACTTGTACATGCGTAACACGCAAGAAAGACTATAATCACTCACACATGATAACAAGTTCATGAAGCGTAAGTTTAATTTTGAGACAAAGAACAGAAGTGTCACGTCACTGCGTATGGGATATCTGTGACTTCCTAGCAGTTCAGAAGAAAATCCACATTGAAAAAAGATAGCATATACATAGCAATGAAACCACTTGCTTGAGACTTTGCTTTTATTTCTCGGGTCTTGTTCTCGACTTCTTGAGCCGCTGCACTGGTAAAAAAAACATAGATTCTCAACAAACTGAAGTGTGTACTCAGTATGCATCTACAGTTGCATACTTATAAGTATACACCAACAGATGCATGGAAAAAAACATAGGTTCTCAACAAACTGAAGTGTGTACTCAGTATGCATCTACAGATGCATACTTATACGTACAGCTGCATACCTAGCTGAGTACACATCTACAGATGCAGATGAGAATCCATGTTTTTTCCATGCATCTGTAGATGCATACTGAGTACACACTTCAGTTTGTAGAGCGACTCTGGAACTCAAAACGCGTCGAGAATTTTGGCCGCCTCCACCGGTCTTCAGGCCCACTGTGCCGTTAATGGCTCAATGCCTTAAGGCATTGGAAGAGCATGTATAGTTTTGCCTAGAGCTCCAACTCATTCTCGCGTCTGATGAGGGCATCAACCGATTCACGACGTTCCAAGGGCGTAGATCGTTTCAGCTCTGTTGGGCATTAGGTTTTATTCTTTTTACCAGTGTGGGCTTGCCTACATCCAACCCCAGCGCATCACGTCATCAATGACGTCACCCACGCGCCGCCGCACTTCCGAAGTCCATTTGATCTTGAAGACGCCCGCTGTGGCCGCCGGGTCGTCTTCACTGAGGACGGTGGCGCAAGAGCTCTGTAACTCCTTGACCTGCTCCTCGTCGGCTCCCATGCCGTGCACCAACAACGGCGTCAGGAACAAGCCGAAACCCGCCATGTCGCCCAACCGCGCCTGGAAGGACACAAAATTATAGTTTGAGGCATTTTTAGCAGATGATACCTTTACTTAAAAACATACCTAAAACTACAACTTAAAGACACATAAAGGTGTCAGCTAGCTTTTACTCGGTCCAAAAACCAAGTGCTTATCCTAACAATATAGTAGGGGCTGGCTGCCGGGGCGGGCTGGTGCGTCTGTGCCTGCGGCGCAGCCTGCGCGGAATTCGACGATGGCACCTCCTCGCGCGCGACGGCCTGTGCGCAACATTCACAATCCTCCCCGCAACAGCGCACAAAGGACTCAGCTTTTAAATACTATCTTTGGAATGAACCCATACAACTCCGTAGAAGAAAACCAAACGACTATCATCTGCTTTCATTAACGTTCGTTGAATGAGATTTTTTTAAAGAAGTCCTATCGTGGAACACGATCGATGACGATTTCCTCCTCTTTTTGGTCGAAGGTAGTCCTTGTGAGTCTAAGAAAGGCCACAAATTTTTTGGGCCGAAATATGCACCGTTCAGATTGCATGGACAATTTTAGTTTTCTCTGACAACTTTTCACATTTTTCCACAGTTTTCGAAGAAGGGGCCTGATTGATGCGGTGACCTTGCCTTCTGCAGACTGACTTCAAAACCACGGGACAACCACTTGATTTTTTTTGCTAATAGAATTCTGTAAGTGGAAATTTTTAAGTGGTCAACAAGATTTCACAGGTTTTTGGACACAATTTTTGAGATAATGCTCAACTTCGATGGGATTTCACTTGCAATTTTATCAGAGTTTGAAGACATTTCGCGGAAGAACTCAGGATTTCCTGAGTGGCTACCTGGTAGATTTGTTGGCCAGCAGGTTCTGAGATCCCACTGAGCCCCAAACCCTCAAAAACAGCCATTTTTAGGGGTTTTCGACCTCTACCAAAAAGCCAATTGGTGAAGGATCTAGCACTATTTTTGTTTCGGCAATTCGTATTCACAAGAGGAACAAAAAAAAAAACGGGAGGGAGCCAGATCTGAGTGGGTCCCCGGCCAAGTGCTTTTCTTCTTATTGTGTCTGGAGCTGCTCGCTGTGTATAGTGTATACAAAGCGTGTCGATTCTTTGTGCCGATAGCGGGTACAGAACTGTCACCACGGGATGAGTATGAAATTGCATGATCCATATGCGACCATAAAAGTCCCATGACTGTTGTAAGTAGCTTGTGTTGCAAGACGAACCACGAACTGATCCCAAGAGTAGACGGTGTCCGGGTCCTTGATCCCAGCGTCCCGGAGCGTGTTTTGCAGCACAGTGTGGTAGTGCTTCAGCAGGTCGTCCCAGTGCCGGTCACGCATGGCCTTCTCCGTGCACGACAGAAGCAGTGTGCCGAGGTCCAGGGCCGTGTGGGAGAAGCGCGCAGTCTGGAAGTCGATGAGACAGCACCCGGTCACGGCGCCAGCCTGCAACACGCATTGAACGGTGCAGATGTCGAAGCACAGTGGGCCAGAAGACCGGTTTAGGCGGTCAAAATTCCGGACGTGCTTTGAGCTCCACAGTCGCTCAATTGGACTCGAATCGAACGTGAGACCCCAACAATGGATTGCTCTCCGAACGAGGAACCCATTGGTGGGGTCACACGCTCGGTTCAATTCCTATTTAAATGCTTTGGAGCTCAAAATGCGTCTAGAATTTTGGCCGCCGCGGCGCCGGTTTTCTGGTCCACTGTTCGAGGGATCCTATTCAAAAGACCTCATCTTATCGTTTTTGGATAGAAAATCGTGACTGTATTCAAGCGAATTAATTTAAGTTGGATCATTTGGATAAAAGTTGGATGTTAAAAAGGACCATTATGGAATCCGCGCCGACGTTAGTACACTCTTAAAAGCCTACGAAGCATTTGCTTCATAACTACAAAGAAAATGAAGGCATTGTGGAATTGCTGTGTATTATGAAGAAATGCTTCGTATTACAAAGGATTTTGCTTCATAAGACGAAGCATTTCTTAGATTTTACAATGCCTTCATTTTCTTCGTATTGCGAAGCGATTCTTCGTAGAGTTTTTACTGTGCATCGACCAACTCCGCATTGCATTAGATGAAGGTAAAGGAACGCAGTTGCACTCCACACCCTATTGTCTTCATCAAAGGCTCGAAAGGTATGCGGCAATAATAGCTGACAGATTTGTTGGCAACCTGTCATAGATTTGACACTTTAACAGTTGATTTTGATCAAATGAAATTTACAAAACTGGTCGGAGTTGCTAACGAAATCCTCCACAAACTGATGTCAGAATCAAGAAAGAGGGCTAAAGCAGCGCTGAAGCACAGACGCGGAGAAATTTTAAAGTTGAGGCGTCAACACCTTTTCAGTCTTTCAACCTCAGAATTAGGAAACATTTTAATCCAGAATAACTTGGGCGGAAATGAAATTGCCCTTGATCCCAGAACAACCTCCATTCCTTCTAGTAATTTGTTTCTATCTAGGGTAAGTTTCCACCAGGTAAAATACCAAAACAACAGGTAAAATACCAAAACAAATGTTTTGAAACACGTAGCTTCGGAAAATTCGCGGAGAAAATTCGGAGCCCTCATGGGATTTTCCAATTTACTTCCAACACTGTAGTTCATCAATGCGCACCTCATCGTACTGGAAGAGCATGTTGTTGACGTGGCAATCCCCGTGCATGATCGAGTTGCCGACCCCTTTGCCCGGAGTCATCAGCTCGCTGAAGTACTTATCGCCGAACGTGGAGAAGAAACGCTTCACTTTGGCGTGCGCTGCTGTTCCTTCCGGGTACCGCTCCAGCATCATTGCTGTAACAAAGGCGCAATGATGTCAGGTTGACATTCGTTTGTGGTTGGATAAAAGATACGGAAACGAAGTTAATTCTGCCCCAAAGAGTGGTACTCTATCAGCCGAGGGTATGTTCATGTGCTTGAAAACGATCAACAGTTGAATGTATGTGGTTGGAACGAAGGGAGAACAAGTTCGTACTTTGCATTCATTCAGCAAAATTTGAACACATTACACATTCGGGTGTCGTTAACACCACTTGGCTGTCACTTGATGTTAATTTCAAAGGCCGAAAGTCCTTACAAGGATGTCATCATTACATTTGATGACACTGACAGTTGTCAGGCCATGCAGGAAGTATAGGAGCTCAGATTAGAGCTCATCACTTCGAAATATCACTGTTGTCATTTGCAGGTGATAAAAATGTCATCCACGATTTTGTAAAAATGTGACAACTAAGTTTTGCTCTGCTCCCACGGCTGCGTGTTGCCGACTTGCAGGCGTTAAGGCCACCTGAATCCGGTCCCTGACATAACCTATGCTTCGGATGTTTCGCTGATGATGGAATGAGATGCCTAGCTCTGCAGTTTTGTGTTCTGTTAATCCATATTTTGAACTTTCAGTAAATGCCTGGAAAATACTAGAAGAGAGTCCAGAGTTCCACGTAGAGTCCTAGATATAGTCCAATATTGGTTCCACAACAGTTCCTAGGCCTCAATTCTTGGTCTCCATGTCGTGAATTAAATTAATTTCATGCATAAGCATCAAGAGATGCATTGGAATGTAGCTACACTGTGGCAAAAAGGTACGGAAAATTCTGTTAATTTTTTTGCCAGGATTCTCCGTAGCCCTCTTATCAATATTCTCCGTAGGCTCTTACAGTATTCTCCGTAGGGCCGTACAGTATTCTCTGTAAGTCCGCACAGTCTTCTCCGTAGGACATGGAAGACTGTATAGTCCTACGGAGATCACTGTAAGGTCCTACGGAGAATACTGTGCGGTCCTACGGAGAATATTTATAAGGGGGCTACGGAGAATTACCACAAGCTGTTTACAGAATTTTCCGTAGCTTTTTGCCACAGTGTACATTACCTAATTATTTACCGACTGTCCCAAGTCACCCCTGGTGACATGGGGTAACTTGGCTCTCTATCGAGACCGTTTGTGAACGACATAATCGAGGCAAATGAACCAGACCAGCATAAAATCATGGGGAAAGGGTCAAACTTGGGCCTAATTAGCATCTAATGGGCTAGGTCGAGAATTTTGCCTCTGGCGTTAAAAAACGTGGAAGTGTCCCAAGTTACCCCCGTTCACGATATGCCAGAAATCTTGCACATTCGAACACATTCCCACAATCACTGTTCAAAAATTTTACAGTGGGTCTTCACTCGGGTAAGGACCTGGAGTCTCCTCCGCGACGAGCATCCACGACTTCCAGAAGGTCCTGACGGCGTCGGTCCTGTACGGGGCCGTCAGCCTGTCGGCGAGGGCGTCGAACTCCGCGGGCCGCTGCAGGGCCATGGCCATGGTGGCGCCGTGGAAGCGGCCCAGCTGGGTGACGGCATGGCGGGCGTGGTGCTCGTCCAGCGGCACGCGCCGGTTGGCCATCCTGAAGCGCTCCACGCACTTGTCCTCCAACACCAGGCACGGCCGAGCCGACGTCGTGTTGGCGTGGAAACACCTGGAAAAGTACACCCTACAAGCGTGCTGAAGAAATTTCCGCTCGCGCCTATTTTTCACGATAATAAAGACATTGGCTTGGGAATACATTTTCCCAAAGCAACAGAAGCGGGCACTCAGCTTTCCTAGGTGAGTTCTTTCTGCACTGGTGAAACAGAGGCATTAAAATTATGCTCTTCAGGGGCGTTAACGATTTACGCCCTTGGAGCGGCGTGAACCGTTAATGCCTTTTGGAAAGGCATTAAAATTTTGCTTAAAATGCCTATATCATTCATGCCCTTCCCAAGGGCATAAAACGATTTACACACTAAATTACTATGTAGGTTTTTCTGCGCGCTAATGCACGAAATAGTACATGCACTTCCTAACGCACGAATTGTGGCACTCAGTTTCCTGCATTACTTGCGCACGAAACGTAGCATTATCGCGCACAAATTCGTGCGTTAACGAAGTTTGCATGTAAATTTCGTGCATTAGCGCCCAGAAAAACCTACATAGTAATTTAGTGTGTAAGCCCTTGAAGGGCGTAAAAGAGTATTTATGCCTTTGTTTTACCAGTGTGTGTACTGACTTGGGCCACGGTAGAGGTTCCTTCAGCTTGGCGACGTCCATCAGGACGGGAACGATGGTGCTGTATAATACTGATTCCGCATCAAACAGGAAATCGTGAACCATGTTCCCGGTGTCCGAAAGCGTGGTTTTGCATATAAGCCGCATTTCGTCGGCCCCGGTAGTATCCTGTAACGAAGTCCACTTAGTACCGCCCAAAATAAGTACGGAAGCACTCCCGTGCAGCTTCCGGGTAGTTACCTCGTCATGAATAATGGCTCTGTAGATGATACTAGTGTAGCCGTCCCCGGCGTTTGAGCCCGACTCGATATGGAACCTGCACACATGGGAAACCGACAAATCAATCTCCACCAATTTCAGTATTTTGGTTGGGTTGGATACCCTGCTTTTCGGGGAAACCGTCCCTATACCAAGGGGCCGCGAAATATCCCTTTAGTTAGGGACGTTAGGGATTTTTTCCCCTTAGAATCCAAGCTTCAAAATGCAAAATTTGCTCGAACCGAATTTTAACATTCATTTGTTCAGCTAAGTGCTTTCTGCGGTGTTAGGTTTCTTATGTTCAAACAGTTTCTCCTCCACTGCTCACCCTGCCCGCGACACACTCTCGCGAGGGCACACCAGGTATGAGAGATTTTGCAGTCGGTAAGGAATGGAAAAGGCGCAAACATCGTTGTCGTTTGAAAGGCGAGTCCCAGCATGGACTTACTTTACTAGTCAACCTGTACCGAAGCATCATCTGACGAATGAAATAGAATTGCTACACTCCTTATGAAATACCAGACCAACACATCATGTCACCGAGATGATACGAGTGATCATCTGACAGAACAAAGTATCTTCATAGGGAATCTCACAGTAGGTAGGGTCAGGGCGGGGAAAAACCGGACACCTGCAAGTTGGGGAAGAAACGCACACCGCACTTTCGCCACAAATTTACCTGTTTTGGGACGTGCAAAGTATTCAGTATTGCTTATTGATGATCTGCTAGATTGCGTTTAAGAGGAATTTAGCCTACTTGAACCGGAAAGTATTCAAAGTCACCTTTAAACGAGGTCTCGTTTAAAACACCTTAAAAACTTTCAAAGTTGGTGCCCGCAATATCTCTTTTTAACGACTTTCCGAGCCTACTGTGACGAATATTCTTATTGTAAACGAAAGTTGGAAGTGTGGAGCCCAAGATACGTTCAAATGTTTTAGCAGATTTCCAGCTGGATTACATATGAAGGGTTAAATACGAAACGGGGAAAAACCGTACACTGGTGCGGGGAAAAATCGAACACCTCTTTTTTCTATAATAATCGATGAATTGCCCTAACATCCCACCAAAGTGGTCGTAACAAGTGTATTTTAGCATTTCCCAACATTTAGTGGGAAAACAAACACGGCTGTTGACGATTTCATACATATTGGTCATTTGACCTCAAAAACGTGCCGCCACGGACCCCCTTACAATGCTACGATGATTTCTGTCTACCTAGGAATACTCGTGCGCCTGCTTCAGTGGGTATCGCAAGTGTTACCCCCAAATATCGTTCCCAAGAGATTTCTGACCTACTTTCATAGGTTTTTGTTAAATTAAAGCCTATGTCCGATTTTTCCCCTCAGGTGTTCGATTTTTCCCCGTTTCGACGGGGAAGAATCGCACACTATTTTTTCTCATTTATTCCTGAATGAAGCCGCAAACGCACTCGCTGAGGGTTGAAATGTCTTTCTTTGAGGCTCGATCAACAGACCCAACGGATACATTGGCTAAAGATAGTCAATTAGAGTCAAAATCGAGAAAGATTGCAAAACGTCCAGTTCTTCCCCGCCCTGACCCTATGCTGTTATGTAGGAATGCCACAGATACCAAAGATGATACCACTATTACTGGAAGGAAAGACTGATGATAAAATTCAAATCTTGCTACAAAAATTATGATAGAAGTAGTAATGTACTTCTCATCATTAAATCTCTTTTTCAATGCAAGTAAAACAGTGTTCATGGGATACAGGATTGCAAAATGGAACAAGTGAATAACACAACCTTTTTAGGCATTGAAATCAATAACCTAACGTCACTGGCAAAACTAAAGCGTAACACTATGCTTAAGTCAAGCATAGAGTTACGCTTGAAGACGTTACGCTTGAAATCAAGCATACTCTGGAAATTCCCCCATGCATTTAGATAGGGGGATTCTTGGCGGATGAGCCTATTCCGCTTGATTTCAAGCGTAAACTGATTACGCTTGAAAACAGAGGGTAGTACTACGCTTTAGTTTTACCAGTGGTGGGATAATCAAATTGAAAAATGAAAGAGGAAACAAAATTCGGGTATATCCGGATATATATATAAAAATCCATCAGTTAAATCTTGTATTTTTTTATCTTGTATTACCGAGGAGTGACGATGTACAACATGTAAATGTTTTTATGACAAATAAACACTTTGAATCTGAGACTTTAGACAATGAACATAGACCCTCCATCCATAGACCCTGTTTGGTCAGCACTGGGTCCGCTTCCACAGTTAGACGTTTTAAACGCGACGAATGTGAGTTTTGGTGGCCTGATTACATTCAGCCGACTAAAATCCACTTTGCAGAGGGCGAAATCTGAGACGCGGCTCAAGAACGGCGGGATAAAGGTCCCGTAAGAAGCATAGAAATAATGAAATCTGAGAATACCTATCAATTGAGCATGTCAGATATTGAAATCATCCCGTGCATTGACTCGCACCTTAACAATTGAGACTTTGCAATGCTTCTTGCAGCAAGGGCATAAGGCATACAAGTTGCAGTCTACGGTTCAATGCCGTCACGGGAATTTTCTTCACAACGAGTCAAAAATTGCCATTTGGCATAGGAGAGAAGCCTTCTGATCGCCATCGGGTACCAAACTTCTGTGTGCCGTGGCGAGCGAACGAAATTTCATTGCCACTGGCACACGAAACTCATTGAAAGTGTAACAAAAAAGGGGCGTTTCAGAAGCCACGATACGAAAATTCAAGTGAAAACTTTTTACAGTGGAATACATTATACGATGCTTTTGCCACTGCACTGTTTTGTGTGCCTCTAGTGCGAGAGGGCTTCGCCTGTTTTATCTCCATGCCCTTGAGACTTGGGCCGGAGATGGGCTGGCGTATCGGACAGTGCGTGTTTGAGAAGTCTTTTTCATGCGAGCGTGCCAAAGTTTGTCAGATTGCCAACAAGAACAGTTCCTGAACAACACGGGCGGTGTCTGGTCTGCGAAACGCTGCGGTGCACTTGAGACGGGGGATTCAAGCCAGCTGGCGCGAGATTCAATTCGTGTGGTAGACGACTCTCTTGATGTCGCTTCAGCTAGCACTCTCAACACTTCGCTTAGCACTGCAAAGCCGGTGGTAAGTTTGCTTGCCACAGATTTGACAAGCCACTTTGAATGCTAAAATTTGGCAAGCTTTGGTCGGAAATCTTCATAAGCTTGCCAAAATTTGGTAAGCTTATGAAGATTTTCGACCAAAGCTTGCCAAATTTTGGCATTCAAAACGATTTACCAAATGTGTAGCAAGCAAACTTATCACCGGCTTTGCAGTGAGTGCACCCAAAGTTTGGGTCCCAAACCTACACGCTTTTAGATTGCCGTGTACTGTACCCGACTCTACTAGCTCGAGTGGGAGAGATGCCAACAACACAGCGATTGGCCAAGGCCACTGTCGTCTCGCTACACCGATACACAAACAGCCGAGTGCCAGCTGCGTGCGCGATATTTAAGATGAGGTGATCCATTTTGACACGTCCCTATCCGGCCCCTCAAACAGCGTATCCCATTGCCTCGTGGTCAAAATCCCGTCAAATTGACAAGGGGAAAACATCTTCAATTTATATGTGTGTTTTCCTTGAAATACGGTACTCCAACGAATATTGAAACTGAAAAAAGTATCAAATGTAAGCCCTAAAAACAGTTTCTGCGCATGCGCCCTGGATGGTGGGCGGTGGGGGGAACGTCTGGGCATGCGCAGTGTTACAAGGTCCTTACTTTTGTTCACTTTCTTCCGTTTCAAGATAATTGGAGTGCCCCATGGCGTCGAAATAACTTAAATTTGCAAAAAAGTGAATTTTCTTTTGTAACTCTTTCGACGAACGTTGACCAGCGCGAGACTCACCGTGGCTTTTTGAAGCCCGCCTTGCTGGCGACGGCCGCTATGCCGTCTTGCACAACGGCGGGAACGTCCATGGTCGACCCGCTCGAGGCCATGGCTAGGACCGCACTGCCCGGCACTATGGCCAGCAGCCACATCGCGCTGGGAGGGGGCACTGATAAACACACGGCTCGCGTCGGGCGCCCGCCAGTCTCCTCGTGCTCCGCAGACATTGGAACTTTGACCAGACAAGGAGCGTCCATTGTTACAAATTGCTTCGAGTGCTACTTTGTGACAATGGCTAGTTATTTGTTTCAACTGTTGCAGAAGGTGTATCGTGGGCTTGTGCCACTGTGCATATAGACGAATATCATGCAATGAATGACTCTGCATTAAGACTTCATTTTCGAATGAGCCGAATCGTGTTGGAGGTAAGAATGGCTGTCACTGGAATGATTGTGTGTTGACAGTGATGTGACGGTATTTTAACAATTCCTTATGTTTCCAATTGTTCAGGAACTCTTGGTGACAATGGACGACCATCTGATTACTCGGAGACATCATAGACCACTCAAAGATACACAAGGTAGGTTTACGCCAGACCGCGTCCGTGGCCCGATCTGGACCAAATTAGGCATGCAGCCTCCTTCGGTGACCCTAAGAGCCGCCCGATGGCAGCAAATCCGATCCGAGCCCCGGGGGCGCTGCTGCAGGTGCATCATGGTCTACATGGGATAGAGGAGGATTTCGGCAACGGATACAGCTAGGGGGGCATGTAGGGGTATTTTTGGAATCGGGGCGACGAAACAAAACCAACGGTGCCAGTTTCAAGCGAATCGGAAAAGTTTGGACCCGGTTCAAATCCCAGTGGGGTATATTTTGGACATTCTTTATATTCAAATTTTTGCATTGTTTCTGATGTTTATGAGGGCGCTGATGACGAAAATAACATTTATTTTGACCCCAGACTCAGGTTCAAATCCCGCCAGGGTTAAACAAAGGCGAAATTCGCACATTCCCTGATGAACGGGACGGGCCAAAGTTGCCGATGTATATCGCGACTTTTCCTGTTTTGTTGATTTGGCGGGTTCTGAAAAGCACATCAGTGGAAGCCAGGCTGCGACTTCTCAGGAGACTCAAAATATTAATTCATCAATTACAATTACAAAAGTTAACTTTGAACCGAGTGGTTATGAGCTTGGCTGAGGAGGTAAAAAGACTTGCAGGCAACATTTGAAGGATTTTCAAAACATTTTCACTTGTTTATTTCGTTATGAAATTCACTCATTTCTTAATGTACGGGACGGGCCAAAGTTGCCGATGTATGTCGCTACTTTTCCTGTTATCAAAGTTTCTCATTGGGCTCTGCATGTCCGCAGAGGGTGCCCGTGGTTGAACGCCCAAAAGTGAGAACCCAGCTATTGAGTTGTGCGGAAATGCTTGTGCCCGCTCGTTTGCTTTCATAACAAATTCGTCCGTTACAGCCTGGAGCATGTCCAACTCTTTGACGTGTGTGTTGCTGTGGTCCGTGGTATGTTCGGATGTAATGTTTCCCGGATGGATGAAGATTCAGGATTTCGACGTCAGATGATACACGATGTAAACGGACTCATTCAAGAGACACTTTCGAAGAACCGGGTCGCAACAGAAATCAATGTTGAGGAGCTCAATACCCCACAATTTGTGTAAGTCTCGTTACCCCTGTGCTTGTTTCTAAGTGGCTCGCGCTTGCTCGCGTCTCACCGTCCGTGTTCCTTACAGGAAAATCCAAGAACATTTGCTGAATGTGACCTCAGGCCAGGTGCGCCAGTCGATGCACAAGGCGGCTGATGCCGCGAGTGTTCTCGTGACCAGGCGGAAGTAGATGCATTTTAAGCAGCATGTTCGCCCTTAAATCGTTTTTTAACTTTCGTTTTACTTCCAGGGCGATGAAAAAGGCCTTCGAAGAACTGGACAAGTTTTCTATGGCCTTCAGGAGATCTTGCCTTGCTTACAGTAATGCTTTGACCGCGTAAGTTGTAACCGATGCTATTGGTGGCATTCCTATTCCTGCAATGGATGATTGGCTAAACTGATTGTGTTTCTTCCACAGGGCTCTTCCCAACGTGGGTGAGGGTGCTCATGACGACGACGGTCCGTCAGGAGGCCCCGGCTCGAAGCCAGCCTTTTAGTCAGCCAAGGAGCCAGGCCCTGATCAGACTACCGCCACCAAGACCGCCAGGTAAAAGTCTCGATTACACCTCCATGGAGTAATTTAGTCGTATCAGTTGTCACTGGGTGGACTCTGAATACTCCGTGATATTTATCTATTTTTCTTCTTCCTTCCGGAGAAGCGACGGCTCGACGACGACGAGGAGGAGGAGCAGCAGCAGGCGCGGACCGCTACACCTCCACCGCGGAAACGTCGTCCGGGTCGTCGCGATGACGACGATCAACCCCCGACTGCCCCCACCCCCACCCACGCGAAACGTATTTCGCGGCGCCCTAACTTTTATGGGCATTCTCATTCCAGGAACGTGACATCACGTTGAAACGAACGTGACAAAATGTCACGTTTGTTTGAGCATTGTGTCACGTTCGTTTGAATGTGAACGAGCTGATTTTTGGCCAATTCACACTCAGACGAATGTGACACAATGCTCAAACGAACGTGACATTTTGTCACGTTCGTTTCATCGTGATGTCACGTTCCTGGAATGAGAGTGGGGTCGCAGCCTCCGAAAGCCAATTTTGATAATGTAAGTCACTTGTTCTGTTTTCTAGTATATTTATTTTCTGATTGTAAATCCTTTCTTTAACCGTACGTTTTTTATTACAGACGAGTATCTCGTATAGATTTATATTTTGGATTTGTTTCTTAACCAAGTAGGGGTTTACCTTCCCCTCATTTTTTAACTGGTTGCAAACCTTTTTTCGTGTATTCGTGATAGTGAAGCATGCGTTTTTGTTCAAAATTCCGAAACTTTTCGGAGAAAGCCCAGACGAGATGATACAAGAAATTGTTACCCGCTTGGCTCCGACCAACTTCCAGCTCTTGCCATCAGCTCCACCTCTAGATGAAGAAGAGGAGGCGCTTGATGAGGATCTAGTCCAAGTTCCAGAGCCACCTCTGCGCCAATCGGGGCCAGAAAAATTCATTGAAGTGCAGGAGAACGGTTTAGTAATTATTTGTTCTGCTGCATGTATTTTTTCCTAGACAAGCGGCTAGAATGCGATTCCAGCCCACTGTGCCATGCGGCATGGCCCATGCCCAGGGAAGAACTACGTTGGAACTTGACAGCTTGTGGCATGTTTCTAACTAATTTCTTGTAGTCCAAAGAGGAGAAAATACAAAAGCTCCGGAGATCCTTTTCCTCTCTAAACTTTCTGAAAACGAATCACAAACAGGATTCCGAGGATGAGAGTGACACTTTGAGAGTGGGCAAAGAAGAGGCACCTACAAGCGAAGTCTTTGACAAACCTGAAAGTGGTGTGAAATTATTCTTTAGAAATGCTTCAAGGTGGGCTTTATCAAGTTAAGAAAATCAACAATTTATATCAACGTGTCTGGTATTACTAAATTATTCTTTACTTTGACTCTGGTTGGGGAAGACAATTTGGGTTTGCATTCCATGCTCGGATTTGTTTAATGTTTCACTGCCAACTATTGTTGCACTATTTGAAAAGTTTTCGGGACCCAGCTTCAATTTAAAACGAGTCTTGACGAGCGTTTGCTCCGAACAGTAGATAGTTACGCTGAAGACGAGGCAGTTAATGATGTCTCCCTTACAGGTATTGATTCGGAGTGCGCTTTCAGTGCAGTGCCAAGTTTACCAATGCTGCGATGTTATGCATGACCTTCCAGAGGGAATTTTTAAATGTACCATGTGTAATATTGATCATTACTTGGTTAATGAAAGATATAATATTTTAGTTTCGAGATGATTTATGCGGTGGATCAATTTTGACTATGCTTGTCATGAAGTTGGAACCACTCCACCGTTTAAAAAACTTACTGCCGACGCGGTGCGGTCTGACAGTAAGATCTTTCGGCTTCTGAAATATTGTGATTTACTCTCTGATTTGCAGAAATGGTAGGGGATTGAGTACCTGATTGTGAATTGTACTTGTTGATTCGTGAGGTACTGAGTATTATGCTTTCTCCTGCATTTGTTGTTGGTAAAGAGAATTACTTGCATCATCTTAAGATCTTTCATCTAACATTCAAATTTCATGTTTTGAAGCATTGTAAGGATGTAATGAGGTTAATTGGACCTCTGGTTCTTATGTGCCACGCCAAATTTGTACTTGAAAGGGGGGGGGGCATAGAAGTTGGAACCGAATGCTGCTCTGACGTGCGATCAGGCCAGAGATCAGGCCTCCTTGAGTGACGAGAGAGTCTGCTGAAGGCAAGCCAACGCCGCAGGCCAAGGTAGGTGTAAAAGCCAGGCGTGGATTGTCGAAACTGGTACAGCATCGCGAAGCCTGTTATGACAAGGGACTGTCTGGCGTACACCTACCTTATATTATGTTGTCTCAAGATTCTTGATGATGTCAACCCTGTCTCCACATCGCTTTTATAATTTTATGTTGCCTAAACATTCTTCATTATAATTCTCTGGTGTCTCAACATCTCTTTGCACATTGGCTGAGCGATAGCGAAGCCCGTTACCCTAGTGGGGTTGAAAAGTTGTGTGTTTGAGTGTCTGTCAGCTGCAAACAAGTATCAAACGACTGTTAAATGTTCAAGTGTGGCCGATACGTTTGACTAACGTCTCTTCCCCATGTCAAGTTTGGATCTACTTCCGCCAACATGGCGTCTGTGTGCTTCCGGTTCAGGGATCTACGAAAGTACCCTATGCCATGGTCTCACAAGCATGGACATTTTTAACCATGAACCCTTTCTGACTTCATCGTGGGGCGCTCTACTCATAGCTGCAACATTATATCCGTGAGAGCTCGCCGAAGGCAAGCAAGAAGCGCCTCGCCGCACGCCAAGGGAGGTGTAAATGCCAGGCGTGGATGTTCTATACTGGCAGCATCGCGAAGCCTGTAACGACAAGATACAGTCTGGCGTACACCTACCTTGTTCTATGTCAAGAGAGAAACGAGAGACGTCCAAACGTTCTAGAAATTTTGTTTATGATCAATGTGTGATGGTGGGTAACTGCCGTTGGAAACTATCTGTATCTCTACTGTATGTGAACGCACACCAGAGACATGAGGCTTTCACTGTCCTCTGCAGTTAAAAGTTTCCTTTTTCCTGTCAAATTTTGAGGGTTCTAAATTCTAATGTGGAATTTATACGGTACTTCGGAGAAAACCTAGACCGGAAGTCATCGTCAGAACTGGAGAAACAATAGAGCATCGCGCGGCAGTGCTGAGCGGAAGTGGGGCTCGAAAGCGGCGGAGTGGGGGTAAAGGCGGCGCGCGGCGCGCGCACGCTGCCCCTACTTTATTCATCCCGGCCCCCACCACCGACCAGCACGGCCTCGCGACGCTCTTTTGTTTCTCCCGTTCTGTCGCTGACTTCCGGTCTGGATTTCCCCCGAAGCACCCTATTTCTGGACCGGACGTCAAAGTACTAAAGTCAGAATTCAAACCACCTCAGCGCATGCTCGCAACCGGTTTAATTTTCACCTTGGTTGTTTCACTTCCGGTCTACAGATACGTTGAAACATCCTTCAGCCTGTGTTTCTAATGCAGCTGAAGGTGATCTTTCTCTAGTTTTATGCGTGCCTTGAATGAACTTGCCAATAGGGTACTTCGGAGGAAACCTAGACCGGAAGTCAGCGACAAAACCGGAGAAACAAATGAGCGTCGCGCGGCCGTGCTGAGCGGTGGTGGGGGCCGGAATCGGCGCAGTGGGGGTAGCATGCGCGCGCCGCCTTCGCCCCCCACTCCGCCGATTTCGACCCCCACCACCGCTCAGCACGGCCGCGCGACGCTCTTCTGTTTCTCCCGTTCTGGCGCTGACTTCCGGTCCAGACTTACTCCGAAGTACCCTATTGATCGTGTCTCCTGCGTAACATGTCTATGGTGCAGTGGGGGCGAGTGTGAGTCTTAAACAACGCGTCGTGCGCGCGCTCCATATTGCTCGTATCTGAACCTCAAATGTTGTCGGGATGTTCCTTGTGAGCCGTGACGTGAGGTGTTGATTCACGTGACCATTCTCATCCCGTACCCCTTCTGTAGCGTTTTTCGGCGGGGTGATCGTTTAGTAAGTGCGTCCGAGGGGTGCCGAAACGCATCAATACGGTATTTCTTCGGGTCTTAGACTAGAAGGAAGAAGATTGAAAGTAAGCCCGAAAACGGAAGCCGCTCGGGCACAGCCGCACTCGGTTTTGAGAAGTAGTGCTTGGCTTGCGTTCACGCTTGTTTCCTTTGATGTAGCCACTGCTCTTTCGCGCTTGCGTGTGAGTCGAACGATGTTCGTACACTTGTATGACTCTTGCGATACACACATTTAAGATTATTTCCCGGAAGAGCAGCGACAGCAACATAGTACGAATCATATGACGAAAGCAAGCTTTACACACTAAATTACTGTAGATTTTTCGGCGCGCCAATTCACGAAATCAAACATGCACTTCGCAACGCATGAATTTGCGCGACAATGCACGATTTCGTGCGCAAGTATGGAGAAAATCGTGCATTTTCGCGCACAAATTCGTGCGTTACGAAGTGCATATTTAATCTCGTGCATTGCCGCTCAGAAAAACCTACATTGTAATTTAGTGTGCGTATCTCGAAGCGCGCGCGGGCGGGCACGAGCGGCTTCTGTCATCGAGCTTATCTTTGTTCCTCTTACTTCCGGTTCAGTATCCAAGGAAATAGCCTATCGCTAATCAAAGTGAGGCGATGGCCTCAGTTCTCAGCGGATACGAAAACGATGTCTCAGCTTCTGGTAATCACAGCCCCTCTGATTGGGTATTCTCAGAAGTACCCAGTAATCAGTATAGGCATTTTTACGTCCTAAACTCTGAGAGTTGCTCAACACACTTAATCACTATGTAGGTTTTTCTGCGCGCTAATGCACGAAATTTAACATGCACTTCGTTACGCACGAATTTGTGCGCGACAATGCACGATTCCGTGCGTAAGTTCGGAGAAAATCGTGCATTGTCACGCTCAAATTTGTGCGTTACGAAGTACATGTTAAATTTCGTGCATTAGCGCGCAGCAAAATCTACACAGTACTTTGGTGTGCTTGTCATGTCGCAGAAAGTGAATTTCTAGTCCGCTCTTTGTTAGACCTGCTCCTCTAGATTGAAACCCTCCTAAAGGGCCCACCTCTTCTCCCCCTCTCTGGCGAGATCCAATATTGTGCGGGTACTTGCAAACTGATTGATCAATTCGGGAGATCATTTTATGCGGGGTGAATCACTCAGCATTCTGCTGTACTCACGACAACTGATAGTGGACCTATTAAGAACTCTTGTTTCACATTTAAATAGTGTTCCAGACAATACGCAACACCAATTCTTACCAAAACCTAGCGATTTTGTTTTGATTTTTTTTCTTTTTGAACTTGTGAGTACACTGAGAACGGTCCTAGTTGCACACCTGCGTACACCAGTGATACACCCCTCGGACCCTTTCCCATCTATCCTGATAGTATCCGTGGTCCGCGGTTGTGCCGCTGCCGAACACTACTCTGGCGAAAAGCTACGGAAACTTCTGTTAACAGCTTGTGGTAATTCTCCCCCTTGTCAATATTCTCCGTTGGAGCTTGCAGGGATCTCCGTAACACTAGTAATTAAACTTCTAGGCCCTACGGAGAACACTGTAGGGTACTACGGAGGACACTATAAGAGCTTACGGAGAATATTGCTACGAGAGCTTTGGACAATCTTGGCAAAATAATCAACAGAATTTTCTCTACCTCGTTTGCCTCGGTGTACTGTCGCTAATCAGTGAAGCTCGTTTGTCCGGTGCTCTCATTCTTCCTCAACCTTCTCTCACTGGAGCCTGCACTGAAAAACCAAACGTGGTCTAGACCGCACCAACTGGTGTGGTCAAATGGATGCCATTTTGACCGCATCAGTTGGTGTGGTCTAGACCACGTTTGGGGCGTTTAGTGCGGTCTAGACCACACCAACTGATGCGGTCAAAATGGCACCCATCTGACCACACCAGTGGTGCGGTCTGGATCACGTTTGGTTTTTCAGTGTGCGCTCGCTCTTTGCCCAGCAGGACGAGCCGGCCGCTCCATGGAGGACCTGCCAGACGAGTTGGTGCTGCACATCCTGCGGCACCTGTCCGACGGCTTCGCGCTCCTGGACGCGCTGCCGCTGGTGTGCCGGCGCTGGCACCGACTGTGCCAAGACGTGCGCCTGTGGAGCAACGTGTCGGCCGACACCCGCTTCTGGAAGGCCCAAGACGACCCGCGCTTGCTGCTGCACGCCCCGGCCCTGCGCTGCCTCTCCCTGCACCGTCAAACCGCCAAGGGGATCGACAAGGTATGTATAAAGACCGAGAATCCAAACGATGAGTACACAGTAAAAACACTGGCAAAACTAAGGCGCACTATTACGCCCTTCTTCAAGCGTACAAGAGTTCATGCGCTCCATTCTTCCTGTCTGAATGCATGGGGGAATTGCCTTGAAGCGTAGTTGTACGCTTCAAGAAGGGCTTACAGTCTTGAAGCGTAGTTTTACGCTTGAATGAAGCGTACAACTACGCTTTAGTTTTACCAGTGATCTATACGAAGAATCGCTTCGTAATACGATGAAAATGAAGGCATTGTAAAATCTACGAAGAATTGTTTCGTTTTATGAATCAAAATCCTTCGTAAAACGAAGCAATTCTACAACGCCCTTATTTTCTTCGCAGTTATGAAGCAAATGCCTCGTAGGATTTTAAGAGTGAACGATGCTTTTGCATCCCAGATGCCTACCCATTGCTTGAGTGTTCCCACCATTTGCTGTGTTCATGCCTTGTACTCACACTGCAAATGTTTTATGGTGAAAGGCTGCACCAACATTTTATGGTGGAGATTTTCTCCATGATACCAGCAAAATTCTTCAAAATATCTGTAAGGTACAGTGAATTCTCAATGGTATGTTATGAAGTCCTGCACCACCTTAATGTGGAGAATCTTCACTGTTCAACATTTAGAGTGCAGTACTTGCTATGCACATCACATAGTACGCACGCGTGCCCTGTTGACTGTTCAGAAAGTATACATACTCTTGACAGAGTGTCCTGACCTGTTTCCTCTCTCTCCACCTAGGACTGCCTGCCAGCCGCCGTGGGCCGCAGCCTGGCAGTGGTCCGCGAGGCCGTGACGGTGACGCACGGCGGGCTGCTGCGCCTGGGCCAGCAGGGCGGCGGCGGGCTGCTGGCGCTGCTGTGGCGCAGCCGCCACACCCTGCGCCGCGTCCTCGTGCCCTGGGCGGACGCCTCGTTGTAAGTGGCTGCTCTGCAAACTGTACAGTGTGCTCAGTACACTCTATTTGGAGTGTACTCATAAGCACACTCCTGTGAGAGTGTGCTCAGCGAAGTATACTCTAACGAGAGTGTGCTTAGCTGAGTACACTCTAACGAGAGTGTGCTTAAGTCGGCACAATACATGCAGCTGAGTACACGTTCGTGGGAGTGTACTTGTGAGTACACGCTGCAGAGAGTGTACTCATGAGTACACTCTAAAGAGAGTGTGCTTAAGTCGGCACAATACATGCAGCTGAGTACACGTTCGTGGGAGTGTACTTGTGAGTACACGCTGAAGAGAGTGTACTCATGAGTACACTCTAAAGAGAGTGTACTGAGTACACTGTTGAGTTTGCAGAGTGTCCTGGGACTGTGGACCGGGGGAAAATGGGACACTTTCCATCACTCTGCTAATCGTGTGTAAACTTCGTCCAGCAGTGATTGGTAATCTCACTCCATAACTGGTTATTTTCGCTGTTTTTGTCGGATTTTGGGAGGCTTTTCTTATTAATCTGGGCCAAAAATGCTGTTAGCTGGTCAAACTTACAGAGTGTTTTGAGTAATTTTGTAGGTTTTCACTAGTAATCAGTTTTCAGTAATCCTTTGTACACACCTGAGCTGAGAGGGGGGCCCCTCGTTCTTGACCAATCCTCAATGTTGGGGGCCGTCCATTTATTACGTAACGCATCAAGGGGAGTGGGTATTTGCTCTGCGTAACGCTACGGTACATGGGAAGACGGGTCCCCTGAGCCAGCGTAACGAGGGGAAATTCACTGCACGTAATCGGTGTTCGCGTTGAGCATGATCCGCGCGATCTGGGCGTAGTCCACGAAATACATTAAAACTAGAGCACATTGCAGGAAAACAAGCAGTACGTAGCTGTTTTCCTCAGAAAATTTGCGTAACGTTACGCTGTTGGAGAGGGAGGGAGGTTCTGGCCCAGCGTAGTGCTACGTAACTTTGGGAGGGGGGGTACCCAAAAGTACGTAATGTAACTAATGGATGGCTCCTTAGAAACAGCATTCAGTCACTCGTTTTGTTAGAAAATCAGTTGGACCTTTAAATTAATTGGTACTGCCTATTCACATCTTTAAGAGAGCAGGCTTTTACTTATTATTTTACAATTGGCTGTCTAATGTTTCACGTGTGAAAGCTATGAAATAACGGGCCCTACTTAGGATAAATATTTTTCGTTATCAGCTTTTTGCTGCGTTGCATTTCACAATGGATCCTCTGTTGTTCTCATGAGAAAGGTGTTGATTGGCACTTGGTGTCGTCAAATTTGATTGTGGAATCGTTCACAGGGAGACTCCCAGTCACCGCCTCTCCTTCCTCGAGGTTCTCGCGCGCATCGAGTGCTTGGAGGTGCTTCACCTGCACGTGGGCGTCAAAACGGTTCTCCAGTACTCCGGCCAGTTGGGGCAGGACGAGGCAACGGTCCCGCTGCGTGAGCTTCAGGTAAGTCGAGGCGTGGGAACGTTGGTTTAGCACCTATCGCAAAACGCGTCGATGCACCGAAAAGAATGCAGTAACGTGTAGCCCCGCAACTGGATTCGACGTGCGTAGTGCAGTCCTTTGGCGGGTTCACACATTCGGTTCGGGTTACATTTAACGACTTCGGAGTTCTTAATGCGTCCGTCATATTGACCGCTCCCACCGGTCTTTTGACCCACTGTGCATAGGGTGTTCAGGTGCTCCTCAAGAGCACGAGCTAGGAAGAAGAACGCAAACGGAGTTCCTTCGATGAATATCATGCTGCGGATAAGCCTTCATCTATCTAAACATGAAGAGGGGACCCTGGTGAAACTTTCAAGTAGTCTTTAAAATAATTCCAGAAAGTTGAAACTTTGCCTAATTATTGGGTTCATTGTGGTGAGTTCCTCAAACTAAATTCAATCCAAAATGTTATACGGTCTCTGAGGAAAGTGCCATTTCAGTGTTTTTTTAGAGCGGTGGGGAAAAATCTTCCTGCGTCTTTCATTGTGACGGAAAGCCTTAGAAATTCATTTGGGTTATCCAAAAGATAAATAGAAGAGATTTTAGTGACGGAATTTTTTAAATTAACCTTTTGTCCTGGGATATTAATTTTCAAACTTTAACTTTTTAAAATAGCGAGTTTTTTTTCCATTTTTCTTCAAACTTTTTTGTGCTTGTAGAATAAAGTAGGGCTTATATCAAGGTTCCGTCACCAAAATTTGTCGACAAGTCATCAAAGAATAGAGCCCATGCAAGACGACTCATGCATGTGTCAACCAGGAACGCTTAAAGTCTTTCTACGACAAAAATTTTGGTCCACAGGAAGATGCATTAAATGTACAGTGATGTCCCATAAAACCTCCTTACGCGCTTTATTCTGTATAAGTGCATAATCATTCGTTCTAAAAGTCCGCAAGAATCAAGAAAAGTGAAACTGGTGTTCCAGATCCGCGCTTGCAAGGCGGCCTCCAAGTGGACCGTGCAGCGGGCCGTCCCCGAGGACCTGGTGCTGGACCTGGTTCGCCGCGCTGGCGCCGGCCTGCGCGAACTGCGGCTGGACGGGCGCTGGCCCGTGCCGCCGCGAGTGCTGCAGCAGCTGGACCGGAGCCAGCTCCGCGACGTGTCGGCGCACAGCTCCGTCCTGGGCATGGCCGCCAAGGCCCTGCGCAGCGTGGAGCGCTTGACGCTCAGCGTGATGCTGGACCAGGACGGCGGGGCGGACGACGTGGACATGGAGGACCCGGACGCCGACAGCGCGGGCAGCGACGACGAGGCCGACGGCCTCGACGACCAGCCGTTCCAGGAGTTCATGGCGGACTTGAGGACGTCGGGCATGGCCTTGGTGAGCGCGGCCCTGGCGCGCTGCGAGGCCGCCGCGTCGCTCAGGATGCTGGCCCTGACCGTGACCGACGTGGACCTGGCCGAGGACGAGAACTTCCGCGTGGACTGCCGCAAGTTGGTGGATGCTTTCAAGGAGCGCAGGCCTCTCGTGCAGACTCAGTTGGACTTCCACTGTACGTTCAGAGCGGAAGCGTACTAGCTGGTCTTCCACTGTAACTCTAGGGTGGAGGCACTCCACATGACTTTCCTAGAATTTTTCTTCTAGGACTCTCAGTGTAGGCGTTCTGGGTAGGAGGCTGGCAAGATTAAAAGCCGACTTCATTGCACTTCCATTGCACCTTCCTAGAGGAGGCGTTCTAGGAGACTGGCCTGATTACCAGCCGACTAAGTTGCATTTTCGTTGTACCTTCTGAGTGGAGACGTTTCAGGGGCTGGCTTGATTACCAGCTGACTGAGCAAACTGCTAAAGTCTCGGAAACGGGAATATCATGGGTTAAAGACCCGCTAATCAATTTAATGTGAGCCCTGTTTATAATCGTTATCTTCGTTTTATGAGTCCAGATCTGATCAAAGAGTTGGAATTTGTGTTCAAATATTTGTAAATAGGTTTAGTCGGACGTAGGCACATGTGTCGTTATTAAACCTGATTGTTTTCGTAAGGCTGCATCTTTTATTTAGCGAGAGGTCAATTTAAAGCTCAACAAACTGAGGTGTGTACTTGGCTTTGGTATGCATCGACTGGTGCTCATTTGCATGCAAGTTCACTCCTACGGGTGCTCACCCATGTGACTGAGTTCACTCGTACGAATGCACACACCAATGTGTACTCGGCCGAGCACGCAACTTAAGATGTGAAATAACGGCCAAGGATGCTTGCATATGTTGGTGCGCACTTAAGACCGTCTTGGCCCACTGTCTCACTAGCGAACTATGTTAGGTGTTACATCCAGATTTTCTTCATAGTCGTGATTTCGGAAGGGCATCTCAGTAGATTAAGATCGCGCATAGAAGTTCGTGCCCAAATACATTACAACACGTTTAAAACAGAGCATGAAAAATGGAATTTTCACTTTAAAATAGGGATTTTGTGAAAATTTCAATTTTTATGCTCCGTTTTTAACGTGTTGTTATGTATTTGGGCACGAACTTTCATGCGCGATCTTAATCTACTAAGATGCTCTTCCGAAATCCCAAATATGAAGAAAATATGGATATGACACCGAAAATAGTTCCCTTGTCAAGTGCACATCTAGAAGTGCGTACTTGCTAAGTACTCGCTTATCAAATCGTACATCTGTAGGTGTGTACACAGACTGTATGCATGTGCAGTTCTGCAGTCACAAGTCTGTAGATGCATGCTGAGCACACGCTTTAATTTACAGACTCGATGTTCTAGTCGTTTCTTTTTTTGTCATATCTGTACTATTTTATTTTGTTTCGTTTTAAGTTAACTTGCGTTAACGAAGTATGGTAGGCCCCAATAATCAATTTATCTTGACATTGTGCAGAATGCAGGATTTTCCGTACCCACGCTGTTACTTGTCCTGCACAGGGATCCTTAACTTACCTCATAAGGGCATCATAACGTTATCATAAGAGTTAAAGTTATTACCCTTAACTTCTAACATCTTTTCAAAAGGGTAAGTTATTTTTTTATGTCTCGAATTTGTGTGGATATACTTTTGCAAGTACTTCCGTAAGTCCGTACCCTTAACCTATAGCGAACATTGTCTTATGTTACGTTATGACAGCAGTGTTAGTTAAATGTTGAGTTAAGTTAAGGATCCCTGGTCCTGTACTTGTTTTAGCACGGTAAGTCCTGCGATTTGAAGTATGTTGACAACCAGTCTGAGCTTGATGAAATTTCCCATGTTTTTTCTTCCTGCAGTGTGCGTGCACATCATGTGTGAGTTTTAAGTGATCCTGCCGACAAGCCAATACTTAAGTCTCCTACCTCACGAAACACACTATAAATGTTTTACAATGAAATTTGACCTATGTTGTTCGTATGTTACAGTGGATTCGGTGCAAGCATAATACGAAGGAATATTCCTTCGTAATACGAATCTTTTTAGCTTTTCCATTGTAAGACACAAAGAAAAACCTTCGTAATACGAAGAAAAACCACCTTCGTATTATGCTTGCGCCATTTCCTTCGTATTATGGGAAATTTCTTCGTAAGACATTAAGACAAGCATGAAGAGTGCACGTTGTACTGATATTTTTTGTGTTATGCTTTTTACAGGTAAAATTTTCGTGACCTTCTACACTGGCACGGTTCTTCCGGCTTGCCGTTTCAACTCTATACAGAGTCAGCCAAGTGTCACGGAGAAAGTGAACCAAGCCAATGCGTCTCTCGACTACCAAGTGCTTTCTTTAGGAAACTGGACGAACTTCCAAGAGTGGCTGGAGGCATTAAATGAAGCGGGTCGCTCTGTATTCTCATCGTAGTGCCGCTCTGTGATTTGGTTTTAGTTAGTTTGCTTCCGGTGCTGTGTCACTTGGTTTTAGGTAGTTTGCTTCCGGTGCTGTGTCACTTGGTTCTAGGTGGTTTTGCTTCTGGTGCTGTAGTTAGCTCCGCTTCCGCATGTGTGTGTGTTGGGGACGGTGACTGCATCGCGTCTTGCCATCTGTCTGTCCTAACGCGGGCGTGTCATGTGTTGCAGGCGCCGCGGTTTTCGGACAGGTCTCCGTCAAAGAGGACTCCAAGATGGGCTGCTCTGGGGCGCAGGGCCCTGCTCTGCCGGCCGCGCCGTCTGCTGCAGCGAGCGATCGGGTCGTCGGCTGGTGCAGCGTGGCAGGCTGCACGGAGGGCTTCTCGTCGTGGGAGAAGCACGTCAAGCATCACCGGGCGTGCCACGTCAAGGAGCAGGACAGAGGATCCTTCTGCTCCCTGTGCCTGGTGCAGGTGAGGGGACACTTTATATTACTACAAACACTGAGAATGAAAAAGTCATGATCAATACCCAATTTTGGGCGAGGTATACTGTATCACCCAAATTTGGACGAGCATTGTTTCCTCGCCCAAATTTAGGCGAGGAAGTGAGGAAAGGTGTATCAGCTGTCTATATGGCTCCATAGTGACCCAAATTTGGTTGAGGAAGCCTTCCTCACCCAAATTTGGGTAATAAAGAATTCCTGGCCCAAAATTTTAGTCATGATCATGACTCTTCCATTCTCAGTGAACTTGTTGTGTGCACTGCTTTTGCGCAGAATGAAGCATGCGCGTGAAACGTTCGAGTTCATGCTCACACACGCACACACACTCTCGTGCTTGGTTACGCTCAAATCATGCAGTTTAAATCGCGTGCTCAGCTCAGCGTATGCTCTAAAGGCCACATAATCAATAAGTGTTGAATGAGGATCGAGAAAATGTGTACCTTGAATCTCAGGGAGTTTCCTCTTAATTCATAGGAATCGATGCGATGTGTTCATGAAATCTGCAAAATTTTGTTCAACTTTTTTCGTTAACTCACCCGCAGATACGCGATATTGTTTACGTCATTTTCTTGAGATTTATTTAGAACCCTCAAAATTCATAGAAGCTTACCTAAGCCCATTTAAGTTTGCCACAATGCACTCCATTTTCTTTGCATTCATGTGATCTCTATTTACAAATCATTGAAATCAACTGCCATCCATCAAAATTCTTTGCGGTTCTCTCAAATTCTTCTCATCGTACTTTGTCAAAATTTTCTGAAATTTATGAAAATTAAACACCGATGTTCAGGCCCATTTTCACTTTCGTGCAGGTCATCAACTTTGAAGGCCACATGTTGTCGCACAATCATCACAAAGTGGACTGCAGCCTCTGCTCGGCTAGCTTCGTGAACCAAGGCGCTCTCAGGAAGCACTGGACCCTCTTTCATCGCCGGTCGCTGCCGGAAATCCCGCCGGCAGCCCGGGCCGCTCCCACTGCCCCAGCCTGGAAGGCCTCGGAGGCACCGACAGCGGTCACCACCGTATCCGGCACCAGTGCGAGGCTACCGGCGACGGTTACCACAGCATGCGGCATCGGTGCGAGGCTACCGGCGACGGTTACCACAGCATGCGGCATCGGTGCGAGGCTACCAGCGACGGTTACCACAGCATGCGGCATCGGTGCGAGGCTACCAGGCGACGGTTACCACAGCATGCGGCACCAGTGCGAGGCTACCAGCGACGGTTACCACAGCATGCGGCATCGGTGCGAGGCTACCAGGCGACGGTTACCACAGCATGCGGCATCGGTGCGAGGCTACCAGCGACGGTTACCACAGCATGCGGCATCGGTGCGAGGCTACCGGCGACGGTTACCACAGCATGCGGCTCTGGTGCGAGGTTACCAGCGACGGTTACCACAGTATGCGGCATCGGTGCGAGGCTACCAGCGACGGTTGCCACAGCATGCAGGGACCAGGGGCGAGGCTACCGGCGACGGTTCCCACAGCATGCGGCATCGGTGCGAGGCTACCAGCGACGGTTACCACAGTATGCGGCATCGGTGCGAGGCTACCAGCGACGGTTACCACAGCATGCGGCATCGGTACGAGGCTACCAGCGACGGTTACCACAGCATGCGGCATCGGTGCGAGGCTACCAGCGACGGTTACCACAGTATGTGGCATCGGTGCGAGGCTACCAGCGACGGTTACCACAGCATGTGGCATCGGTGCGAGGCTACCGGCGACGGTCGCCACAGCATCCGGCACCAGTGCGAGGCTACCAGCGACGGTTACCACCTCATGCACCACCAGTGGGAGGCTACCGGCGACGGTTACCACAGCATCCGGCACCAGTGCGAGGCTACCAGCAACGGTTACAAGACCACCGGTAGCAATCCCAACAACCTCAAGTACCAACATAAGACCACCAAAAGTGGTTCCGAAAGCTTTCAGTGCAAGTGGAAGGCCACCGACGGCAGTCACTTCGGCATCGGGCACTAGTGCAAGACCACCAGCGGAGATCACCACAGCAGCCGGCATTACCACGAGACCACCAGGAACTTTTACTCCAGCAGCCAGCACTAGCGCGAGGCCACCGACGCCGGTTACAGCGGCAGCTCAACCGAAGGCAGTGAAACCGTCCTCCTCCTCTGTAGCCGACGCTCAGCTGGACGCCCCAGTGCTGGGCTGGTGCACATTCCCAGGGTGCCCGGAAAAGTTCTACACGTGGCAACGCTACCTGGTACACTTCAAACTGCTCCACGACCCGCTGCTGTGCACGACTTGCGGATGCACTCGCCACGTGGCGCCGCACGGGCAGCTCGACCTCAAGTGTCCTTCCTGTCCCGCCTGCTTCACGCACCGTAAGCGCCTGCTCCACCACAGGTAAGCGCCTGGCACACTGCTAGAAAAAGACCCGCGACTAACCTACTGAAATACCTGTCAAAAATCTTTAGAAAGACTTTATTGTACTTCCAAAGTACGAGAACAATCGGTTTACAAAGTACAGTGGGACCGGCATAACGAGTGCAGTCCGGGCCTCGAAGGAGCGTAACATTTTGCCTAGTTTCACACACTAAATTCTTATGGACTTTTTTATGCATAGTTATGCATGCACAGATACGTCCATATGATATGTATAATATTAAGCATCACTGCGTACATTTTATGCAGGAATATGCATTCGTTCGTTACTTTGTTAAACTTTCATTGTACTTTTCTGTCAACAGTTTTCGTTGCACTTTTCGTTTGTTTCTCAAGGTTTTTTTTGGCAGTGATGCACGATATTGTAATGAGACCGGCTTGTTCACAGGAAAAGCTTCCATCGTGAGACGGAAGCACCTCTGCCGTCGGAGCACAGGAGGACGGTCCCTGAAGACATCGCGGGCAACGTCTTGGTCAGCATCACGGAGAACGTGATCGGCTGGTGCACCTACCAACACTGCGGCCAGCCTTTCTCGAACTGGGAAGCCCACGTGGAGCACCAGATGACGCATCACTTTGAAGCCCAGGTGCGATCTTAACAGAGCAGCCAATACGATAACTATGGAGCGGGATGCACTCGCGTTGTTGTCGGGTCACGGCATGTGTACATTGTTTTTTGCCGCGTACAACACACTAAATTACTATGTAGGTTTTTCTGCGCGCTAATGCACGAAATTAAACATGCACTTCGTAACGCACGGATTTGTGCGCAACTATGCAGGATTTTCTGCATACTTGCGCGGGAAATCGTGCATTGTCCCGCACAAATTCGTGCGTTACGAAGTGCATGTTTAATTTCGTGCGTTAGCGCGCAGAAAAACCTACATAGTAATTTAGTGTGAATGAATACAGCTCACTGAAATTCTGAGAGACTTTTTTTCCGTGACTGTTGGTATATTTGCACCTACGAAAGTTGTGTTAAAATTTGTTCCTCGATTACGTATATCTAATATGAAAGAATCGCCCCTAATTTATAGCTTACGTATGTGCAAATATGGCCACAGTTATGATCAGTGAAGTTCATGAACATTAAGTTTGCACTCTAAATGTTTGTGTACAAATTTTGTACGAGACATCACAGTTTTTTGTGCTCACGAACTTTTTGTACAATTTTGTGCACTTAATCTCGATAAATGTTCAGTTTTATGAACGAAAATTGTAAGAAGTTTTCGTGTGCACAATCAACTGTGATGTCTCGTACAACTTCGTACACAACATTTAGTGTGTGCGGAGTTCCCCTGTGACCGTTTCCCATTTTTCCGTCGCCAGCCCAACGTCGTGTGCCATCTGTGCCTGGAGACGGAACCGTTCGGCGGATTGCAGGACCACCTGGAGGCGCACCGCCGCATGGGCGACACGCCCTGCCCGCTCTGCTCCGCCCGCTTCATCGGCACCGTCACCAAGCAGCACCTCACCGACTTCCACCACGTGACGCCCTCGGGCAGAGTCCCCGCCGTGTTGGGCTGGTGCACTGCCAATCACTGCACGGCGTCGTTCTGCACCTGGGAGGGCTTCGTCCACCACTTTATCCGCCACCACATCAAGACTGCAGACCCTCTTCGAGTGTGCCAGCTGTGCCTCAGCGCCCCGCTGCTGTCCGCTGAAGCCGCCAAGCGGCACACCCAGGACCACTTTGCGGCGGGCAGGCAGCACTTCGAGTGCCAGCTCTGTACAGCGCGATTTTTCTCGGAGCGATACCTGGCCCAACATGTGAAAGAATTTCACCGCAAGGCGTACTGAGGTTCGCCATTGACTGATCCTTTGAAGAAGAATTTGTTTATTTCGATTTATTTCCTGTCGAATCCGACATAGTTATCCACCTGCGGTTAGAAGAGAGGACTTTTGAAACTTGTGCTATCATATAGCAAATCGGTCAACCTTGCTTTATTTATTGTCGAATTCAATAAATCCTCGTTAATAGTATTCCCCTTTAAGTTATGATGAAGCAATCTGTCAACCTTGCTTGATTTTCATTTTTTCAGTCCATTTGACCACTGTAAACCTGATGTGGTGAAAGGATTTGCCTTTTGAAGTCTTGATAGAGCAAATTTATCAACCCTGCTTCATTTTGTGACAGATTCTACATTGTAATCCTTTTGTCGTTTATAGAATTTTCCTTTGAAGTGAAGACAAAGTCAATCTGTCAACCTTGCCTTCTTGTCAAATTCAACATTGTTCACATTGTAAAGAGAATTGCCTCATTAATGTGTTTGTTGTTTGTGTTAGTGGTACGGAATGGATTATTAAAATTATCTATTCAAAATCATCAACTGTTTATTCTTATTCTGTGTCCCAGAGTTCAATAATATAGAAGAACACATTCATGTATGTGCTTTGGAGTCCACATATGTCTACACATCTGCGAAGTCTAGATATGATGACTACTCATTACACACTTAAGCACTCATCTCAGCATGTACACAGCAAACACGGACATCTACAATCAAACATTACGTGCATGCACGCCTCAGAAGAGGTCCAGGATAAATTAAGACGTATGACTGATAGTTTTAAATGAACGAAGCTAAAATCATATACGTGTTGGTGAATCTGGTCAGAGGTTCTTTGATACATCATACAGTAGTCCTATCGGCAAACAATACAAAAAGCATTTTAAGGCACCTCGCAAGGCCTACTACAATTACTTGAAAGAAGAAAGCGATGTGTCAACATTCTTGGAGATGGAAGATTAGTCTTCCACTACTCTAAATCATCTTGGAGATGGAAGATTAGTCTTCCACTACTCTAAATCAAAGGTGCCAGTGAATGGATCTTCAATCAAAGCTTTCTTCAGCCCTTCCTGATCCCTGCTAAAGATCAGGCTGCACAGCTGCTTGTTAAGGTCCAACAACTTCTCCTTGTGCGTGTTGATCTTCCGCTCGGTCTCCTGAAACAGCGTTAGGCATGAGGGTTGGACAGTATAGATTTCCGAGTCAGCAGCACACCTCGCTAATGGATAGTTTTTATAAGGGCTCAACTTTTGGTGGCCGCGGATATTGATTAAATAAAACTAAAAGACATTTTTTTTCCTCGAGCTAAGTCATGAGGTATGACCGTCAGAGCCAACACCTTACACACAAAATGTTATGTGTAATTTAGAATGCAACATCACAATTTATAGTGCACACGAACTTTTCGTACAAATTTTGTACGGAAAAAGGCATAAATTTCACTACTTTTGTGCAAAATTGCGTACAAATTTGTACAAAAAGTTCGTGTGCGCAAAAACTGTGATGTCTCGTTCAAAATTAGTACAAAAACATTTAAGGTGTAAAGGCAACTTTTGTTGAGAAATACCAACTTTGAGAGCTCAAGGAAACCAAACGAATCGACATATTGTCCCTTGGATTCTAGTCCCACTTAGACCTAAACCAACTGTCGGCATCTTGAAACCAAGTAAAGTCTTATAAAAAAGCATCCTCAAATTCCAATTTTTGTCAGTTGCGGCAATTTTTTGATCAGATAGAAATGACTGTTTCCGTGTAAAAGATATTATGGTCGATTCCGTGAAAAGAATATTGTCTTAAACGCTAGCGAATTTCGCGTAGTTGGATCATTAAGGACAGCTACAAATCAGAAAGGGATCGAGATGGAATTAACACCAATGTGAAGATGAAAGAAATCAGAAGTGCTTTTAGAAACATATTCTACTTACTCTCGAGCTTACTCTCTTATCCGCCCAAAATTATCAAAGTTAGCAAGATTCACTCGCATTTCAGATTTTTTCCCACGGTCAAGACCAGATATGATTGTGTAACGATAAAATAAGATCATTCAAAATGAGCCCCACGATCACAACTTTCCATTATCAGTGTATTTTGGTCGAAATAATGCACCCGCAATTGCATTCCCTGAAAGGACAATGGTGCGGTGCACTCACCTCGGTCCGGACGCGTTCGGAGACGACGGCCTGCAGACTCCCCAGCTCGAGGAAGCGCAGCTCCGCCACCATTTTGAAGCGCCAGGCATTGGCGCCGGGCATCAGTCGGTCCAGACTCGCAGCTGCTCGCGGATCACGTCCTTCCAGCGGTCCGCTCCAACTGGTCGGAAAATTTCAGCATTGTATTTGTCAAGAAAATCCAAAGAGTGCATGGCATGGCTCCAGGCGCACACTTAGTTCTTGCAGGCTTTTCTCTGAAAACTGTACAGTGTGTTCAGTACACTCTATTTGGAGTGCACTCACAAGCACACTCCTGTGAGAGTGTGCTCAATCATACACTCTAACGAGATTGCTAAGCTGAGTGTGCACTCCCAACGAGAGTGTGCTTAGCGAGTATTACTAACGTGAGCTTGGTCGGGACAATATATGCACTGAGTAACCTAGGAGTTACTCAGTACACGTTGAAGAGAGTGTACTCATGAGTGCACGCTTAAGATAGTGTACTCATGAGTACACCGGAAAGAGAGTGTACTGAGTACACTGTTGAGTTTGAGAGTTAAATGTAATTGTGTAAGCTAATCATGCTACAGATAGGTAAGGTGGGAATATTAGCACCAATGCGAACATTTCATGCATCTTCCTGCATATAATGTACACATTGATGCGATATTATAAACCTTGCACCTTGTACGCATATGTGCATGCATAACCTAACCTAACCTAACCAGCACTTCCAAAAATCTACCAAAAGGTACCAAAAAATGTACCTGTATTCTTCAAGGCAGTTACTCCCAAAAAGTACCTTGAAAAGTGACAGGTGTAATTGTAAGTTCAGTACCTATAGGTATAGGTGCGAGAAAAGTACCAAGGTACCCAGCCTGCTGGAACATTGAAGCAAATGTGTTGGCGTTCTTTTGTTACCCTGCATAATGAAATCCTCGGCCATGGGGTGCCAGAATTTGGCTCTGAAGGCTTCCTTTGCATGCAGCATCACTGAGTGGCTGGGGTGCAGGAGGCCCCGTGGGTACACACTGTCCTCGATGAACTTCAACAACTGGTCGGGTGAGGATCCTGATGACCAGAGCACATGTACTTAATGTAATTATCGTCTACAGGCTTTTTACCGCAACAGTGCTGTAAAGAGACTAGACTGTCACAACAGAAAAAGGAGTGATGCACTTTGAAAATTCTTGCAAGTTTCCAAGACTATTTATTAATTATTGTGCAGGTTGTTAAATGCCTCTGCAGGAAAGTCAAATGAAGGCCGTTTTCTCAAAGTACTTTCATTCATACATGCAGCTACTTTACTTTGTAAGGCTTAAAAGTTAGTAAGGTTTTCAGAGTGTGCTCATGGTTGTCGTTTAAGAAGCTACATTGGCGCAAGCGGTATCTTTGTTTTTGCGGACAAGGCAACTGCCGCCAGTTTGATTATTTGCAGAAACTTTGCTTTGCAGCTATTTTGTTCCCAGCCGTCGAATGGACCCCATTCTTGGCTAAAAATTCTCTACTTTGTCACTCTCAAAACCTTACAAACTAATTTTAGCGTTGCAAACAAAAGTAGCTTGTAACATTGTATGCTGGGCATTACGAAGAAAATACTTCTCGATTTACCAACTATGTATTTCTCCGTGTGACAAATTAATTAGTTTGTTTCTTACATATGCTCAAAATACTACGTAAGGTTTCATCCATGGTCAACACAACTTACCACGAAGTTGAGCCAGCTTGATCTTTGCTGCTGTAGTGAGATCATTAACCTGAGATGACGTCATTGTCTTGTTGCAGGCCCAGCAGCGCCAGGAACTATGATGATCATCAACAGGCAGCACGTAGCACTGCTTCCCTTGCCCTGTCATGCAACATCAATGGAGCTGGTAAGGGACGCAGTGGACAGTGGGATAGAAAACCAGCGCTATTTTGAGCTCCAGAGTCGCTTCAAAGGACCAGAACCGAACGTGACCTCCACAAATGAATTCCTCGTACGGAGAGCAATCCATTGGTGGGGTCACACGTTCGGTTCGAGTCCTATTAAGCGACTTTGGATCTCAAAACGCGTCGAAATTTAGCCACCTCCACCGGTTTCCTGGCCCATTGAGCAGTGCTTCGCGACTGAAAGCATTCTTGGGCGCTTGCTGCACTGAGAATCCAAACGCTATGCGTATAGCGTCAATTGATGCGATGCAAAAGCATCGCACATGAAGTGCAATACCTCCCTATTCCCATGCATTGGCATAGAGCATTTTCGGGACGCATCGCACTTAAAGTGCAATGCACGTATGGTGCGATATCTCAGCTGCATCGCACCATACGTGCTATACTCATAGCGTTTGGAATCTCAGTGTGGCAATGACACACGCAAGCGGCTGCTTTGCTTCGCACACACTCGTAAACGCATGCCCGGGTTGTGATATGATGCCAATAATAACTGCACTATGTAGAATTTCAAGATTTCCTTTAAGCATCCGATATTTTAGAAGTTCAGACTCTATTGTAAAGGGAAAAAGACTTGTCCACACAATGCATACCTGCACAGTCCGCACAGCAGGGAGAGCCCACGTACATTCCAAGCTCGGTGGTGTCGACGCAGCGCTCGCAACCACAAATGAAGCCCCAGCGAATCAACACAGACTGCCGGCGATCGTATGTGCTGTCCACCCAGTTGCCGCACTGAGACATGAGGCAGAATTTGGTACAGTATTAAATGCACACTCAGGCGCGGATTTGGAGGGGGGGAAGGGGGGGGGAGTTTTTGCCCTAGATAGCCGCCTGAAAGGTAGGCAAAAAGTGCTCCTTGCCCCCCCCCTCCCATTAGCCCCCTCTGGATCTGCCACTGTCCACACTACACACTGAACGATCCAGGAAGCGGAAGGGGATAATTCCATTTAGACCGACCATTTTTCAGGAGAAACAAGACGCTGTTAGCAGGGATGATTAAAACAAAGCAGAGGAATTATTTAGATGATAACAAGTTCAAGAAGCGTAAGTTACATTTTGAGATAAACATCAGGAGTGTCAGGTCATATAGGATTTTTGTTACTTATCACTTTCCGTAAGGGAAAACAGAGACATCTCAACCTATATTTCCTAAACGAAGTGAAATTTGGAGACAAGTCAAGTGGAATTAACTGAATTGATTCTTTTTACAATCGATACACAAAAACACAAATTGAGTTATCTTCTATCAACAATATGTTCAACGGAGTCATGTTATCTTTAGTTGAGTTGTTTCCATTTTCCGCTTAATGGAGAGTGAAAAGTGGGTCAAGTTGAGTTACATCTTTTTTCGAAGTGGATTTTCTCCTTAACCGCAAGGAATTGAGTCAAATAATTTAGTGCAATGATGAAAACCATTCTAAGGCACAATGAAAGAAAAGAAACTCAATTATTCCCGTCTCCCGCTTCCTGGATCAAATGTTGTCGGGAGAATTTTGTACGAGACGTCACAAATTTCTGTGCAAATAAACTTTCCAAAAAAAATTGTACGTGACTTTGCACAGAGTAGGGCGAAAATGTGCAGGTTTTCGTAATGAAAATTGTATGACAAGTTAACCTATGTATATATAAAATTGCAACGTCAAGCACAAAATTTCACACATCATTTCGTGTGTATTAAACAGACTTTTCACCCCTCTCAAGCATCGCGAGGACATTAACCTCTGCCTTAAATTTTAAGGGTTTTGAAACTGAACAAGTTCTAACCTCACGACTAACGGTGATGAAGTCGCCAGCAACAACGTCCTTCGTTGTCACCGCAAGCAACTCCCTAGTGCCAGGGGTCTTCGTCACATCAGCGGAATTAGGGAAGCAGCTGTGGTTCCTGAGGGACATTCCCGCATACAGCACGCCCAAGAACCCCTGAAACAGATCGACCCTGTGGGAAACAACAAAGACAACAGGAAGCATCGCGAGGGTTCTGCCACTCACCGGCATCCCTTCTTCCGTGGCGGTCACAGTCCCGAACGCAGTGGCCAGGCGGGCGGCGCGCTCCAGGTCGCGTTCGGACAGCCACTTGATGCGCGCATTCTGGCGCAGGTATCGCACCACTCGGGCCGCCAGCTTCGTGGTGACGCCTATCCAAGGCGACATCTGCAAAAACACGGCGTCTTCTAAGATCCAGTGGTGGCGACAACGGGGCAATCCAAGAGAAAATAGCTTTACATGCGAGTATACAAAAATTTCTGAAATTGAAATTTGGATATCTAAGAATTTTAGACGAACTTCCATAAAATTCGGTGTAAACTTCACCGAATTTACCAGAATTTCGATGAATTGCGACTTCACTTCATAAATTTCGACGAAATTTGATGAGCATATCAAAAATCATGCGCGCAGTGAATTTTATCGTATTTTCGTGGTTTAGAAGAAAGAGTAGACATCCTAGGCCTAGAGTTAAACCTTTTTTTTTTTCGAATAAACCAGTTTTTTTTTAATTTTAAGACAACCTGCTTAACTTCAAATTTATTGAAAAAGTTTTAATGTTACCCTGGAATTTGGTAACATTTTGCTGTAACAGACGAAGCTTGCCCCTGGCGCATATAGTACGAACCATCTACGCTTTACCAACCTTAGGTGCATTTTCACTGAATACAGTTTCCGGCTTTAGGTGTTGAAGCAGTGAGTTGCTGGCACATGCTGTGGCTGTTCGCAGTGTTGCCACGACGACCCCGAGTGGGATGTCCGCGTTTCTGAGATGAGCTGGGAACAGAAAGGAGGAATCAGTCCGCAGGACGTGGAGTGGGGTAGCATATGTATCTGTGATGGCCCCAGTCCACACACTGTTAGAAATAGTGTTATTTAGCAGTGAAAATGTTGCTAATTTTCTGAATGACGAAAAGCTTTAAACAGATGACTTTCATCAACAAGATGAACTCTGACACCTGCGAAGGAATTGATTTAAACTCGAGTGCAGCATCAAGTTTAAGGGCCATTTTAAATGGCAATGACGCTCAAACCTGTGGCCTTAGAGAATCGAGCCACAGCTCGCTTTGGCTTACGCTTTGAACATCAGAGAAGAACATCCTGCACGGCATTGGCCGTTAAAATATGCTCGAAAGGTAAAAAGCAAACGCGGCGTGATACAGAAAAGGACACCCTCCCTTACACTGTTTGGTTGTTGTCAAGCAAACTTACCCTTGGGGACAACGAACTTGGCACGCTGGAAAATCTGACACTCCACTTGGTGGTCCACGGACCGGCTGCAGGCGTCAGAACAGACGGGGAGCCCGCAGCGGCGGCACTGGGACAGCCATCTGTCCAAGTCGATGCAGCACCCGACACACAACACCTTCAGGCTCGGGGCTTGACGCGCGTCAACATGACACATTAAACTACAATCCTGAAAAAGAATCACGCAACAGCTCTTATTTGACGGCAAAGGCTATGAAAGAAAAGTAGTCGTATGTGTTGTAAATGACAGCGGAGGTCAGACTCTCAGGCAAAGTACTACAGGGTGAGTTTTCTCAATGTGTCAATAATTTGCAGGCAGTTTGGGCATCCCTAGGGGACCATTTTTCACCAATGAACTTGTGGGCGCAAACGTCTAGATACGGAGATAATTGGTGTTTTGAATTTGGATTTTGCGCCTACAAGGTAGGCACCCGGTGCCACTGAGGGTGGCAGGACCTGTCGAGGGGGTGTCGCGGGACTAGCAGTACTCGCGGGAGTGCCACTGACCTCGCGGAAGTATCCGTGGAATCCTGCCACCCTCGCAAAGACAGCCGTGAGATCCACTGTAACGGGGGCCACCATGACAGCCCCTTGAGACCCGCGGCAACCCCTCCCAAAAGACATTTGCAAGGTCCGCCGCACCCCTTCGAGACTCGAAGCACCCCTCCTAGACCCGCGACACCCCCACGTGAGGTCCTGCGCCCATCAGTGGCAGCGGGTGCCTACCTCGCAGGCGCGAAGGCCAATTACAAAACACCAATTATCTCCGTACCTAGACGTTTGCGCCCACTAGTTCATTGGTAGAAAATGATCCCCTTGGGGTGCCCAAACTACCTACAAATTATTGACACATTGATAAAATTCACCCTGTATGCCCTAAAAAGAAAGAGAGGGTTTTGGTCTGAAGTACTGAGTCGTAAGTCTCCTATGATAGTCTTTGGGCGTAAACCTTTGACAGACGTGTTTTTTGCTTCCCTAGCTAATTAATGATAAACCATGTTATTAGGGAAACACTGAACAATTGCAACATAATTTGAGAAATTTTTGCAGAACAAAAATCACGCAATCTTCGACAATTTAAAAGTGAAATATTTCCAAATAGAATGAATACTACTTTTCTATTAATGACGAAAACCGTCTACTGTTTGTGACAAATGAGCAAAAGGAAATGAAAAATTTACCGACCAACAACCGAAGTTAAAATACTTCGAGTGATTTGAAAGCCTTTTGAAGACAAAACTGAAATTGGCACAAAGGCTCGAAAAGATTTGTGGAAGAATGCTAACTCATTAATTGAATGTACAGATATGGCCAAAGTTACCGACAATAAAAGCACATAATCATTTAGAGTGTTCACTCAGGAAACGTTACAAACTATTTTAGGCCTTATAAACAAAAGCCGCTTGTTATAACAAAACATTTTGTCTCGCATTTTGAGCATACATAAGCTTCCAAAGAGAAATACTTCGTAATTTACAAACTATTTCTTTGTATAACAAAATAAATTGGTATGTAACTATGTATGCTAAAAATACTACGCACGGTTTTATGCGTGTATACACTGTTGCTCAAGTCCCCTAAGTTTTGTTTGCATGTACAGCAAAGCAGAGCAACCTTGAAATTGCAGGTATGCGCCACGTGTCGAGCACTTAGTAAGCATGCTCCAGCATGGAGTAAACATATCGGGTTGGCTCCAGGTGGAGTGAACTTGCACACACACTGGTAGCCATCGAATGTGACGTCATATTCGTTCCAATGTGAATTTTGTCACGTTCGTTTGAATATGCTGTCACATTCGTTTGAATATGAAGTCACATTCGTTTGAATGTTGATCCACTTTCAAACGAACGTGACACCCTACTTGAATGTTGATCCACACTGAAACGAATGTGACACCAGCATCAGATGGCCGCATGATGCCCGTGTCACGTTCAAACGAATGTGACATAGTATTCAAACACGAACGTGACAAAATTCACATTGTAACGAGTGTGATGCCACATTCGTTGAATAACAGTGTACACACTGGAGTTCGTAGAGCACCCGGTACCTACCGTCATGGACTTGACCTGCGCGAACGCGTGGAACGAGGCGGGGAAGGCGACCGACGGCTGCTCGCGCATGATGGCGGTGCCGGCCGGGATGTTCTTGGCCGCCACGAGGGCTCCCCCACGCAGCGCCACGCTGCCGCAGCCGGCCCGGTGCTGGGGCCAGTGGGCCTTCTGGTGCTCCTTGCCGCAGTAGTAGTCGACGCGGCACTTGGAGCACGCCCGGCCGGACTCGCCGCACACGGCGCACGGGCCCAGGGGCGCGACTGCAACGAGAACACGCTCAGGGGGCTGCAACTAGGGACCCTCTCTGTGAGAGATGGGTCAGGCTGGCGGCCTCCAACCAATCACAGACCTCGGGTGTATATGGGCCCGACGCCGACCAGATCTGTCATGTGCAAATCTACCCCCCCCCCCCACTCAGGTATCCGCAGACGAATTGTTTATGGCCCCCAGCCGGAGTGCTAGCCTCTTGAAGGGGAGCTTCTTGCCCATTTACACCCGAGGACCTGTGACGTCAGCTCTGTCCCATCTCTCACAGAGAGGGTCCCTAGCTGCAACGCCAATGGCTGGTGTAGGGGCGATCCGCGAGACCACCCAAAACATGGAAATCGCACTGTGGCAAAAAGCTACGGAAAATTCTGAAAACAGCTTGTGGTAATTCTCCGTAACCCCTAGTCAATATTCTCCGTAGGCTCTTACAGTATTTTCCGTAGGACCGTACAGTATTCTCCGTAGGACCTTACAGTGTTCTCCGTAGGACTATACAGTCTTCCAGGTCCTACAGAGAAGACTCTGCGGTCCTACGGAGAATACTGTACAGCCCTACGGAAAATACTGTAAGAGCCTACACGGTAAAAACGGTTTCTGGTTTTCCCAGGAACTCCCTGGAAATCGCATATGCCTTCACCATTGGCTTCCTGGGAAAACCAGGTACCGTTTTAACCGTGTACGAAGAAAGAGGGCTACGGAGAATCTGGCAAAAAAATTAACAGAATTTTCCGTACCTTTTTGCCAGTGCGGGGGGCCCTAATGCTCAATGATGGTCCCTTTACACTGAAAATAGAAAGGTCATACTTTTGACCGCTTAAACGGTCTTACTGAAATGTACGACCGAAAAACGGTCATACTTCGATGTATGACCGAAAAAACGGTCATACTTCGATGTATGACCGAAAAAACGGTCATACTTCGATGTATGACCGAAAAACGGTCATACTTTATAGTGTATCACGGGTAAAGGCTGATATATCCCCAAGCTAAACAATAGCCAGTCTCGCTGATGTCTGACCTTTTTTTGGTCATACATTTAAGTATGACCGTTTTTCGGTCATACATTTGTGTATGACCGTTTTTCGGTCATACTTTTTGTATCACCGAAAATCGGACAGATGTCTCACCCTTTGATTTTTAGTGTATTCAATTTCCCGTCACGCGGTCTTAGACCTAAAGGTTCATTTTGTGTGGCACACCGATTGGTTGCACTTATTGTTAAGGATGAGCGGTCAAAGACGTCCGTTTACAGTAGTTTTCCCGCCATTTTTAAATTTGAATTTTTGGGTTTCGGCAGAAACGTTGAGAATGGCCTGAATACTACACGACACGAGTGCATACCCCTCGGCCCCGAGTAAGCACTCTTAAAATCCTACGAGGCATTTGCTTCATAACTACTTTACGAAGAAAATGAAGGCATTGTAGAATTGCTTCATATTATGAAGAAAAAATGCTTCGTATTACAAAGGATTTTGCTTCATAATACGAAGCATTTCTTCGTTGGATTTACAATGCCTTAATTTTCTTCGCATTACGAAGCGATTCTTCGTAGAGTTTTTACTGTGTACGTGTCCACGTTGGGCTGAACCGAACCAAAGATCGACCATCGCCTACACTGAGAATGAAAGAGTCATGATCATGACTAAAATTTTGGGTGAGGAATTCTTTACTACCCAAATTTGGGTGAGGAAATTTTCCTCGCCCAAATTTGGGTGAGGAAAGTTTCCTCGCCCAAATTTGGGTCATAATACTATGGAGCTATATAGGGAGCTGATACACCCTTCCTCACCCAAAATTGGGCGAGGAAGCTTTCCTCGCCCAAATTGGGCGAGGAAACATTCCTCGCCCAAATTTGGGTGAGAAAGTAAACCTTGCCCAAAATTGGGTATTGATCATGACTTTTTCATTCTCAGTGTATCCGACGACCGGGGCTCTTGGGAGACTCATTAAGATCGTACAATTTTCTTTTTAAAGTCAAGGTTAAGTGATCGTGCCTTTGATTCATTCCGCAGAAAAAAAAAGCCTGATGAGGCAATATTCCAAAAGCCGCATGGATAATTGACATCTCCAACGTAAATGAGAAAGAAAAAAATTCACTGTTAAAAAAGTTATGAATTTTCAAAGCAATTTTGATGACAATTTTACGAATACGGATACGAGTTTTACAAACATTACAATTTTCATAACTTGATGCGAAAATTCGAAACAATTTCGTAAAATTGACAATTGTTGATAATTTTAAAACCATGTTCTGAAAATTGCGAATCTTAAATGTTGATTCTGAGCACACAATAGTAATTTTCCGAATCCGATTGTAAATTTCATAACTAGCTCAAGAGGCGTGGCCAAGGGGCGCTGGTAGAGTCATCAGGCAGCTGACCCTCCGCCTCCCGTGGGACGTGGTAGCACAGCGGTTAAGAGCGTGCACCACAAGTCAAAAATCCCGGGTTCGAAACCCGCTGATCAAAAGCAGAATCGGTTCAATAAATGGCATAAGGCCGCTTGGGTGTTCATATACATGAACACTTAGTTGTCCTTTTGCTTAACTGCTCTAAAATGACCTCGCAAACGCGAGTATGAATTTTCATAACATGATATGAATTTTCATAACGTGATTGTAAAACAATTTACAATCATTTGTGATTTTAATTTTCATAACAATTGTTTTTGAAAAAAAATGCCAACCAATGTTATGAAAATTACAACTGATTTTTTTAACAGTGTTCCAATGCTAACGCATTGCACGGTGTTCCGGTTGTAGGAATCAATTTGAAGTCTGTCGTCTAAACGTTAATCACGTTAATTTTACCGTTATTTACGTAACTTTGAATCCTACCGGTATTTTTACATCCCCAAACCTGATTCAGTTAACACAATGACCATCTCAGTCCATCTCGCGATCTCGCGATTTACAGTGCTCATGTTCGTCAAACGAAAGTCATCCGCGTTCCGAAACCACCCCTCCCGAGTTTGTAAAGTTTGTCAAACCAACCGTCGTGCTGGTTACAGAATTGAGGAAAACATCACAGGAGAACCGCAGCCTTTAAAAGCAAGCCAAACAATCCAACCTCAGCAACAATGTAGGGGCAGTTTCAATGCGCGACTACTCGTGTTTTCAGCCTCGCGATTTTCGAAAGGGCGCAGACGCCGAGAAAATTGTTGCCAACCCCCGAAAATTAATTTATTGCGTCTTTTCTGCTACGAACTTTTTACTGACAGACTTCAAAGATGTTCCAATGTCGGGACACCGTGCGATGCGTTAGCATTGGCATTTTCGAATTTCACGGCGTTTTTATTTCTTTTTATCAGCGACTTTAAATTTTGACAGTTGGTACGATGGCACCGTGTCGTTGCCATGGAGACTATTTTTTCATGTTTTAACCATTTTCTCAGAACACAGACGATTTCTTGTCACTTTCATGAGGCAGGAGGTTTAGTTTTAAAGAGTGGCACATTTTCTCTTTGAAACGTTTCTGGAAAATGTGAACGGATAAGGGTGCTTGATTGTTGCAAATTTATGTTTTAGTCGTTCACGTTAAATTCTCACGATAAATTTTTGAAATTTTCAGGAATTTTTATTTGATTATGATAACGAGTAATTTGGCGGGATCCATTTTCCAATCACAAGATACCGGAAAAAAATAAGAATCTGAGCCGTCCCGGGCAATAGGGGTCCTCCTTCGTCGGAACCCCTAAAAAGAGAAAAACTCACTGAAGCAGAAGGGGCCCTTTGCAGACATCGTGGATAGAAGTGCGGACAGGACGGACTATGAATAACTGAAAAAGAAGAATACACATTGAAGCTATGGAAAGTAAAAACTTTCTGCCGCAAGAAATGAGCCTCGCCGGTCGCCTCACAGGAAGAGCTGCGAACTCTAGGCCAAAATGCAATCACCATACACTGGTAAAACTGAGGCGTGCTATTACCCTGTTTTAGGCGTTATCACTGTAAAAACTTAGGTGTGTACTAAGTATGCATTCGACAGATGCATACTTGAATAAGTACACACGCACACCGTAAATGTCTTACGGTGAAAGGCTGTACCAACATATTATGGTGGAAATTTTCTCCATTATGCAAACTAAATCAAAATATCTATATAGTGCAGTGAAGTTTGCACTGTAAATGTCTTACGGTGAAAGGATGCACCAACATATGGTGGAGATTTTCTTCATAATACCAACGAAATTCGTCAAAATATCTAAAAGGTACAAGTGAATTCCCAATGGTATGTTACGAAGTCAGCTGCACCACCATAATATGGAACATTTCCACCATAATATGGAGAATCTTCACTGTGCAACATTTAGAGTGTGCAAGGCGGTAGATCTGTCGAAGGGCGGTACAAACGGTCTGAAAAGGGTGGAAATTTTTGTAACACCTCCGCAAAGAAGGTAAAACATGAAGCCAGCCTTTGACAAAATTACTACCTTCAGATGCCTTTATCGCCAGTAAACGGTGGAAATGTTACCGCCTTCGGATTTGGAGTGCAAATGCAGATTCCACCATTCAAGTTTGAAGACAAAACCCCTATTCCTAAGCATAGTGCAAATGTGGACAACTCCACATTTAAAGTGAGGAGACTGCAACTCTGCACTTCCAAGTGCGCAGACTGCAAACTTCACACATCCGTATTTCAAATGAGTTCTCCACCTTTGGTTTCACGGTGTGGCGGAACGTTTAGTGTAATCCCTGGACCGGAAGTCAAAGAACAGCAGAACTAAAACCGCTCCCGCGCAATGCTATGCGCTGCCACTGACCGAGTACTCCAAGGAAGCTCTGGCCCGGAAGAAGAAGAACAAAAACGGAAGTAAGAAATTGCAGTTTCTATGAAAATATACGCTGCGGACCCTCGTGCGCAGCGTATATTTCTCATAGTAACTGCAATTTCTTACTTCCGTTTTTGTTCTTCTTCTTCCGGGCCAGAGCTTCTTTAGATTACTCTATTGGATGAGGGGGCGTCTGCGCTCGCGCAGACGCGGTCCTTAGTCCTTGTTCTTCGACTTCCAGACCAGGGTATCGTTGAAATACCCTACCCGTTTTTATTCAGGAATGGTCAAATACTAGGAGTTCTTAACGCCACTTCAGACAATACTTGTATGGCGGTCCCTACCGCTGTTTCATTGTTGAGAGACGCGGCAACAATGAAGGCGGCTGGCTATGTCCGCGCCCGCCTATCCCGGCCTGTCCTGGACTGAAGGTCCGTGTGCACCAGTGACGGAACCAGGGACGGCCTTCAGGTGTTGGGAAAGTATGGAACTTTTAGCCTAGTTTACAGGGAGACAGATACGTGCTTTTAATGACCTAACTCAATATGGAAACTGGGAATAAATTTGACGTATGCGACCGTAATACGAGTCGTAACATGAGTATATCGTCAAAAATCCATACAGCTCTTGAAAATGCCCTCAATTTGACGCTACACTCTAAATGTCTTACAATGAAATTTGACCCATGTTATTCGTATGTTACAGTGAATTCAGCGCAAGCATATTACGAAGCAATATTCCTTCGTAATACGAATCTTTTTAGCTTTTTCATTGTAAGATACAAAGAAAAACCTTCGTAATACGAAGAAAAACCACCTTCGTACTATGCTTGCGCCATTTCCTTCGTAATATGGGAAATGTCTTCGTAAGACATTTAGAGTGTACTTTTCCTTTACCAGTAAATAAACAAGCAATTTTAAAGGCATGCTTCCCTGACGCTTTGACGACTCCTGACCTTCAGTTAATACATGCTCCGAAATACCCTAAACTTGATCTACGCGCTACCTGCCCCTTCGTATTCACTCTCATTCCAGGAACAAGGAAAACTACGTTGAAACGACTGTGACAAAATGCCACTATGAGCATTGTGTCACATTCGTTTGAATACGAATAAGCTACTAGGTGACTGATACAAATTTGAACGAATGTGACACAATTATTGAAGGAACGTGACATTTTACACTTTTCAAGTGGGTGTCACGTTCGTGCAATGAGTGCTACCTTCAGGTTCTGCTGGCAGTGAGAAATTAAGGAACACTCTGAGGAATAGCGTACATTTTAAGGGGAAGTCTGGACTGGAAGCTGGGATCCACAATTGTGGCCGGAAACTCATTTACAGTAAGATTGTTACCAGGCGTGGTCCCAATATTGTACAATCGGGTTTAATTCATGCAATTATTTGATGTTTCCGAGGAAGTCCTTTAAAGAAGGAAAAGTATGTATGATGGCTGCACAAATTACTTGCATTATTTATGTGCTGTTGAAATGAGCAGAAAGTCACTAACGTGCTGAGAGCGTAACAATGTTCTCTTCAAGAAAACTGACGGCCGAAGCTGCTTGACTGTTTCCGGTTTGCATTTTAGCCTTCATGGCCACCTCAGACTTACCGAGGAGGCACTGTTGCGAGCTGACTAAACATTTTCTGAGAGGCCACCGGGAGGCCGCTATCAGTTTTGACTGAGGGAGTTGAAGTCTTAACTCACCTCTGATTGGATTCTTCGTAGGACCCTTGGATCGTCCCCTCTATTGCTTTTGGCACGCTTGCGAGAGTTTTCTGCTGCTTCTTCGCCTGATCGGATGCAAGGTAAGGTAGGACTGGTCGGAAGAGGAACAGTGCACGTTATGAGATGCCTCTCTTTGAAAGTTCTTAGTGACTTCCCTTTCATAGATCACGGTAAGATCAGTTCCTTGGTTAAGTAAGTGTAAGAGGAATTTCAGATCAGATAAGCCACCTCGCTCGTGGCCATCTTCACACTGGTAAAACTTGAGCGTAGTGGTATGCTTGATTCAAGCATACGATTACGCTTGAAGAATTTACGATTGACGTCAAGTGTAGAGAAGAAATCCTCCCATGCATTTAGGTAGATGGGAGAGGGGCGAAATGGAGAACTACGCTTGAAGACGAGCGTAGTTCTACTACGCTTGAAGAAAAGCGTTAAAGTACGCTTGAGTTCTACCAGTGCACCCCACAGTCACAATATTATCCAAAGTAATGTCGGAGTTTGTGTGAAACTTCACCGCTGTAGCTTTAGTAGCTTAGAAATGGCAGCCTTCTACAATCTTTTGTCATTTCCACACTACTAGAGCCACAGCGATGAAATTTCACGTCAAATCTGCCAAGACTGGGGGAACATTTGAGTATCGCATGGACGGAGGTGGTCTTGCGTAACATGACTAAATCTCTTCTGGAACTATTAGACGGTTTTTCACTTTTTTTTTCAGCGTCACTGCTTTTTGCGCTACGTACTTAAGGTTGTTTTCGCCCGTCCCTTGGCCAGCTACCATGGAGACCAGACCCGATGTAAGTATATTTCGCTCCTCGCTAGTTTTTGAGATGAAAGTCGTCCAAGTTCACTGGCTATAAATAGGGAAATGTACGCGTGGTTAAAACCTGCTGCTATTTCTTGATGGTTTGGACTCAAAACTGAAACAGCTTCTTGAAGAGAAAGTTACAAACAACCCCATTGGATTAAATACCCAGGCTTTATTCCAGTGATCTTGCGCTTCATTTTCACTTGAACCAGATCGTGTGTTCCAAAATGAGCCGTGATAATTTTCAAAACTTTTTATCACCCTGCAGACGGTTTCTGTGGTTTCTTTACGTTAGAATGGACTACCGAACTTTCGTCTTAGTTCCCCCAAACGAGGGGGAGGGAGTATATTTTTGGAGTTACCTCTTTTTTCCAACCAGTGATGGGGAGTTAAGATGAGTTGATTCTTTTTACATTAGATTCATAAAGACACTGACAGTGAGTTATGTCCTTTTGCCATTTTGTGAAATGGAGTCATGTGGACTTCGGTTACATCCATTATCCGATGAGATTTAGACCGTAAAAGGGGCCAATTTGAGCAACATACATTTTTCATGTGGACTTTACTTCTCCTAAACTGTTAGGAATTGGGTCTAATACTTTGGTGTGCTGGTAAACCATCCTGAGGCATAATGTTAAAGTAAAACTCAATTTTGAGACAAGTTGAACCAATCCCTTCTTGCACTTTCCTGGATCAGTTTTGTACGAAGTGATGCATGATTTTAAACCTGTGTAACGTTTCGCGAAAGATTGTGCACACATTTGCATAAATTTATGCAATTTTACGCATGTTATTCAAATTGCTATAAATCGTCCAAGTGACACGTACAAAATTCCTCCTAAAAATTTGCTGTGTACGTACGCATAACATTATAAAAATTCTACGTGGGCACAAAATCGTTCAAGTTACACTTACCACACTGAGAATGAAAAAGTCATGATCAATACCCAATTTTGGGCGAGGTTTACTTTCTCACCCAAATTTGGGCGAGGAAAATTTCCTCACCCAAATTTGGGCAATAAAGAATTCCTCGCCCAAAATTTTAGTCATGATCATGACTCTTTCATTCTCAGTGCAAAGTCTACTTCCAAATTTGGTATGAGTGATGCTGAAGGTTTGCGAAGATCCTGACGCCCCTCTTCCCGCAGCTGCTGTCTTTGCCTGACGACGCGCTGCTGGCCGTGCTGGCCTTCCTGCCCGCCAGGACGCTCTTCGCCTGCCGCGTGGCGTGCCGCCGCCTCAGGGACCTCTGCCTGCACCGCCACCTGTGGCGCTCCGTCTGCGTGGAGAGCCTGGGAGTGCTGCGCGCCGCGACGGCAGCCCTCGTCCCATGCATCGGCAGGATATCTCTCGACGTAAGTTGAAAAGATATTTCAACGATTCTTTTTAGAATCCGTATACGCATGCACTAAATGTCTCCGTAGTTCTTTGTGCATAACCTATACTTACACGAAACTGTGCACGCGTTTCAAAATGCAGCTTCTGGAAAGGGCAAAGGGTAGGGTGTTTCCTGGCGTATTCCGTAAACTAAATTACTATGCAGTTTTTCGTGCATAAGCTATGCACGAAACTGCAGTTTCGAGCATAGCTTATGCACGAAAAACTGCATAGTGATTTAGTTTACGGAATACGCCAGGAAACACCCTTTGCCCTTTCAGTGTAGTGTGCAGACCCTGCCAGTTCAAATTTACTTGATTTACTGTGCTCTTCTAGGTGCCGCTGCGATCCACGGCCGCCCTCTTGAAAGACACTGCGTGCGTTGTCCGTGCGCTGGAGCTGGCGGTGCAGAACTCGCAAGATGCCGCCCTGGCCTCCACTCTGCTCAGCGAGGTCTCCGCGGTCGGCGGCGCCACGGAGCTCGTCCTGCTCATCAAGTGCAGGCGCCCCAACGCGCTGCAGCCGCTGCTGAAGGCGGTCTGGGACAGGCGTGGCCTGCTCACCCTCGACGTGACCAACAACTCGCGCAGGCCGCTGCCCAGCGACTGGTGCGAGACCGTTGGGGTGCCCTCGCTGACCAGGCTTCGCTACGACTCGCCCTCGGCGGACCCTTTCCTGGAACTGCTGCTGCGGACACACGCCGCTACACTGCAACACGTGGAGCTACAGCGACTGGAGGACGTCCCCGCGTCGCTCCTCGCTCACGCTCTCCAGCTGCGCTCCCTGAAGTGTTCGCCCTGTGAAGGCTTGTCCCAGCTGGTGGACTTGCCCGATCTGTCCAGCATCGACCTATCCCATGAAGGAGAGTCCAACTGCCACTGCCTGCAAGCGACCGCCGCATTCCCGCGAGGTACCCTGGCATTCCTCACAGAGGCGTCCCACCTACGGAGCGTCACGCTCTGCGTTTTCACGGAGGACTCTGAAGCGCCACTGCGTGCGCTTAGCCTCTCGCCATCCGCCGCAAACATTGAAAACCTCGTTGCACTCGCTCATGATCAACCCGAATCATACTTACTGGGGGAGATCGCGCCTTTCCTATCCTCGTTTCGCAGCTTGAGGACCCTGATAGTCGAGGACGAGCCTGTGCACGAGTTCCTGGAGGCAGTCTCGCCCGCTGCACTACCGTGTCTCACTACGCTCAAGTTTTGCATCCATGAGGACTCGTGCATGCACGGCACGCTGCACACCCCAGGCGTCCACGACCTCCTCATCCGAAACCCTCGCCTGCACGTATACAATTTTGACCTGCATGTTGTTTGTTGTGGCGAGTGCCCATGGTGCAGGTGGGGCTGCCATGAGCCTCTGAAAGGCACTGCTAACCGCGAGGTGTGCTACTCGTCGCACAGCAAATCCGCCAGTTGCCCAGAGGAGTGTTTCCAGGCTTTCAGTCCCAGTTACCTACCCTATCCGAGGAATAACTAACGCGTGGTTCGAACGAGTCTCCCCGTTTCTGTAGGTCCACAGGGGTCAATTCTTACATCTGTCCCTTCTTTGCTGAGAAGTTTGTTTATTGTTATATCTGGCCTCAATATCTCATTGTTTCCTTCATTGCTTACTTAAGAGACCATCATATCTCGGAGACCTGTGTTTCTATCTGTTGATTACAATCAAATCTTTTATTTTCATGTGTTAACTGCAATCGAAACAGTGTATTTCCATGTGTCAATTATAATCAAACAGAGCATTTCTATGTGTTTATTATAATCCAGCAGTGTGCCTAAGAATGAAAGTAAACCACTGTTTTCAATGTGTTCCAATTGATCTACTGTTGGTGGAATCAGTTCGTGATTTGGCAATCCGTTTGGCTTTTAAGCTCTGTACTGTTTTATGCTAACTGATTTAAAGTGGTAAAGTGATTTCATTTATTGCTCTTATAGGACTTACTCGGTATTCTTGTACTTAAAAAAAATAAATACTATACCTTTTGTTGAAGCTCATTGTTCTTTTGCAATCCTCATTAAAAACTATGCTATAATTTCTGAAGTACAATGAAATGTTTTTACTTCCCACAGTGTCACGGTAATCACAGACTTTCCGTAAAAATAGAAACTCTGTCAAACTGCCCTGTGCACTCTGGCCGCACTGCGGAGCCGTGGCAAGTTGCTTGCCACAAAATTGGCAAGACGCTTTGAATACTTAAAACAGAAAAGCCTGGCCCTGAAATATTTCCGAACTTTCCAAATCATGGTATTGCCGGCGGCGTCCGTTCCGCCAACATTGGTAAGCTAATACAGATTTTAGGTCAAAGCTTGCCAACTTTTGGCGCAAACAAACTTGCCACTGAATATGCGTTGTCGTCACACCGCTGGATATCACATTAGTCGGCGCAATCGGTGTGTGGGTAATTCTTTCCTAAGTCACCCGAAGTCCCGAAATCGATGTCTCCGATTTCGACGAAACTTTGTGGGTGTGTTCCCTATGTAGCAAAGAGCTCCAGAAAAAAATTTCAACTTTTTTGGTCGGCCCAAAAAATTTTAATCACGTATTTTGTAAAAAACACTGAAACCTGCACTAAAAAATTTTTTTGTTGCCTGAGGGCGACCTGCCCCGGGGGATTTTTTTTTTTTCATGGTACTGAAAAAAAAAGTCCCCGAGAGCCACTTAAAAAGTCACTTGTTCCAGGGGATATGGACCAAAAGATTCGTTTTTCGCGAATACCCAAAAAATGCATCCGAATTTTTTTATGATAATTTTTTTTTAGGAAGGTCCTGTGGTGGTCTATCACCCTTATTGGTTTTGGGTTTGGCCAATGGAAAAACCCAATAAAAATTGCGTTTTTTCCGTTTTTTTCGCAGTTTTTGGCCCATAGTATCGCCATTTTAAGTCTGACTTAATGAGTGCCATTAGATTTTTTTTCGCCTTTTCAAGACGAATCGATTGATACAAGTTGAAGTCAAATCGGAGTATTTTGAAAAGTCGCCTTTTTTACGATCGGGATCCAACTAATCTAGATGCGTAAAAAGGCGATTTTTCAAAATACTCCGATTTGACTTTAACTTATATCAATCGATTCGTCTTAAAAAGGCGAAAAAAAAGTCTAATGGCGCTCATTAAGTCAGACTTAAAATGGCGATACTATGGGCCAAAAACTGCAAAAAAACCCGGAAAAAACGCAATTTTTATTCGGTTTTCCATTGGCCAAACCCAAAACCAATAAGGGTGATAGACCACCACAGGACCTTTCTAAAAAAAAATTATCATCAAAAAATTCGGATGCATTTTTTGGGTATTTGCGAAAAACGAATTTTTTGGTCCATATCTCCTGGAACAAGTGACTTTTAAAGTGGCTCTCGGGGACTTTTTTTTCAGTACCATGAAAAGAAAAAAAATCCACCGGGCAGGTCGCCCTTAGGCAACAAACAAATTTTTAGTGCAGGTTTCAGTGTTTTTTACAAAATACGTGATTAAAATTTTTTGGGCCGACCGAAAAAGTTGAAAATTTTTTCTGGAGCTCTTTGCTACATAGGGAACACACCCACAAAGTTTCGTCGAAATCGGAGACATCGATTTCGGGACCTCGGGTGACTTGGGAAAGAATTACCCGTGTATTTAGAATTTTGGAGATGAAGAGCTTAGATCGCATTGTGCCATGAAAATCGTTCTTCATTTGTAAGGAGGTGCATTCTTTTAAAATTAATGGCACGTCCATCGCATTACATGTTTGCACTGACATGAGGTCTTTTCTTCTTCCCATGAATCATACAATAATTTCAAGCACATCCCACAGCGACACAAACTGTATGAGCAATTAGCAGCCATGTCTGAGCTCTATACGAAGCTACAGCGTTGTTGACGTAGCATGCAACGGGTGTCTCTGGATTATTTTCCATTCATATTTCTTTTATCATCATCAGTTGATGCGCTTTATCAATCACCACGAAAACCTCCTCCTACACTGAAAAACGGTTCCTGGTTTTCCCAAGAACTCCCTGGAAATCGCCAATGTCTCTAACATAGGCTTCCTGGAAAAAGCAGGAACCGTTTTCACCTTGTAAATGGAGTGTTTCGCCAAAATTTAGGTCACACAAAAATGTCTCGCCAGAAAAGGGTGAGACTTAAGGGGGCTCATACAAGTTAAAAGCACTTTCTTTTAAAAAAATTTTGATGTAGACGGATTAAGATTTTACAATTTCTGTCTTAAAATCCTTTTAGATAATTGAGTAAGCTTCATTTTGGCTTAAGGGAAAGTGACTTTGGACAGTTTTTGGAGATTTAGTCGAAACGTTTAAAATTTTGCTTCTCGTAAGATTTTGTTCGCATACTTGCTCAGATCTGTGGGGAAAAAATCAGGGAGACTCATCCCCAGTAGTGTCATAGAATTGACTACAATGGGCTTTATATCTGCAATAGTTTTCAAGAAAAAAAATAAAAACAATTTTTTTAACAATTTTTTAAACAAATTTTTCAACAAAAAATTGTTTTTATTTTTTTTCTTGAAAACTATTGCAGATATAAAGCCCATTGTAGTCAATTCTATGACACTACTGGGGATGAGTCTCCCTGATTTTTTCCCCACAGATCTGAGCAAGTATGCGAACAAAATCTTACGAGAAGCAAAATTTTAAACGTTTCGACTAAATCTCCAAAAACTGTCCAAAGTCACTTTCCCTTAAGCCAAAATGAAGCTTACTCAATTATCTAAAAGGATTTTAAGACAGAAATTGTAAAATCTTAATCCGTCTACATCAAATTTTTTTAAAAAAAAAAGTGCTTTTAACTTGTATGAGCCCCCTTAAATGTCTGACAAATTTTACTTCGAAACATTTTTGGCGGGAAACCCTAACTGATGTACTACTTAAAGACTTTGTGTTTTGGGTATTTGCATTCATATTTTGTTACTTAACTGACTTAAGTGTTCTACGGTGTGCGCCTTTCCTAAGTGACCTCTCCTTCGGGTTTCCGTCCTTTTATCCGATCCAAATGGCATGTGGTCATAAGTGCACGGCAAAAGTACCGCCTGGGATTCCCAGGCGGCGCCTGGAAAATAGGCCCTTTTTCCCATGATGCGCTTGGGAATCCCAGGCGGTACTTTTGCCTTTGGATCTTCTAACAGTTTTGAGGAATATAACTTTCGTCTGTAAGGGGACTGTTCGTATTGACATCAAAGGTTAAAGGAGAGAAGTAGCCCGATAAAATGCGTTTATTTCTGCAAAAATTCGGTTTATCTCCGAAAAAATGTGGAACATTTATGGAGGAACCCCTCCGTAAAAATATGGAGACACGCTCTCCGTATAAAGATGGAAAATTTACGGAGTCTCCATTCCCAAAATTGGAGTGTCTTTCCCCGTAAATTGATGGACTTTATTTCTGACAATGTGATCTCAAGAAGCGCTTCGATTAGTCTCGGCCCTAGGCGGTAGAATTTCTCATGTTTACCGTGATTGGTTGACCGTTGCTAGCACGATCTCTTCACGAAACACTGCCTGACCCATACTAGCTCACCTCGCGCTCAGCGCACATCTCGTTACGTTGCCTGTCTGGACGCGACGTATAACGCGCGTTATAAGTCGCTTCTAATTTAAGTTTCATTTTGAACTGTGCTTTGACTTTGTGTTCAGCGTCACGTTACGAATTTAGCTTACTAAGCCAGCGTAACGTCACTCTGAACCTGTTAAACACGCGACAACACATCTCAGAAGTAAAAACGGAAAGTGAGGGATCTGATATACGAGAAATTCTACGTATCGGTAAGTTTTGGGACGTTTTTTTTCTTTTTTTTTTTAAACTTTTTAATGCAAGAGAAAGGGGGCCGGGGGGGGGGGGGGGCGTTTCGCAAACGTTTTCTCCCAAAAAAGGGACCTAGGAAAAACCCCCGGGGTAGGATTTTTTGGTTAATTTGGGAACGAATCTCTTTTTAAAAAGGGTTCTTCTTAAAAAAAAGGAAAAATAAAAGTCCCCTCAAGAAGCGCTGGGGAAGTTCCCCCCACCCGGGGGGCCCAGAATTTTTTTTTGGGGGAAAATTTTTTGCTTTTCTTCCGAAAATTCTAAAATACCCCTGGTGGCGCAACGGTATTTTTGCGTCTGGCCCCCCGATCCTTTGGGGCTAAAAATTAAAATAAAACTTTTTTACCTGGCCCCGGGTAAGAAAAATTGCTACAAAAATAAATCTTTTCGGGACTAACCGAATTTTTAATTTTTTAGAAATTAGGATGAAACCCGGAAATACGTATGAAAGGGAACTTTGTTGTATTACCACTTAACGCACCAGGTCAGGGAAAAAAAAAAAAAACCCCCTTTAAATTTTTTGGGGGTTTCTGTACAAAACCAGGTTTTCAGTAGAAAAATTTTCGCCTTACGGAAATTTTTTCCCCATTGGGACAGAAATCCCTAAAATACAGGATCCTGACTAACAAGGGAAGTTATAACCTACAGGTTTTACTGGTTTTTCCCCCGGGGTTTGCCAAGAGGTTGTTTATTTGTCTTTCCCTTTAAAATCATTAAGTACCATTTGGTGGGGTTTTAGGAAATCACCCCATTTTGGGCCCGCAAGAAGGGTTATATAACACATATTTTGGTCGGGGTTTTAAAATGCTCGATTTTTATCAACCCATCTGACTTTTTCCCATTTGTCATTATGCAAAATTAGGAAACCACAACAAAAAAAATTAGGAAAAGAAAACAAATTTTGGGTTTTTGTTCATAATTTTTAAAAAAATGAATTATTACTTGAAAAACATAATCTTAATTTTCCAATAAATGAGCAAAACAGAATCAGGATGCTCTTTTTTTCCCCCCCTTCCGGGGGGAAATTGTCTCACTTTGTTTTTCCCTTTTAAACCCGGGGAAAATCCCATAAACCCTTACGATTTTCATGCAGCTGTTTTTTTAAAACAGATTAACTTAAAAATCCAAAAGTGGTTTTAAGGTTTTAAAAAGTCTTCATAAATTTGACCATGTTACAATTTAAGTGGTTCCCAAGAAATCAAGTTTCCTTGAATACAATTTTTTAGTTTTTCTTGTAAGAACAAAAAAATTGAAATAGAAAAAATCATTTTTTTGCTTGGATTTCCTTCTTTAGGGGAAATTTTTCCGAAAGAAAATTAATTTTGTTCAGTACCATGGGGGTTTATTTGAAACAGGGTTTTACCCCCAGGGGTATGGAAGGGGTATTCATTGGGTTTGTCTATTAGGGGAAAAACCCCTCTTTTTAGTTTTCTGCATTTTAAAATAAATGAAATTCGGTAAAGTCAAAAATGCCCTTTTCCCCTCCTGGAAAAAGGAAGGGGCCAAATGGCTGTTCAAAAGTGCGATTTTTAAATAACATTTTAAAAATTTCCCCGGGTAGTGGCATATTAAATATTAAATAAAAAAAAAAAGTGAAGTTAAATTACAAGTTAACATTAATTGACAGTTATCTAATTAAATTGCAAATAATCGAATTTTCGTAATGGGATTTTTTCTTTCAGGTAGATAACAAAAAATTCGCCCCCCAAGATATTCCCCGTTTTATTTGGTTCTTCAAAAAGAATTTTAAGCAAATTAAATTGGGGAGGAATGTAACCTTTCCCGTTAAGTTATGTGCACTTTTGTTTTCCCAAAAATTTCCGTTTTTTTTTGCAAAAAATTTTTTCCTTTTTTTCCTTTCTCCTTTTTTGGGAAAAAAACCACCCTTTGTCCTGATTTATTAAAAAAGTTTCAAGCATGCCCTCTTGAATAATTGAGAGAAAATTTTTGGGAAAATACCCCCAGGGACCAATTTTTTAATTTCATTGAATTATTGCGCGGGTGGAAAAACTACACTTTTTAAAAGCCCACCTCAAAAAGGAGAAATTTTTTCTTAACACCCCAAATTCCCACAAAAAACCTTTTAAAACTAAACATTAAATAACTATTTAAATTTAAGGGTTTAATTTTCTTTGATTTTGGTGACCTTTTTTTGGGCTCCCAAAAATATACCCCCCCTTTTTTAAGGGGGGTCCAAAACCCCGGTTCTTTTATAAAAAGGACAGGGGGGGCCAAAAAAAAAATTTGAGGATTTCGTGAAATTTTTGTAATCCTTTTAATTTGACCCTAATTTAACCTAAAAAGGGTTTTTCCCCCTTTTCCGACATTTTTAGGGTTTGAAAACTTGATTGATACCCCCCCGGCTTTCAGCGTAAAAGGCAAACTGAAAAATTTAAAAAATAAAATTTGGGTGTTTTTTCCAGGGCCCCAAAAAATTCCATTTGGCCCCCGATCCTGTTGGATTTCCCTAATGTGGGGTGAAAGGCGGTCTTTGAGTCATGGATTTTTTGATGCAAGGGGTTAAGGGGAAAAAATTTTTTTTTTTTTTGGGGAAAACCTTTCAAACCCCCCCCAAAGGGGGGGAAAAAAAAAAAAAAAATTTTTGGGGAAAAAAAAAAATTTTAAAAACCCCTTTTTAACTAGGAAAACAAAGTGGAAATACTGTTAATCCCACATTCAAACTTAGAAAAATTAAAAAATATTATCAAAGTACAGAAAAAAAATTATTTTACCTTTATGAAATGTCAACTTGCAAGTGGGAACTTAGGCTCAGCTTTAAGTTTAGACTTTACCTAGTTTAACTTGGGGTACCTAAACAGGCAAACAGCATCTGCTGGACGATTCTTTTCAAGACGATTAATTATTTCGCGATACCAATCATTGGTTTTGGTAGTACGACCATAGAACACATCAAACAACACATGAGGCATGGAGGCGAGAAACTCTTGGGCAACCTTCCGGCTCTGGGTCAACTCTGCGAGCCAGTTGACGTTAGCCGCCCCAGGGCCCAGCCAGATGGCCACGGACTGCAGGGCAGTGGTGTCCATCTGGAACAGGAAGGCGAAGGCCTCCCGCACGACGTCGGCCGTGGACTGCGGCCTCTCAGCGTCCTTGAACACGTGGAGATGCACGTGCTCCAGTCCACGCAGCTGCAGCACGGCGTCCCGGTCGGCGGCGGACGGCAAGTCCACCTCCAGCACGCGGAGCGCTCTCGCGCCGCGCGCCAGGTCGCCGACGAGGCCGGGGAAGCTGCGACGGTTCAGGGTCCAATGGTCCAGGGCGTAGACGCGCAGCTCGCGTAGCTCCGGCAGCCCGCCGGCAAGCTCTCCGTTGTACCGCGTGTGCTGCCGGTACCGCTTCCCCTCGTCGAGCAGCATGTGCAGCTTCCGCAAGCTGCTCAGCGAGGCGATGGTGGCCAGGATGGCCGTGTTGTAGCCCCAGGACAGGAACAGGAGCAGACCGCGCAGGCTTCGCTGCCGTGACAGGAAGTGGACGACGCCAGTGTCCACCTTGGACTCTTGCCCATGGGCGTGCAGGACTCGAAGGGAGAAGCTTTTCACCTGGACGCGGCTGCGGCGCAGGGAAGACTGCAGCAGAATGGGGCATGTCGTCCCGATGGTGAGGGACTTGGCGGCGGGCGCGTGCAGCAGGACGCGATGGTCTCGGCGATCCCTCCAGACGGGGGCCGCGTCCTGCGGCACGCGATGGTCTTGGCAATGCCACCTCCCCACCTGCAGCTCCACGCCCGCCCAGGAGGAGGGGTCGCGGGCCAGGCGGTACCACCGCTTGCATACCAGCGGCAGCACGTCGAGCAGAGTGGCGCCGTCAGTCAGCATGCTGAAGACGAACGTCAGGATCTCGTCTGGGAGCGCGTGCACGCTGGCGTCGGGGAGGGCCTCCACGCTGGCGTCAGGGAGGGCCTCCACGCTGGCGTCGGGGAGGGCCTCCACGCTGGCGTCGGGGAGGGCCTCCACGCTGGCGTCGGGGTGGGCCTCCACGCTGGCGTCGGGGAGGGCCTCCACGCTGGCGTCGGGGAGGGCCTCCACGCTGGCGTCGGGGAGGGCCTCCACGCTGGCGTCTGGGAGGGCCTCCACGCTGAGCACCCCCCCTGGGTCGGGGACCTCCACCGGGGTGGGGGGGGCCTCCCGCTGGCGTCGGGAGGGCCCCCAGCTGGCGTCGGAGGGCCTCCAGCTGGCGTCGGGAGGGGTCCACGCTCGCGGGAGGGCCTCCCGGACACCTCCTCCTGGGGTTTTGAAACGTCCACGTGGGGGCCTCGGCCTGGGGCCGGAAGGGATCCCTTTCTGGCGCTGGGAAAGGGCTCCATGTCCCGGAAGGGGCCTGCGGCGTCTGGGACAGACCAGTTCGCCTATGGACCCGCCCCGGGGAAAACTCTGGGTGCCTGCTTGGGAATAGCTCGCCCAAAGGGGACTTCATGGTCACCCTCGATGGGAAAAAAACGGGGAAAATTAAAATTTTTGGGGACCTTAGTTACAGGGACTTTCCTGTCAAAAACATAGAAAAACGAAACCTCAGAAAAACAGAGTTTTCAACCCCGGACCAGGTGTTCGCCTTAATTTCAAAATTGCAAGCATCTTCTTCGGGATCCCAAAGTTAAGACTTTGAGTAAAATATTTTCCCCCCGGGGGAACTAATTTGCCCAGGGGAACCCCCTTTTGATGCAAATTCACGAAAATGGTTGAAGGAGGTGGGGACCTGTTAATCCGGGTTCCTGGTTTCCCAAAAATCTATATTAAAAAAAGGCATTCCCGCCCAAAATGTTTTCACCTGTTGGGGCCCCCAAGCGGGTTGTCAAAAGGCATTTTCGGGGAATTCAGAATTGACTTAAAACTGTTTAGTAAGTATTTTCCAGGGCAATTTAAAGCTAGGTAATTGAATTCAGATTCCCAAATTTTGACTTTAAAAAAATTTGGTTAAGTATTGTACCCGGGGAAACGGCTTGTGTTTTTCTCATTAATTTTTTTCCCAATTTTTTCCCCAAAAAAACAGGGGACAAACTGTTTCCTTGTTGTGGGCCCAAAAGGGGGCTTGTGCCAGGGCAAACGGGAACTTTTCAGGAATTAACCCAAACGGGTTGAAAGGGTTTATTTTTCCAATGCGTTCCTCCCTATTTTTTTGAAAATCAAACAGATTTTCGCGTATTTTTTAAAAAATCGGGACTTTGGACCTTTAAGTAACTTTAAAAAACCTTTGCTCCCCCCCCCACTTTTTCCCGCCAAACCCTCCACCTCGTTGACAAAATGCGCCTTGTCTTAAGCTTTCAGCCACGGCGCCTGTGGAGACAACCCCGCCCCTTAAACCCCAAGCGTCAAAAGCCCGGCGGTTGCGCCCCGGGGCCACCTTTTCCCACCTCCGCCGCCTCGGCGCTCCCACCCTGGACTTCCCCACTGTCCAGAGGTGTTGGCAAAAGCTTCCGCCAAGAACCGCAGTTTTTCGCGTCACCTCCCACGACTCGCCAACGTCGTGGTCCTTTTTTCGAATCTTTAAAAACCATTGCTCCCCCCCGGCACGGGGGGTTCCGCGCGCCAGCCTCGTCCGGTAACCTCGCTTGACCATTGCGCCGTGATCTAACGGCTGCACCGCCACGAGGGCGGCGGGGCTTGCTGGGAGGAACTTAACCCTGAACTTATCCCCAAGCCCGCCGTCGGAAACCTTGTGCACCGCGCGGTTGTCGACGAGTAGCAGCACCCTGCCTGAGGTACCGGCCGCAAACTGCTTCATCTCCACGAACGGCTTGAAGCAGTTGACGAACCAATCCTCGAACAGGGCGGTGGTGAGGCAGGAGCCCGCCTGCCCTCGGTAGAACACCGGAAGGCCACTGCAGTGCTTGAAGCACCGCGGCTTCCGGTACCTCCCGACGACCATCAGCGGCAGCCGGTGCGTCCCGGTCGCGTTGGCGCACATCACGACGGTGAAGCGGTGAAACGGCATTGGCATTCCGTCGGCACGCTTCTCCCCCGCGTGCGCCTCAGGCCTAGAGGGCAGGGCCTTCCAGCAACACCGCGTCTCGGCCATGCTGTACACGTAGTCGAGGTCGTAACCCTCCTCCTCCAAGAACTCTTCCAGTTCGTCAGTGGCGACGGTGGCGCTGTCTTCGTCAGCTGACTTCTCCTCGACCGTGCTGCCGATGCCGTGACGCGTTTTGAATTTCGCCACCCAGCCTGTGCTGGCCTTGAACGCCTCGTCACCGCCAAGCGCCTTGTTCACCGCCCTGGCCTTCTCTTGCAGCGTCCGAGTAGGAACAAGGTGGCCCTGAAAATTGATTTTAAGAAAAAATATTATTATTCAAATCTTAAGTATTACGAAAACAAAATGGAATCGGTTCGACTTTATTAAAAGGAAACCCTGGTGAAAAATGGCCTAAATTGACAAAATAAGTGATTTCGAAATTTGACGCAGGAAACAGAAGGGAATAACTTCACTTATCTCCAAATTGATTTTTTATCCTATTATTATTCTGTGAAATGGTTTCAATTACTACACCAAATTTTTGGCTCAATTCCAAACAGTTATGGAAAGTCCAGATGCAAAAAGTACACAATTCAGCTTGACCCCTCTCACGCTCTCAAATAAGCAGAAAAAGGAAACAACTCAACCGAACTCTATATGACTCTGCTATAAATATTTTCAATAGTAGATAACTCAACTTGTGACTATGTGAATCTGTTCTTAAGGATACTGCACAGTGAAACTAGCATGTCCTAGAAATATTTGTCACAGGAAGTTCATTTTATGCCCAAATTTTAACCTTTAATAGATAAATTTGTTTTCCAAAGTTGGGGGCCCCAATTCTTATTAGTTTCTTAGTTATGGAGGTTTACGTAAACTTCCAGTCTCTCAAATTCTCCTCACGACAAAGGATTAGCTACCCAGTCTTCAGATTCTGGCAAATATATCTATTTTTGCCTAGGAAAAAGAAAGCGTTGGCAGATTTGAAAGTATCTGTCTAGATGAGGCTGCAAAAGCTATTTTACCAGGCCTTGGCTATTTGTATTTTTCTTCAAATTTAAAAGATTTTGCCCCATTATGGTCTTGTTTTTGGCTGTCAGGAAAACTAAGGCACTTATTAAAAAGGGCAACGCTATCTTTCTCCTATTCAAAAATGGATAAAACTGACAGAATCTGAAGACTGGGTAGCTTGTCCTTTGTCGTTAAAAGAATTTGGGAGACTAAAAATTTACGTAAACCTCCATAACTCAGAAACTAATAGGAGTTGGGGCCCTAGTCTCAGTGAATGAGTTTATGGAATAGAAAGGAACTTTTCCCCATAAATTGAGGCATCTGACACAAGTATTTGAAAAATGTCAAATAGCCACTTTTTTCACTTTACAACCTTAAAAGAATCAAGTCAACTTTACACCCCTTCCTTTTAACAACTCAATTGAAAAGAAATAGGTAAAATAATTAATTACACCCTTTTTTTACAAAAATTGAAGTCCTCTTGTTCCAATGAAAGACGCAGGGAAGTTTTTGAATTACGCTCTCAAAAACTCTAATGTGGAACTTTTCTCAGAAACAGTCTTAAATTTTGGGTTGAATTTTGATTTAAGAACTCATCGGACAAGGTCTAATAAATGACCAAAGTTTCAATATTGGGGGATATTTTTGAAGCCTAGTTCCAGTTGGGTCGCCCACTGAAGGAAATAACCACAACAAAAGTACACAAATTTCTGGCAAATTTTTTATCAGGAATTTAGTGTACTTTTCAAGTACAACAATTGTTGTACAAAGTACAATGGAACCGGCATGAGGAGTGCTGTGCAGTCCAGGGCTCGTTGTAGTTTGTACAATTCTCGTTGTACTTTCTACAATCCCTGTTGTACTTTTATTGTACAGTTTCTGTTGTACTTTTGTTGTGCTATCTACACTTTTTCTTGCAGTGCCCCTTAATTAAACTTACCTCAGCCCTCTGCTGCAAGAACCACGCAATCATTTCCCCGTCCAACTCCTCCAGCACGGGGCGCCGCGTGGTTTTCCTCGCCTTGTTCCCGCACTGGTTCACAAACTGGTTCAACGTGGCGCCTGCTTTGTGCCACTTTCGGACGGTCTCTGGGTGCACCCCTATGTCCGCGGCTACGTCCTGCAGATTTTCACCGGCGTCCAAACGTTTCGAAACGTTCGCCTGCCAAAAAAAATGCAATTGAAAGACTTTTGAAAGTCACTGCACGGCAAATAGCCTACATTCTAAATGTCTTACAAAGAAATTTCCCATTGTAAGAAGGTAGTTTTCCTCCTTATTACGAAGGTGTTTTAGTGTACCTTGCAATGAAAATGCAGAAAAGATTCGTATTACGATGGAATACTGCTTCCCGTTACACTTGCGCAGAATTCACCGTAACACAGCTCAACTTTCTTTGTAAGACCTTTCGCGTGTACGGAAAGAAAAATTAGCGGGGCATTCCTCGTCAAACCATCATCGTCCATCACATACTTGCTCAGATCTGGCTCCCAATTTTTGCTATGATGGTTTGACGTGGAATGCACCGTACGAACCCAAGTGTTGGACAGACGTGCACTAAATAACGCGGGACAAGCAAAACAAACTGCCGTACGGTTCTGAGTTCACTACTACAAATCCAAAGGTCAGACTTCTCGCCACTCCAGAGGCGAGAAATAAAAGTCTCGCCAAGTTTTGGTCAGATCTTAAAGTCTCGCCAAAATTTGGTCAGACAAAAAAGTCTCGCCACAAAATGGAACCAAGTCGCACGCTTTTAAACGCCTCGTGTCGCGCATGCTTGTCCCACACTTGGATTGGCAGTGCAATGCGGGAACATACCTTTTCTTGAACAGAAAGATGATTTCGTTTCTTCTTTTGAGGGAGATTTTCTGCTTGCCGCAGCATGTTCCTCTGGGACGCGACACGCACGGAATAAGACACAAAAACACTGCAGCACAGACGACTTGCCGGGAGACTGGTCCACAGCCAACTGACTGGGGAAACTTACCGCCGCGCCGCACGGCGCGAGCAGGTCCTGGAGCCGGCCAGAGTGCAGCAATTTCCGCGTAGAGGATTAAACGTCACAGATGAGCGCTCGGCCCTCCACCGTGCCACCGAGGAAGGTGGGGGAGTGGAAGATAAGCCGGAGCAACCGAGGTGCATGCTGGGAAACCGGGCAAAGTGGAGGCAACGCTCCGAAAAACGACAAATACCTCAGACGCGGTTCAAATTAGATTCTGAACTTAAACTGAACATTCTCTTAGAAAAATGAGCAAAAGCAACCTTCAGGGAGGGGAGGGGTTAACATTAACTTTGAGATGACAACATAAGTATTAACTCATGATTTTGGTTGGATGCACTAGTGAAAATATTTCTTTCTCCTAAATGGGTATTACTGTGAAGATTTGATTAAAAAATAAACCCTCAGTTTAGGTTAAACTTTTACAATTGATGGCCCATGGCTTTCTCTAAACCCAGTCGCAGAGCTGATTTTGCCTCTTTTGGCTATATCTTTAAAAATCTACTTGCACAGGCTATGTTGACGAAAAGGGGTGGCTTGACAATTTTAACTTCTTCGCTCCGTTTTAAATCACAAAGAAGTTAAAATTGTCAAGACCAACCCTTTTTCGTGAAGAAAGTCTGTGCAAGAAAACTTTTAAAGATAAAGCCAATTAAAGGAAGCTATTTGCCTTCAATCGTAAAACTGAAACCTTAACAAAGTGAGGTTGCATTATTTTAACAAATTTTCACAGTAATACCCAATGGGGATAAGGTAAGACTTTCCCTGTAACCTCTTCTCAAAAACATAAGTTCAGAGCTTCTTTTGCCATGTCAAAGTCAAAATTGATCCACCCCTCAAGGTGGTTTGTTCACATTTTCATAAGAGAATGTTAATTTAAGTTCAGAATCTATTTTAAACCCAATATGAGTGGTTTGGTTGGAGAAAATATGCGTCTGAGTCCAAAATAGACAATTCGTCGAGTTGCAAAGACTTAAGATTTAAAAAGTGGGTGCAGAGCCGACAAATGAAAAATATTTTTGACAGCTACTTGGGATATTAGCATGGACTAAACAAGGATGCTTTAGGACTGGTATGGAAATAACAGCAAAATCATATAATGCTACACGATTGAGGAAAGGCATTTAGTCAGCTGCACTGATAAAAATTCTGTCGTAACTTAGGAACACATTTATTACTCATTTTTTTAGCGGCAAGATTTGTTGTGGAAGAATACCTTGTTAAACGGAAGTTGTACTGAACCTAAAGGAAAATTACACAGTGACAAACTTGTAATAACACATGAACAGTCCACCTTCAAAAACAAGTCGTTTACCAACAACAAACGTTGTTGGTCAACGACAAGTATTGTAAGTCAAAAAAGATTTTGTAATTTCTGCGACCAGTAATAATGAGTACGTTTGATGCTAAATTTATTTTTCATGGTTCTACTTTTAATAATAATAGTTCCCCTAAGACTTATAAGAACGAAAAAGATGATTATTCATAACATTCTTTAATTGAGCAGATAATGGCAAAAGATGTTATTTCCACACAAATTGTATCGTTAATGCTGATAGCAAGAATTTTGTTCCTCAACGACAAACTGTCGCTTACTAGATTCAACGACATTTGTTTTGCTTTGGTTCATGATGACATTCTATGTTTTGGAACGACTAAATTTTCACTCATCTGATTGTTTTGGTACTACCATTTTTTAACAGTGTACCTCCAAACTGCTCTAAATTGCTTTGCAATGTGCTCTTTCATCTAAGAACAGCATTGAAGGAGTGGAAGCTAAATGTAGGAGGATTTTTGTACTTTGAAATTTGAGAACTCGAAATTATGCTAAACAGGGGTGAAAATGGTTATTTTGCTTTTTCTACCAAACGTTTCGTTCCATTACAAAAATATTTAAGAGGGAGTCTCTCCTAGTGAGGTCCTCTTGGTACAAAAAAATTGGGAGGCCAAAATTGAACTTTGACCAGGAAAGTTGATTGGATTTGAGAAAGAATGCATATATGAGACAATTTTGGGTTAACTTGAGACAGACTACCAGTTTGGCCATCAAGAAGGCTACCAACAGACAACGTTCACTTTTCTGGACCATAGTACTATTTTTCTCGTAAAGTTTGACAGACAACAGTCATCAAATGAAACTTGAATTATACTTCTGAAAATGAAGATCATGTGTCTCAAATCACCCCAAAGTTGTCTCAAATTGCCCGAGCTTACGGTACCGGAATCTTTCTCCCCAGGGCGTGCAGGGTCGACTCTAGACTTCAGAAAGGACTCACCTCTCGGTTATCGCAACACGTGGGCTCGGCCGCCGGGTTTTCTGGTTCCTGATGTTGAGTACGTTCCTGGTGTTTTCTCTCGGGCGAGGACTCCACTGCAGAATGCTGGGCCGGAGCGAGCTCGTGACAGGGCACCGCAGCGACGCTCCAGCGATCTCACCGATTAACCGAGTAAGATGGAACTGCTCCACGACCGGCGCAGCAGACGACGAATGGATGTACACTGGGCGATGCCGGCACGCACGACACGGCGTAGACAGTGCTGCTGGACGCCGCCAAATGCGAAGGGATTGGGAAGGTCCCTTCCGTCGGCCCGGCGGAATTCCCGGATCGAGCAGTGGAACTCCGCGCCTCCGGGGCGAACCCCGGCCCCAGCCTGCCAGACCGGGCGCTTTCGGGTTCTTCCGACTGCAAAGCGAAAAATTGGTCCCGACCACTGTTAGAAAAACACAGAACAATCCTGCAAGCATACGGCAAATTTTTAGCAGACGATACATCATACATAAATACACACTGTCAGAAATACAGTCCGTAAATTTACGGAGAAAGTTAAGGGAGAGTGGGGTAATTCCGGACGCTTTTTTTTTGGTCTCTGAGCTTAAATACGCTTCTTAGCTATAGGTCAAATGTTATTACAGGAGTGTAAAGTATGGGCCTTTACCTTCAAAATGATATACATGAAAGCCAAATCTCAGCAACGGTTAGGGAGATATAAGCGCCTAACGAAAGCCCTGCACGTGCAAACAAATTGCCTACCCACAAGGCGTTTATAACCATTTTCCGATTTTCAAGGCCGTTGTGGGGGCTGAAGATATTATCCGATCGGGATGACATTTAAAATCGTTCATATTGGCCCCTGAGAGAACACTTTGACACCCGAGCCGATATCAATTTCGGAAAAAAGTGTTTTTCGCGGCACCCTATGCGCAAGGTAATGCATGCCTGGCAGGCGCAGGCAGGCGCTAGAGCGTGCTTGCAGGCATGCTCCGGGTACTGGGGCAAACAAAGTACGCTTTTTCGATTTGTAAAGGAAGGTTCCATCTGCTAAAGAGGATCTGAATCTTGCGTGCGTCCATCCCGCGGAACTGTGGTATGTGGTAGACATGCGCAGGCCTGGCCCGAACCGAGCGCTCGTGTGTGGCTCCCTTGTGTATTTCCGTTACACGAACAGGAGCTGCACTCTCGCCATACTGGCTTCACCATGCGGTCGCCTTGCTGCGTCGCGATCCTTTCCACCCTACTGTTGCTCCAGCTCCACGCTTTAAACAAAGTAACCAACCGCCGCCCCATCATTTTTGCGAATGGGCACGTAGTTGAAATTTGAATGCAGGCACACGGTTTCCGATCAAGTTGTAATTTTACGAATAAAGTCCTGTTAATTTTGAAACACAACGAGGTTTCAAAATGACAAAGAATGTTCGTCTGTTTCACAACGTAATAAATTCACGAGTATCTTCGTAAATCTACGAAAATACAGGTGACGAATGTTGTGAGTTAGTAGACTGTCTACTAACACACACTTGTTGTTTTAGCTGCATAAGGAAGTTACTAGTAAAATCACCTGTAAATTTACAAGAAAATTTTGTCATTTTACACAGTCATTCGTGACGGTTACAGTCATCATTTCACGAGATCTAGTGTGCACGCTCCAGGTGGATTGTGCCATGCACACTGTCAACTTTGTAGAGAATTTGTCCTAACTTCTAACTGCAACTGTGTAGAGCTATGAGGTAGAGTTCGACAGCGTCGAGTGTACTTACGACCAAAACTACTTCGGCGAGCGCACAGGCATGTTCTTGCGTCAAAAGGACAAGTCCGGGCACTCCCGGATCTCATCTGTCTTGGATATCATAAAAACACTGCCTAACGACACCATGGTAAGCGTGGGTTCGATCTAGCCCCCCTCTCTACCTGCATTACTCAGTGGCGCCCACAGAAATTTCATTTAGGGGGAGCGACTGATATCCAGCCCCATACAACCCCCACACTAAATTACTATGTGGGTTTTTCTGCGCGCTAACGCACGAAATTAAACATGCACTTCGTAACGCACGAATTTGAGCGCGACAATGCACGATTTCCCGCGCAAGTATGCAGAAAATCCTGCATTGTTGCGCACAAATCCGTGCGTTACGAAGTGCATGTTTAATTTCGTGCATTAGCGCGCAGAAAAACCTACATAGTAATTTAGTGTGCCCTTTCTTCTCTTCTTTTTCCTCTCCTTCTTTCCTTTTCTTCCCCTCCTATCCTTTTTCTCCCCTTTCCCTTTCTGTTTTCTCCTTCCCTCACCCACCCACCCCAAATCAGGGTCTGCGCACCCACGTGTTGGCGCCACTGGCACTAGTGCAATATTGCTATTCCTTTCATTTCACCAAAGTGTGTGTCAGATAACTGGTAATTGATATTGGTAATAGTTTCAGCTAGCTCTCTGAACCAAAGCCCGGTGTTAATACTGTACTGTAATCTATTACTCCAAAAATAAAATATCTCAGGACACGAATAAGAGAAATTTCGTTGGCGTAGTGAGCAACAAGTGGCCTCTGCATGAGACGATTCACTGGATTTGACTTAAGTTGGTCTCTGTCTGGCGTACACCTACCTTTGACTTAGACTTCGTTTAGAAATTTTAAAAGGATGGAGTAATCTTACAAAAAAAATTAGGGATGACTTATGTCGTATCTTGTGCTTTACAAACGTTTCCCTAAAAGTATGTGTTTGTTCAATAGTTTGACGCAAACGTTTTCGAGATGCACCAGAAAAGGTACATTCAAAGCTTTCTCAAGTACCGCATCAACTTATGTGACTACTTACGCCACGAGAACAAGCCTGTACTTAGAGCAGTCAAGACATATTACAAGTTTCCCTCCTCATGTCCACTTTTTGTGAGTTTAAATGAATGAGTGCGTTATACCAGTTAAACATAACGAAATATTCACAAAAATGAGAAGTCTTGTAAATAAAAGACACCGTGTTCTTTCTCTTGCAGGGTTATTACAAGTATGAGAATCAGAGGTTCGAAGATATGCAACCACCGTTTTTCCCTGGTCCGGACAATTGGAAGATAGTTATGAACATGACTTCCGAGGGAATATCTTTGCTTAAGGAAACGGTCACGTTTCACATTGAACGCTCCAAGAAAAAACGCGGTCATTGAAGGTTCTTGTCACATTTAATTTCGCCACGTCATGGAGCGAAACTGTTTTAAGGGTAAGGTGGCGAACATGGATCCATGCGAGGCGGCAACCACTCGATATTTTTTTGTACAAAGGATTCTTCAAACGTAGGGATTTCGTCGAGATTTCGCAAGATTTCACGTCAAAATTATGCCAGAATTCGTGAGATTTGGTTGGTATTTCGCGAGATTTCGCCAGATTTCGTGGGATTTCACCAAGATTTCGAAGGGATTTCACGAGATTTCTACCGATTTCGCGCAAGACTTCGGCAAATCAAGTGTACACAGGACTTCGCGAGTTGTTGCCCCCTTGGATCCATGGCACATGGATCCGTTCCCGGTGTACCGATCATAGATCGTTTCTGTTAGAGAGCCCGTACAACAAAACCACACTGACATTTCTAATGTGATTAGTGAGTGATCCAGGAAGCGGAAGAAGGGAATAATTCTACTTATCTCCAGATTGAGTTTCTATTGTATTATTTTGCCTTGGAATGGTTTTCGTCATTGCACCAAATTATCTGACACAATTCCTTGCAGTTAAGGAGAAAATCCACTTGGTATGAAGGTACAACTGAACTTGACCCCTTTTACACTAGCAGTATGTGATTCCTTTAAATCGGTTCCTCAACCGACTCTTAAATTACACGAAGGATTTTGTTCTGTTCGATATAGAGGCCTTCCAGACATCTTCGGACATAACTTCCAGATTTTAAAGGAGAAAATCCATAATTGAGCCAAACGGAGATCTGCGTTTAAAATAAACAGTCAGCGTTTAGTCTCCGTATTTTACGGAGTTTTCTGGTACGTGAAGTCTGGAGACAAGAAACAAATATGATGGAAAACAGTTTAAGAACAAAAAGGACTTTATTAGGTATTCACACTTCTCAAAATGACTACATAGGTGGTACTATAGCATCCTTAGGACATTTCTTTTCAAGACGGGAGATGATTTCGCGATACCACTCATTGCTTTTGGTGTTACGCCCATGGAACGCATCAAACGATACATGAGGCATGGATGAGAGGAACTCTTCGGCAACTTTGTGGCACAGTTTCAACTCCCCGAGCCAGTTGGAATCCGGTTCCCCACGGCCGAGCCAGATGGCCAAGGACTGCAGGGCAGTGGTGTCCATCTGGAACAGGAAGGCGAAGGCCTCCCGCACGACGTAGGCCGTGGCCTGCGGCCTGACAGCGTCCTTGAACACGTGGAGATGCACGTGCTGCAGTCCGCGCAGCTGCAGCACGGCGTCCCGGTCGGCGGCGGACGGCAAGTCCACCTCCAGCACGCGGAGCGCTCTCGCGCCGCGCGCCAGGTCGCCGACCAGGCCGGGGAAGCAGCCGAGACTGTCTCGGTCGTGGGCGTAGACGCGCAGCTCGCGTAGCTCCGGCAGCGCACGCGCAAGCTCCCCGTTGTACCGCGCGACATCCCCGCTCGGCACCGCCTTGCGGTAGATCAACTCCAGCTTCCGCAAGCTGCCCAGCGTCGCGACGGTGGCCAGGGTGGCCGCGCCGTACGGCCAGGACAGGTTCAGCCGCAGACCGCGCAGGCTTCGCTGCCGTGACAGGAAGTGGACCACGGCAGCCTCCGCGTCCGCCCTCGCGCTCGTCCCGTGACCCTCGATCCGAATGGAGGCGGTGTTCACCTGGACACTGCCGCTGCGCAAGGCGGACTGCAGCATGGCGCAGATGGGCAACTGGCAGAAGCCATCCACCACGTCCCACTCCCCGATCTCCAGGGACTTGACGGCGGGTGCGTACCGCAGGACGCGGTACGCCCTGTACTCGTGGAACGAGCCCTTCCGCACCGATAGCTCCACGCCGGCCCAGGAGGACGGGTCGCGAGCCAAATGACGCCAGCGCTTGCAAACCAGCGGCAGCACGTCGAGTTTGGTGTCGTTCGTCAGCATGCTGAAGACGAACGTCAGAATCTCGTCCGGAAGGGCGTGTACGCCGGGCACGGCCTCCACGTTGGCCTCTGGGACGGCCCCCACGCTAAGGGCCTCCACGTTGGCCTCTGGGAAGGCCTCCACTTTGGCCTCTGGGACGGCCTCCACGCTGAGGGCCTCATCCACTTTGGCCTCTGGGACGGCCTCCACGCTGAGGGCCTCATCCACTTTGGCCTCTGGGACGGCCTCCACGTTGGCGTCTAAGAGGGCCTCCACGCTGGCACCAGGGGACCTACAACATGACAAAAGAAAAAAAAACTCAAATATCCCGTTGAGAAATTCACATTTTTTTGGCCTATTTTTCTATTTTTTTGTGTTTGTTAAATAAATTGGGGCTGATATCAAGATTCCGTCACTAAAATTTGTCGACAAGCCATCAAAGAATAGAGTCCAGGCAAAACGACTCATGTATGTGTCAACCAGGAACGCAAGAAGTCTTTCTACGCCAAATTTTTTTGTCGATTGAGTAAAGCTGTTTAGTTGAGCATATAAGCCAACGACAACTGATCTTTATGTTATTTCTTTCTAAAACTACCCACTTAGCTTAAAGGTGTTGAACTTGTTGAATGTGAAACCTTCCATGCACATTTTCATCTATGAACTTTGGAAATAATGATTTTGGCAATTTTGGACATTTTTACACCAGACACCGAGCCAAAACGCTCATTTTTGTGGCACAAACTCATTTGAGAAGAAATGGGGCCATCCGCTTCTCTATTTCTGAGTTCTAGTTGTTTGCTCTAACTTGCTCTTTTTTAGATTACCCTCCTGGCAAATAGAAAGAACCATAGATGCGGGCAAATAAATTTTTTCTGACATAGCATTGAAAGCATTGAATGTTTAATCCAGGAAGGGGAAGAAGGGGACAGCTTCATTTTGACCATTTTTCAGGAGAAACAAAAATCTGCTTGGAGGGGAAACTAATACTTTACAAATAAATGTTATAGATGATACTCTCAAGGAGCATGTGTTAAATTTTGAAATTTACATGTTAAGTGTCAGGTCACTCCATAGAGGATTACTTATCCCTTTCCGTTACAATGGAAATCTGAGTAACCACCACCTATATTTCCTAAACGAGGTGGTGTTTCGAGATAAGTTAAGTGGAACTACAATCAGTATAGAGTGTTTGTTTCTCTGGTGATTAAGTTGACTTGATCCTTTTAACAATATATTCTTGAAGACAAAAGTTGACTTATCTCCTATTGAAAATATTTTAACGGATTAATGTTGACTTTGGTAGAGTTGTTTCCATTTTCCGCTAAATTGTAAGCGTAATGGGGGTCAAGCTGAATTGTATCTTTCTTCCGTCTCGATTTTTTCCTTAATTGCTAGGAATTCAGTAAAATAATTTGGTGTAATGATGGAAACCATTTTAAGCAAGATTTATAAAATAAGAACTCGACTTGGAGATTAGTGAAGTTATTGCCTTCTTCTGCTTCCTGGATCAATTTAATTCATTTAGTTTAAAAATGAGGTTGTGGCAAAATCTCTCCAATATGAAACAAATAATTCAAAACATGGCTAAAGCTTTTACGGCCTACACTGGGATTAAATTTCTAAAATTGCCAATGTTAGTATCTCTTTTCTGTGTGGTTTGAAAGTTCAAATGACAGAATTTCAAGACTGGGTACCGCTTCCTTTGTCATGAGGGGAATTTACGAGAAACGCCTCACAGCTTCCGTAAACCTCCATAAGCCAGAAATTTATGTGAGTTCAAGCCACTTAAGTTGGCAATTATAAAAAGGTGATGTTGTTCTAACCACAAAATGACCTCCCTGTTTCAAAAAATTTTGGGATGTCGACTCAATTTTTCAACACCTGAAAGTTAAACTTGAGTCGCTTTGGACTCAAGAGCACTGATACAGCAGTGGTACAATGAAGGCCAGGAAGAATATTTGACATGCAATTCCAAAACGGGGCACTTATTAAGCTCTTTTGCAGAATTAAATGAACGCACTGAGAATTTATTTGCCTGAGAGGTAAATTATTTTCTGGGGAGATTTTAGTGGAAATCTTGCTTTCTTCGAAATGGGTCGCACTTTCTCAGCTTTGAAAGTTTGTTTGAAGCATAAAGTCTTACTGAGTTTACTCAGTAGATTAAAATTTTACGTTTGAAGACACATGTTCCACAACCCAGTGAAAGAGCACTTTTTTTTTTGGGGGGGGGGGCTATTTTGGCTCAGTCTTTGAAAATCTTGTAGTGTATACTCTGCAGTCTAAATATTGGTTTTTCTTTACTCCACTTCTTCGATCCATTTTGACAAGATTCCGTCATTCAAAACCCAAAATCTCCAAAACATTATTTTTTAACGATCTCTTTCAGCGAAAATTATTTGAAAGGTGAACAAAAATGAACAAAGTAAGATGTGCAAGATTTTGTAACATTCGACGCCCAAAACCTTGTCAAAGGCAATGCACACTCTAAGTTGTGTATGCCGGAATCATTTCACCACAAGGTATGTGGAACTACTCTAGAACTCAGAACAAACTCACCTCATAGTTAACGCAAGATGTGGGCTCGGCGGTGGGTTTTCTTGCTCCCGATGATGAGTTTGTTTCACGTGTTTTCCCTCCGGCGGAGACTCCACTCCAGATGGCCGGACAACGCCAAGCTCGTGACGCGGCACCGTGACGCTCACGACAAACTGGCCTTCAACTGGAGTTTTAACCAATATGTGCTTTGTGATGGGGCTTAGAGAGTTTGACGATGGAGGCACTGAACATGACAAAATGTGAGAGGTTAGTACAGACGAGCTGTCACACAAGCACACAATTCACTCAAAATTAAAATACGAACCATATTGCCGAGGGACAGCGCCAGTGATTAATTTATTCCTCCGAGCGTCGAAAAACCACTGCTCATCAAAATGTTTTTCGCACAAATATGTGTGCCTGTAAGTGGCGCCAATGTTTGTGAGGCGATCTGCGTTCCCACTGCAGTTTACCCAGTGTGCTCGCCTGAAGAGAGAAAAGAATATAAAAATATAAAGTGACGCTTTACCGACGCTGCTTCAAATAACACGTGGAAAGTCTACAGGGCATATACTTTCCATAATAACAAACTAACCTCTCTGGATCTGCCGGGAAGCTGTACAATCTAATATTTTTCTCCTTGTCCGATGTAAAGTTTTGGCAACCATGGTACATACAGAGCCTCTTTTGAGGCATTTTCGAATACTTGCAAAGAGGAAAATGCGCCGGACAGTCCGTCAAACGATGCGTTCTCCTCCGGAGCTATCAGCAAAAGGACTCGGACCTGGAGCTTGGGAAGAAGTCCATGGTGACGTAACAGCCGACGGTGTCGCGCTCTGGCGCCTTCGAATGCGAATGAGGAAGTTAACTGTCAAACTCGGCCACGGGTGGCGCCACCATCGCTTTGGCCGGGGAAGCCTGGACCAGAGAGGACGGAACAGAGAGGTATAACTCAGAGAGGACGGGTCGGCCGTGTCTGGCGCTGGCAAGCCTGGGTGGCGCTTCGCTTGGTGGCCAGCGGGCCCGGACTGGTCGAGTCTGTGCCGTCCCCGCGGCGGATTTCCCGGAACCGGCCAGGAGTGGGGCTCCGAGCCTGCCTCTGGTCGGCTGGGGTGAACCCGGCGCAAACAGGATCACAACGGTACAAGCCCAGACAAAAAAATTTCGCGCCCGTGACGGGCACAGCCCGAGCGAATCTGGGCACTGCACGGGCGTGTGCGGGCTCGGCACGGGCTTAGGGTGGGCACAGGGCGGGCAGGTGCGGGCGCATCATCCGAAGGCGGGTCGAGGTTCGGGCCCGCACGCGGGCAGATGCGGGCAAACGTCGACAGACGCGGGCAAACGTCGACAGACGCGGGCAAACTTGGGCAAACGCGGGCAGGCACGGGCATGTGGTTGCATCCGGAGCGCCTTCATTCTAAATGTCTTTCGAAGAAATTTCCCACAATACGAAGGAAATGGCGCAAGCATAATACAAAGGTGGTTTTCGTATTACGACGGTTTTTCTTTATATCTTTCAATGAAAAAGCGAATAAGATTCGTATTACGAAGGAATACACTCACTGAGATTCCAAACGCTATGAGTATAGCACGTATGGTGCAATGCGCTGTGATATCGCACCATAAGGGAGTATGGGGCGATTTGTAACAGGGGCGATTCGTAACAAATGCGTTTATTGATTTAAGTGGAGGGAGCAGAGGAAAATCTGAGTATGGCCCCTCTTTCGCTTCAAGTACAGGGTCCTTGAACAACCGAAGCGGATGTGATCGGTGCTCAGGTATAGTTTTGGAGGGCGTCCCTAGACTCCGACGAAGTCCCGGCCCATAGGCCCCGATACGACCCCGACCCGGCCCCGACCCGGCCCCGACCCGGCCGGGTGATTCCGTGCGTAGGGGGTCATTTCAGGTCACCGGGGCCTTGCGCCTGAACTAAAGTTGATTTCGTAGCTTGGGCAATTCAAATTTGTTTTACTAAACGAAGACCATGTCCTCATGTGGATAAAACAATCTATCTTTTGTTTTTCTAGGTTTCGTAAGCTGCTAAAGTGTCGTTTTGTAAGTTCCGTCATGGTCACCAATACCTATAAGACAACATTGTCATGCTGTAGCATATGACTCAGCCACATCGAAAGAAAACTGGCTATTTCACTCTCTTCCCTGACTTATTCCTCACAAAATTACGGAAGGTTACCTTTGTATCATCACTTGTTAAACCCGAAACCGCCTATGGGAAAATGTCCACCGTGTGACCATGTGACATATGCTGCTTTCACAACTGACGGTCTACTGGGGTTCCTTTTCGTTTTAGAACCTCGCGACCACTTGGGATCGAAAGAACATAAAAAACGCTTCCAGAAGCCCGTGCCCGCGGGACCTGGGGCGGTCAAACGACGCTCCCAGGCCGTCATAATTGTTCAAAACGGTAAGGGTGTAAAAATAGATGTAAATTCCGTTTCGGGCCGTAGCTCCTCCATCTGAGGGAGAAAGTTCCCACAACCTTCGCTGAAAAACGCTATTTTGGATGCTCAAAATGACACCGTCAACAGTTTTTACCTATCTTGTCACCCAGCGGGTCATGAGACTAAACACTTCTCTTTGTAAATTCCGTAATCTGTAAAATCCGTCATTATTTCTGTAAATTCCGCCGTATTTCATAGGGGGTAAAATTAAAAGTCAACTTGTAGCGCTGCCACGCTCAGAGGCGTACTGTGGGGTACTATGTATGCCATCTACATCAAATTTAGCCCCTAAAGTTGAACTTTAAAAAAGAACATTTGGTACATCCAAAATGACCCTCTACGCACGGAATCACCCGGCCCCGACCCGGCCCCGACCCGGCCCGACCTGGCCCCGACCCGGCCGAGACCCGGCCCGCCCAGACCCGGCAAAGACCCGGCCCAGACCCGGCCGAAGGGCCGGGCCGGCCGACACCCGGTCGCCCTATAGGGACCCGGCAAAGCCTTCCCGTATGGAAAAAATCGTCAGCGAATGCATTGCTTTTTGTCGGCTTAATCGGATCGTTTGCGGACCGTTCTCAGCTAGACGGCAGACAAATCGCGATCAAGACGCAGTCAACTCTAAGACAGGACGCAAAAAGGGGCCAGACAGGATTCGGACTTGGGCCCGCAATGCATGCGCGGGCAAAAGTCAGGCCGAAAGTAGCGTGTTCGCAGACACGGTGCGGCCCATCCGCCGACCGTCCGCAGACCGTCCGCAGACAAAAATGTACCTCAATCGGTCTGCGGAACGTCTGCGGACTGTGGGGTGTCGGAGCTCGGCTCGGCACAGCTACGTCACAGCTCGTCTTCAGGTCGTCTACGGAACGTTTGCGGAAGGTGTGGTGAACGTCTGCGAACCGTCTGCGATTCGTCGGGAATCGAACAACAACACAAACAAAAACAAGAGCGTGAGTCGCGGCCTGGGCGACTCGAACCCGCAGCCTTTGGACTGCTTTTCAGAAACTCTACCCACTTGGCCAGAGTGGGAAGTCTGAGAGGAGCGTCGCGAGGCTGCGTCAAGTTCCGCGCAGCCGCCCCGACTTCGGTTACCGGGCTTGCAAAACAATGTGAACGATCTACAAATCAAAGTGTTTACTTGTGCGCTGTAACTGGAGCGTACTTGTCTGATGTCCGCTTCAAATATAGTGTACGTACGACGTACTTGCCAAGTACGCTCTAGTTGCAGCGTACATAGACAAGTACGCTCCTACAGCGCACAAGTAAACACTTTGATTTGTAGATCGTTCACATTGTTTTGCAAGTCCGGTAACCGAAGTCGGGGCGGCTGCGCGGAACTTGACGCAGCCTCGCGACGCTCCTCTCAGACTTCCCACTCTGGCCAAGTGGGTAGAGTCTCTGAAAAGCAGTCCAAAGGCTGCGGGTTCGAGTCGCCCAGGCCGCGACTCACGCTCTTGTTTTTGTTTGTGTTGTTGTTCGATTCCCGACGAATCGCAGACGGTTCGCAGACGTTCACCACACCTTCCGCAAACGTTCCGTAGACGACCTGAAGACGAGCTGTGACGTAGCTGTGCCGAGCCGAGCTCCGACACCCCACAGTCCGCAGACGTTCCGCAGACCGATTGAGGTACATTTTTGTCTGCGGACGGTCTGCGGACGGTCGGCGGATGGGCCGCACCGTGTCTGCGAACACGCTACTTTCGGCCTGACTTTTGCCCGCGCATGCACTGCGGGCCCAAGTCCGAATCCTGTCTGGCCCCTGGTTGCGTCCTGTCTTAGAGTTGACTGCGTCTTGATCGCGATTTGTCTGCCGTCTAGCTGAGAACGGTCCACAAACGATCCGATTAAGCCGACAAAAAGCAATGCATTCGCAGACGATTTTTTCCATACGGGAACACGTGGCATAAGTTGCTTTTACTTTGTCCAGTGATAGTTTGGGACGGATTTCTTGCGTAACAGGCATTTGGGGTGATTCGTAACAGACCCGTTTAAAAGCAAGAATTAAAGTAGTTTTCGCTGTTAAATGCTTGAATTATTTCTCGACTCATCTGCTGCCTAATTCCAATACATTTATACAGCTCGAAAAACATTTTAAATCGAGTTATTCTATGCTTTCCTCTAAAATTAAAAAAAGTGAGGTAAGGATTGACTTAGCCTATCAGTTAATGCTGAGGCGGTCAACGACAGCTCTACAAACTGAAGTGTGTACTCAGTATGCATCTACAGATGCATACTTGCAAGTACACACCTACAGATGCATACTTAGCTGAGTACACATCTACAGATGCATACTCAGCTGAGTACACATCTACAGATGCATACTTGGCTGAGTACACACCTACAGATGTATACCTAACCTCTCCAAGTATGCATCTGCAGATGTGTACTCAGCTAAGTATGCATCTGTAGATGTGTACTCAGCTAAGTATGCATCTGTAGATGTGTACTCAGCTAAGTATGCATCTGTAGGTGTGTACTTGCAAGTATGCATCTGTAGATGCATACTGAGTACACACTTCAGTTTGTAGAGAGCTTGCAATGTAGATTTTTAGACGTCTGCAGGACTCCCGAAGAACAACTGGTGGAAGGAGATAACATTCCCGACGATGTTTCATTTAATGTGTAGGATGTTATGAAAAGCCCCATGGCTGTTACAAATCACCCCATGCTGGGGCGATTCGTAACGGCATGCAAGGGTTTGGAAAACGTCTTAGATTTCAAAGATTACGGACTCCAGATTGATCCAATGGAGCTACACAGTCTAGATGAAGGGCCAGACTGCTGAACTGGCACAAGTTTGACACCGATATGCAGAATGTTCTTAATTTTGTATAGAGAATTCCGAAATCTGTTACAAATCGCCCCATACTCCCTTACACACACGTATCACCGAAAAAAAGGTCGTACACAAATGTATCACCGAAAAAAGGGTGATACTTCCCCAGGAAAAGAAGGGCCATTCTCGCTGATGTCTCACCTTTTTTTCGGTGGTACATTCGTGCACGACCTTACTTTCAGTGATACATGCGTGTACGACCATTTTTTTCGGTGATACATTCGTGTACCATTTTTTTTTTCGGCGATACATTTTGTATCGCCGAAAATAGGTGAGATATCTTACCCTTTGAATTACAGTGAGGTCACCTTTCGTAATTTTGTGAAGACAAAGCCATGGAAGAGAGTGAAATAGCCAGTTTTCTTTTGATGTGGTTGAGTAATTTACTACGGCATGTCAATGTTGTTTTGATAGGTGTTTCTGACCATGACGGAACTTTGAAAAACCTAGAAAAACAAAAGTTACATCGACTTATGCTCATGAGGGCATGGTCCTCGTTTAGTAAAACAAATTTTAATTGCCCAAGCTACCAAATCAACCTCAGTCAGTTCATGCGCAACGCCCAACTGACCTCAAATGACCCCCTACACTGACAAAAGTTTTGTTGTAACTTAGCGACACATTTATCGCTAATTTTTTTAGCGACAAGATTTGTTGTGGAACGAATAGCTTGTTAAACTAAACTCGTACTGGAACTAAAGGATAATTTCACAACGACTAACTTGTAATAACACATTAGCAGTCTACTTTCAAATACAAGTCGTTGACCAACTGTTACGAGATTGTTTTCCGGGTGAATACAAGTGAAACTGGAATCTTCTGCTGATGTTGACCTAGATTGATTTAGCAGTCTGTGGCTCGAGTTGGAACGAAGGCTGCTCGTACCCCTGATGGGTAGGCAATTTCATATCCCCATCACCCCGGGAAACTACTCAGGTAACTCAATTCAAAAAGAGAGACAACACACATGTCTGATTGGTTTGAAACACTTTGGTTTATTGGATTGATTTCAAAACAGTTAAATATTCTTTACCGATTATTTACCATTTATGCTTACTCATATAACCATCATTAACACTTCAGTTAATTGACAAGACTATCATTCCTGACCACACAATTATTTGACATCCCTCACAGATGAGGGAAGAACAATGAAATCAGTCTTTGGCAGCGTTATTACACTAGACACAATTGGGTTACTTTCCCAATCAAAACATCACTTGACTGTAATTTGGCATGATAATATTCAACTAGGCTTAGTTCAAAATTACACATGATCAACCAATACTTTGCTTAACCAATAAAATACCATACACACTTGTTCGCACTTGCCCCTGGTCAACTGGTATACAACAGGATTAAAATTAACACTGGCTGCATCTTTTCCACAACTGGTTCACATCGTGAGTTCACTGTTCACCCAAAGTTTCAGCTAGCCGCTAGGCAACGGCGGGTTAAATAACACACTGGCCGCTTAGCACACGGCAGATTGATTGACACGTGACATGACCGCTTAGCACACGGCAGATTGATTGACAGTTGACACAGCCGCTTAGTACACGGCAGGTTGATTGACAATTGACACAGCCGCTTATTACACAGCAGATTGATTGACAGTAATGGCAAACCACTAGACACAGGGCAAGGCTACACACGACAACACACCTACTCACATTACACACTAACTGTTTACACCTAAGTCAAAAGGGCCACTAAGCCCGCCAGCACTTAGCTTACACACACTCGCACATACCCAGAGCCTCAGCACCCGAGGTCCGTTCAGCAGGAGGAGCCAGAGAGAAGTGACGTTCTGTCGCCGTGCCGGGGCTTATATCTAACGCTTCGGGGTGAAGCGATGGGGAGGGCGGTCTGAATTTTCCCGCGGTGGCTCCGCCGCGCAGCGGCGGGCCAGATGTCGGCATGATTAAAAAAAACAGTGATACTGCGTGATCGCACTTGCTCGGCGGACAAGGATGACAGGGCCGCTGGTGACCCCTCGCCCTCCCCTTCCCAAATTTATGCGTCCAAGATGTCGTCCCGTGCCTCGGGCCTGCCAGCCTCCTTGGAGGCCGGCGCGCTTCCCCGCCCCCCCCATTTTGTTTCATCGCGCGGGGGCCGCCATGATGCACCCGAACATGTGCAGTTCGGATGGTTCCCACAGACCCGGGCCGAGCGGTGACAAGCTCCTCTCCTCGAATCAGAGCCGGGCAATCCAGCGACGGGGAGGGGAACGCGTGAACAAATTAAAAAAAATGCACCCGACTATCGTCCCCTGCTAGGACGGTCTTTCGTTCGTCCCCGCCTCCCTGCCCTTCACCTTACGCTGGGGCAGGGAGGGCGCAAGGCTGACGCAGCTGGTGCCGCCAGGTCACAGGTCACCAGTTCCTCCCTCCCCCCTTCCACTCTCGTTGTCGCCCGGACCAAGCGGCGACGCTCGGAATCACACTATTTAGATTTTCGAGTCCCGCCTCGCCAGCGCTTATCACGTGGGAGGGCACTTTCACCTTTGACTCCACGGCGCGTCAACTTCCAGATGTGCGGCCGAACAAGCCGCGCATCGGAGCCAAAAAAATTAAAGAAATGAGCGTGCCACCTGTCTGTCTCTCTCCGAGACACGACACCGCACTGCGAGAAAACACGACGGCTGACAAGTATCGGCACACTTAACGACCTGCAGCCAACGTCACCCTTTAGGCCCTCGGGGCCCGGCTCAGGCCACATGGCCCGACCCCACCTGCATGCCGTTTTGGGGCCCTAGTTGTTTGTGGAGGCCTTGCTCCAGCAACCCGTTCGCGTCTCCCCTTCGGCCTGCGCTGGGCTTTCCCATGATACTGGGCCTGACCCGGCCGCCTGCAAATCGTAATGATGTCACAGCCGCGCCCGCGATGCCACGCTGACAAGCGTCTCTATGACGTCTTATCACCGTCCAGCCAGGACGCCTAAAACGATTGCTTGTCGCCTTTTTTTTGTCTTACATCGCGCTGCCACCGCGCTCTCACGCCCGAACGCAGCGCGGTCGAGGGGCCGTCTCCGCGAGTCGAGGCTGTCTCCGTTCGAAGTTATCATTCCAGCCCTGGCCTGGCATCCATGCTGGCCATACAGGGAACTCACGCAGGGTGCGCCAAGTGGACTGCGCGGGGCGTTCGGCCCGACACCGCGATGCTCGGTGGCCCGGTGCGGTTGGCCGCGTGAGACGGGTTGCCTACCCTGACGGCGCGACTGTGGCGCGCCGCGGCTCTGCCTACGGCTAGTGTCGTGCTTAGTTGACCTGGCATGAGCATTTTATTGCTAACACCTGGCATGAGCATTTTATTGCTAACACAACAACAAATGTTGTTGGTCAACGACAAGTCTTGTTAGTCGAAAAATATTTTGTAATGTCTGGGACAAGTATTCATGGAGTACTTTTGTCGCTAAATTTATTTTGCCTAATTCTTTTTTTAATAACAGTAATGTTGCTATGACGAAAGAAGACCGATAGATGATAATTCATAATATGCTTTAATTGAGCAGATAATTGCAAAAGATTTTGTTTCCATACAAATAGTATCGTTAAGGGTGAAAACAAGAATTTTGTTCTTCAACGACAATTTTTTGCTCACAAGATTCAACGACATTTCTTTTGCTTTGGTTCATGATAAAACTCTTTGTTTTGGAACAACTCAATTTTCACTCATGTGATTGTTTCTATACAACCATTTTATAACAGTGTATGCACTGGGCGCCCCGATGGCTAGGTTAGGGCTTCTGTTTGATGTCGTACTCGAAGCAACGTTTGAACGCGGAGGTGTTGCTGGCTAAGCCGTTGCTGACGGGTTGCTGTGCTCTGAGCTCCATGACGTAGCTTCCGTAGGGCAGAGTCGGGTAGTTGGCTAGGGTCCAATTGAAAGGCACGTGGTCGAAGGCGTACGTGTTCTGGAAGGCATAGTCTTCTATGCAGCACAATTTGATTCATGAAGCGGAAGAAGGGAGTAACTCGACTTATCTCCAAATTGAGTTTTTATCTTATTTTTGTGCTTCAGGATAGTTTTTATCTTTACACCAAATTATTTGACTCTAATTCCCAGCAGTGTAGGAGAAAATCCTCATGGTCAATGGATATAACCAGGGGGTGGAAACGGCGCTGATTTGGCGGGCCATGGCTGCGGCGATGCGTGCACGGCCGTTGTTTGTTGTTTTTTTGTGGTTCCTAGAAACCCACTTTCTAGCTAAAGTAGACATCTTATGCACAAATCCTGCACGTGTACTTCTAGAGTAATGTTGTCTCTTCGAGAAAATAAGCCCGTTTTGAAGATTTGAAACCCACAGGACGAGTCATGGACATGTTTGTAACTTGTTTTAAATGGCTCATCCGCGTTCGGGCGCGGCGATTCTGGCCTGAAAACGCCGAAAAAAAATGTAAACAAGTTACAAAAATGTGAATATCTCATTTTGTAAGTATCAATTCGGCCCAAGGAGCTTATTTGCTGATCCTTCAACCTTACTCTTTAAGTACGCGTTGAGGTTTTGTCGTTAAGACGACTACTTCAGCTGGAAAGTGGTTTACCAACTAACGCGGTAAAGTGGTGAAAACGGCAAAAACGGCCGTGCACGCATCGCCGCAGCCAAGGTCCGCCAAATCAGCCCCGTTTCCACCCCCTGATATAACTCAACTTGAACCTTAATACGGTCTAAATTTCATCGGAAAATGGAGTCAACTCAACCGGAGACCACATGACTCCGTTTCACAAACCAGCAAACGGAGATAACTCAACTTGTGTCTTTATGAATCTAATGTAAAAAGAGTAAACTCAACTTACGTCTTTATGAATCTAATGTAAAAAGAGTCAACTCAACTTAACTCCAAATTTATTAAAAAAAAAAAAACTAATGGAAAAAGGAGGTACGTAAATCAAAAAATGCTCCACGGCAATATAGACTCTACGCAGACCTCAGCTCCACTTGAGTTGTCTCCTTATTTCTTCTCGTCAGGGAGAACTATTTACAAATTGTTCCTTAGTTCGTTTTCACGTAAAGATTTAAGGCGGGACCGGGGTGAAACTTGAAGGGATCGGATCGGGATGAAAATTGGCACACAGGTTCAGGACATAATAAGGACTCGCGCCACAAAATTTTTTTGAGCTGGCTCAATTTTGAACAAAGTTATTGAACTTTCAAAAACTCAAAACTAGATCAACTCGATCCGAAGAACCACTGGTCCTAGAAAAAAACCAGTTACAGAATTCGAAAGGGGAGGTCAGGATCTAGGTCAAGAGGTATGCGCGAAACATGTGTCACAAAATTTTAGCCTTAAAATCGGGTGTCGAAAGGTGTCCAATTTTTGACCAATGTTCAGCCAGTCATTTCGGACACTTGCTGTTTGTTTCAAGAATCGCCATATACATGTTGACCTAGGCCCTGGCCTCCCCTTTCGAAATCTGTAAGCCACTTTTTTCTAGGCCCAGCCCTTCTTGAGATCGAGTTGATCTGCTGAGACCCTGTTTTTGCCGCATTTTCCTTGTTTTGAACTTGGCGGTCGTTTTGCGGTGCTGTGGAAGGTGGCGCGGCGGAAAGTATCGGAACTCCGTGCAGGCCGGTGGAGGCGGGGCGACACATTTATGACTGACAGCTGACCTGCAGCCGGGCATTGTTCGCGCCGCGTCCCCCCTCCCCCTCTCCCCCCGCGCTAAGCCGGAGCCGCAGACGAGGACCTGGAGAGCGAGCCGGGCCGCCTCGGACTTGGATCCAGCCAGGCCACGAACGAGCTCCCCAGGACTTGCACGCGTCGCACTGGCCAGAATTTGGCAAAAAGGGCCTCGTGAGGGGAAAGGGGTGACACGTTCCACCCACGCTGTCTGATGCGAGGATTTGAAGGTCGTAAGAGAAATTTTATCTCCGATTACAAATCGTTGTTCAACTGGTGTCAAAATGACCGTAAAAGAAAAAGGAATTTGATAGTACCCAACCGCCACAACTCAGAAGTCACATTCAAATTTTAAATTTGGAAACTGGAGCGCGCCGGACTCCAGGGTGAGCCGCGCGCCACGCCGGTCAGCCGCTGCTTCCCCCTCCATGCCCCGCCTCGGCCGTCTCGCTTGCACTGTGCGGGTGAGACAGAGACGGACAATGACATCTGTTTGAGCGCACGGCGTGGCCCGGGCTGCACCGGCCGCGCCGCACTGTCGCCGCACTGTCTGGCCATCGACACTGCCAAAACGCACCGCGCTGTCCGTCACTGGCCAGAATGCACGGCAGGTATAGGGATTTCCACCCAGAACTAGGACCCTTTTATTTTTTGGAAGTACCTGACTGTGGTGCCATCTCTCGGCAAAGTGCTACATTACCAGAACGAAAATGGCAAGGAGTATTCGCAAAAGGAGACTCCCGTCAATACACTTTTTAAGTTCCTTTAGCCGTCGCGGGTGAACGGTCACCGGGGTCCCGCCTTAAATCACATTTTTTGTCATAATTTTTTTTGTGTTCCTGCTCTATGCCCTTCCTATTATAGAAAATGTGTTCTGAAACGCTCAAATCATTTTTAGTTTCAGTTCGATTCGATTCTGAATCTTTAAAAGTTTGATTCGATTACTTTTTCCACATTTAGTTCCAAGGGGCAAACAACTTGAATTTTGGTGTAAATTTTCCTTGAAATAACGTGAAATAACGGCGAAGTACCGCGAAATAACGCTGAAATACCTTTGAAATAACGTGAATTTAAAATAACGGTGTACAAATTTTGACGAAGTTTTGCCCCTTGACAAATTCAATTTCGATTCGAACCTTACTTTTTTTTATTCGATTGGTCAAAATGGAAATTCGCTCATCTCTGGACTGCACCTGATGGAAGTTGAGTGTGTGTGACCAACCTTCGGTACGTTGCAGCGCCCGGTCAAGCTCTTCGGGCCCAGCACCCTGGCGAAGCCTTCAGGGATGTTCGTCCGAACCGTGGAGCAGAAGCCCACGGGGAATCGGTTTAACACGAAGTAGTTCTTCTTCCACTGGTTGTTGGCTCGCTTGTCAACCCTGACACTCACCTGCAAATACATATAGACACTTGTAGCAGGGCCTGAAGTGAAGAGCAAGAAGAAGAACATAGACCGGAAACAGTATAAGAAATCGGCCCTTTTCGGAGTTTTTAGCTGGTTTAAATCAAAATGTATATTATAAAATTAAGCTTCCTTGAATTTTTGGATTGAGAACAAACATTCATCATCAAGAAAAAAGCGTAATTTGGCAACTTCTGTTCGTCTTGTTCTTCACTCGAGGCCCTGCTAGAAGTGTCCATAGCCCCCTGCTTCGTTCGGACGTTCAAATCAACGCGATGTGATGACTGTCGTGCGAATGCTGATTCGAACCAAATTGAATCTGGGCCTGGGCACCTACTATTCGATCCGGAAAGGAACCAAAAAATGGAAAGGTGCTCTTATGACGTTATTTTATATATAAGCAGCTTCGAAAAGCACCTTTTTTTAACTTCAGCACATCCAATTTGATTGGGATGCGCCCTCATCCAAATTTGATTCTGAGAATACTGTACTGAGATTCAGATTCGCTTCTAGATGCAATTTACACATTGCAACGCAACGATTGGTCGTTCAATTCGTTGAATGACAGTGATTATTGTTCTGTCCTACAAATGTGACGTCGTATTGGTCAGAATATGAGTGTGACACACAAATTTCATGGCTATCCCTGTTTTTTAGTGTTATTAAAAGTGCTTCAACATCTTTATCGCATTAGTGGCGCCTGGCGCCGTGAGAAAATTATTGCATTAAAAGTTTCTTATGTATGTATTGTAGGTATGTATTGTATGTACACTGAAAAACCAAACGTGGTCCAGACCGCACCACTGGTGTGGTCAGATGGGTGCCATTTTGACCACATCAGTTGGTGTGGTCTAGACCACGTTTGGCCACGTTTGGTGCAGTCTAGACCACGTTTGGCCACGTTTGGAGTGGTCCAGACCACACCAAACGCCCCAAAGGTGGTCTAGACCACACCAACTGATGCGGTCAAAATGGCATCCATTTGACCACACCAGTTGGTGCGGTCTAGACCACGTTTGGTTTTTCAGTGTATGTGTAGCGATTTACAGTACAAAGTGAAAAGCAACAATTGTCAGTTCTGATTTCTATTCTTCTTCCTGACTCTGGTATGGATTCCCCCTCCATGGCCAAGGTTCCACTATTGTCTCGCTTTCTGAAAGCACCCACCTAGCAAGGTGTCACTGTTGCCCAAACTATAAATTGGACCGCTCCTCAGAGCCGGCCAACAGTCGGTAGCCTAGTCCCGAGCTGTGCGGACCCCTCAATGTACCAAGTGAACCTCTACTCACTATCGTCCTTTACCCGTCCTTCTCACTTATAGTGCCCTACACTACATATGTATTGTATGTATGTATGTATTGTAATGTATGAGCGCATTTATCACTTCATTAGCGTACTTACCATTTAATCACACCAAAACTGTGGTAATCCAAATAAAAGTCAAAACCGAAGAGACTCTTTGCATTTTTACGAGATTTATGTTCTTACTGTTACCACACATGCGATTATTTCAGGAATCGCATTACACGGTAAAAACGCCACCTGGTTTTCCCAGGAAGCCTATGGTACAGACATAGGCGATTTCCAAGGGAGTTCCTGAGAAAACCAGGAACAGTTTTTACTGTGTGGCCTCTTTATCGCTGCTAATTGTATCAAACTTATCACATGAGAAACATCAGAGGTGTCACGTTAGTTCACATGCCAACGAACATGACAGCAGCGGTGGGCTCGCTCCTCTTTCACTGAGAATGAAAGAGTCACCACCATCGCCCTTTTATTGGGTAACGCACGCACCGTTGCCCAAATTTGGGTGACGAGCCCGCGGTGACCAAATTTTGGGCAGTCATAAAATCGTCGCCCAAATTTGGGTAACGTCGTCGGCGACGCCGTTAGGTCCCCGATGACGCTCTTCCGGGGCCACCACGATGACCCAATGTGGCGTTGAGGCCTCCGGTCATCGTGGTGGCCCCGGAAGGACGTCATCGGGAACCTCACGGCGTCGCCGACGGCGTTACCCAAATTTGGGCGACCAAACACTCTACCAAAAATGTCCTGTAAATGCCGTTAATTTATTACCAGTTTTCACTGTAGGTCAATTCACAGCGTTTGCTGTGAGCTAGTTCACGGCGTTCACTGTGATCTCGGTTACAGTGTTCACTGTGATCTGGTCCCCAGTAAACACTGTGAGTTTCACGCCGCTGAGCACCGAAGTACTGCAAATCAGGCTCCAATTCACGGCGTTTACTGTGGCCAGATCACAGTGAACACTGTAACCGAGATCACAGTGAACGCCGTGAACTAGTTCACAGCAAACGCCGTGAATTGCATAACAGCAAACATTGGTAATAAATTAACGGCGTTGACAGGACATTTTTTGTAGAGTGAACGCCTGTTACCAAATTTCGGGTGATGAATTTTTCGTCACCAAAATTTGGGCAACGAAGTTGCATCACCCATTTGATCCAGGAAGCGGAAGAAGGGAACAAGGTAGGTGTACGCCAGACCGTGTCTGGTCGTAACAGGCTTCGCGATGCTGCGCCAGTTTCGACCATCCACGCCTGGTGTATTCACCTACCTTGGCCTGCGGCGCTAACCTGCCTCCGGCAGGCTGCTTCCCTAGGCAGGCCGTAGAGACGGGCGTGATCCCCTCAAAAAATAGTATTTGGTCATCAAAATCTACACTAATGGGATTTAACTTTCGATCGGTGGCCCGAACGGGTTCTATTTTCGTCATCAGCAGCCTCAAAAACATATGAAACGATATGAAACTTGACAAAAAGTTGAAAGTACCAAAAAAGTTGTCTTTTTTCTGTCGTTTTTGAAGTGTTTTTTGGCTTATATGAGCGAATGGATTGAGATAGAAAGCTGCATTTTGGTGTGTGGCGAGCCAAGGACATACCTAATGACCCTGCAAAATCTCAGCCAGATCGGCCGAGCCGTTCAGGAGGAGTAGTGCACACACACACGCACGCAGACAGACAGACAAACAGACAGACAAAACTTTTCAACCCCACTGGAGTAACGGGCTTCGCTATCGCTCAGCCAATAACTTGACTTATCCCCAAATAAAGTTTGTATTTTAATATTGTGCCTTAGGATGGTTTCCATCATTACACCAAATTATTTGACTGAATTCCAAGCAGTTTAGGAGAAAATCCACATGGAAAAAGGGTATAACTCAACTTAAGGGGGCTCATACATGTTAAAAGCACTTTTTAAAAAAAAAAAGTTTGATGTAGACGGATTGAGATTTTACAATTTCTGTGTTAAAATCCTTTTAGATAATTCAGTAAGCTTCATTTTGGCTTAAGGGAAAGTGACTTTGGACATTTTTTGGAGATTTAGTCGAAACGTTTAAAATTTTGCTTCTCGTAAGATTTTGTTCGCATACTTGCTCAGATCTGTGGGGAAAAAATCAGGGAGACTCATCCCCAGTAGTGTCATAGAATTGACTAGAATGGGCTTTATATCTGCAATAGTTTTCAAGAAAAAAAATAAGAACAATTTTTTGTTGAAAAATTTGTTTAAAAAATTGTTAAAAAAATTGTTTTTATTTTTTTTCTTGAAAACTATTGCAGATATAAAGCCCATTCTAGTCAATTCTATGACACTACTGGGGATGAGTCTCCCTGATTTTTTCCCCACAGATCTGAGCAAGTATGCGAACAAAATCTTACGAGAAGCAAAATTTTAAACGTTTCGACTAAATCTCCAAAAAATGTCCAAAGTCACTTTCCCTTAAGCCAAAATGAAGCTTACTGAATTATCTAAAAGGATTTTAACACAGAAATTGTAAAATCTCAATCCGTCTACATCAAATTTTTTTTTTTAAAAAAGTGCTTTTAACATGTATGAGCCCCCTTAACCCCTTTTACGGTCTAAATTTCATTGGTAAATGGAGATAACTCAACGGAAGTCCACATGAGTCCGTTTGACAAAGTGGCAAAAGGATATAACTCAACTTGTATTTTTACGAATCTTGTGTAAAAAGAATCAACTCAACTTAGCCCCCCCCTTAGTTTTAAATTTCAATTCGGAAAAAAGAGCCAAGTCCAAAAAATACACCAGAGTAACATACACTTCATGCAGACTATTGTTCCACTTGACTTGTCTCCAAATTCCTCTTTGTTTAGGAAATTTAAGGTGAGCTGACTCTGTTTTCCATTTCAACGGAAAGCGATAAGTCGCAGAAATCCTCTACGGTGTGACCTTACACTTTTAATTTTTTTTTCCAAAATTTTACTAATACTTTTTGAAATTATTATCATGTGCAACATTCATTTGTTTGGTTTTAGTTTTCCCTCCTTACAGTTTTTGGTTTCTCCTGGAAAATGGCCAAAATTGAGTTATCCCCTTCTTCCGCTTCCTGGATCATTTAAAGGGTGATTGGTGACCAATTCATTCTCAGTGTTGGTTTGCTCCACGAGTGGGAGAGGGACAGATCTCACCCAGTAGGAATCGTCCAGGTCGAAAGGGATCGTCAAGGTGCCGGTGACTGTCTGCGGCTCGTACGGCTTGGCCGGGTTGAAGTGACTGAAGCGCAGAGTGCTGGCATCGTGCTGCGCCTCTGTGTCGTTGTCGGAGCAGGGGCAGAACCGCTTGACGACCATTATGTACGGGCCCTGGTGTCACGACGAGAGGTCCACAGATTTCCTTGTACTTCTGACACTTTTCCTTGCCGTGTAAGTTTTTCAACATCGGAACCGACCACACATTCATTCGTGACAAATATCATTGGGTAAAAATCGGAGGTTTTTACAGGACCTGAATTTCACCATCTCGGATCCGGTCCAAACTTGCACCAAATGTTGCCCCCATAGGGAATTTTTTGGATTTTTTTTTCAGTTCTTAAAAGGGTTTTATTTTTCAGATGCTACATGTATGCACTCTTACTATGCTAAGCTTCTCTATTTTGCCTGTGGGCCTAAAATAGGTTAACGAATATTTATTTTTTTTAGTTTAGGTTTTGCTGCTGGTTTACCTTTGTTGCTACACTGAAAATCAAATAGTGATACATCTCACCCTCTGAGGGGGTAGACATAACTGTCTCACCGAAAAAGGGTGATACTACTAAAATGTATCAGCGGAAAAATGGTCGTACACGCACGTATCACCGAAAAAAAGGTCGTTCACATATGTATCACCGATAAAAGGGTGATACTTCCCCAGGAAAACAAGGGCCAAGGGCCATTCTCGCTGATGTCTCACCTTTTTTCGGTGACATTAGTGTACGACCTTTATTTCGGTAATACGTGTACGACCATTTTTTCCGTGAAACATTCGTGTACGACCTTTTTTTCGGTGATATATTTTGTATCGCCGAAAATAGGTGAGATGTCTGACCCTTTGAATTACAGTGAATTTGCTGTGCTAGGAGTTCGATTTCTGACCCACCTTGAAGCGGTGGTCGGTTGTCTTCACGAAGTGTGAAGGTTCCCCCGGGGCCGACCTATAACCAACTGTTGTGGTGTGACAATTTCCCATACTTGTAGACTGGAGTTTGTCATACTATCTCCACCCTGCTGGAGCCTCCATGTTGTTTTATTCTGTCTGTTCCTTTTCCGGTGTCACTGTGTCTATTATACTTGTCCTGTACTGACGTGAATAAAAGTGCTGAACTGAATCTCTCAACATCGTGTGCTCCTTGAAGAAGAACCCTAACCTAAAGTATAAATAACTACAGGTTATGGGCCCAGATCGATCTCTGCAAAAAGTGAAGTGATTTGTGTTAAATTCAAGAAACTGTGATAGTGAGAACTGAGAAGATACAACGTGTGTGAAACAAGTGCCGACAATTGTTTGTGAACTGAATATAAGCGAGCACATGTTAGCTTGCTAATATAAACAATTGACCCGCTTGCATATTTAAGCATCTGGGCTAAGAAACGAATTTTATCTGATCAGCTGAATTTAAAAGGAGTGCACATCCAAGCACCTAACCTAATATATTATAGTAACCAGTGTGCACATTAAAGCACCCGGACCAGAGTGCATATTCAAGCGCCTGGAACCGAGATATAAATCTTAGAGTGCATATTCAAGCATCTAGACCAGATTGCATATTTTAGCAACTGGAATAAAAGTTTTTTTTTTTCCCTTCTTTTCTTCAATTCAGAGTGCACATTTTAGTGCTCAAAGAAGGGATTCCGACATTGCTCGTGAACTGGTTTTCGAAGGGAAAAACTTTAATGAGTGGAAGTTCAGGATGAAGAGGTTTCTAGATGAGAAGGGCGTTCTAAATATGGTGACAAAAGGACTGGAAGTGCTGTTGCGGGAAAATCGGATCCTCGCCACGGACCGCGGCGAGGCGCGCGAACGCAAGGAGGCCATCTTGGCGGACTTGCGGGCGAAGGACGCGAAGTGCAAGGGACTTATCACGAGGTGTGTGGGCTCGCTAGCCCTAAATGTTCTCATGAATTTAGAAGAGGATGGGACGACGGGGCTGGACATGTGGGTCGCCCTGTCGGACCGATTTGCCACAAGCTCGGTTGGCCATCGCATCATGCTGGCAGAACAGCTGCGAAAGTTAAAGTACAACCCAAAGGAAACTGATTTCCTAAAGCACTGTGTCACATTTGACACAATGGTTTGGGAACTAGTTGGGATGGGTGATCCCATGGATAACCTGACGAAGATAATTAACTTCCTCATGACACTGCCTGACTCCTACGAGAGTGTTCGTGAGACCATCCGGGCAAAGGCAGCTCGGGTGTCCATGGATGAGGCTCGGCGGGATGTCGCTGAGTTTGAATTGCTCCGCCGAGGCAGCAGGGCTGCCAACGCCAACAAGTCAAACTCAACACCCAGCGTCGCCTTCGCCAGCAAGCAGCAGCAGCACCGGTACCACCCGTATCAGCGACGGCAGCAGCAGCCGACATGTTCCAACTGTGGTAATATTGTTGTGATGTTCAAGTAAACGCATTCCATGCGTTCACTTCACACACGGCTCCAGCAGACAACTCTCTGCCGATCTGCGCATAACGCTTCCCTCACTGCGCGCAGATGCGCATGCGACGAGCGCGCGCCCGCGCTGCCCCTGGTGGCCGGCGCGGTAACTACGACGGCCGGGCGGGCCGCCCGGCCTCGGCGACTCCACGGATCCGCGAGGCAGTTGCGCCGAGACCGAGCTACCGACTAGACCTACGTGCAACTTCTCCACGTC